GGGTGGTTGACCCCAGTGATGATGTTTCAGGCGTAGACGGCGATAGAAGGAGTGTGCATCCTGGAGGAGAGTGTATTTGTCAGCACGTGGTCTTAGAGGGACAAATTTCAAGCCTTTACTAAGGATGTGAGCGTTCATCATCGGAGAGGGGTAGGTCGGGTGGGATGCAAACAACAAGGTTTTGGGCTAAGGCGGGATTAGCAGGTGCTCCAAAGGATTGTGGGGGCCGGAGGCAGTTCATTTTATTCTTCTTTGTATTGGTAAGGAAAGAATACCACTCCTGATTAGTGGTGTGAATAGTAGAGCGGATGATCAAATAGGCCAACCTGTTGTTGGTTAAGAGCCTTCGTAGATTGTAGACCAGAATATCAATCTGGTCGCCCAGTTGTTGGAGGTGGCGTTCGTGTGCATCTAGTATGCAACGCATGCGAAGATAAGCGCATTTCTCCGCGATTCTGTCCAATGGTTGGCTGTAGTTCAAGGATGGCGGGCCTACTGAAGGATGGAATTTGGTGGCGAAACCTTTCGGGATAATTTTTAAACGTAAACATCGTTGTAGAAAATTCCGATGAGATGTAACGCTGGTTTTCTTAAACGTGGTGAAAGCGAGATTTTTAGCAGTCAGAGACAACTCTGCGGGCATCAGACTGAAAGCAATAGTGATAAAAGAACGCAGGTTAGTCATGACTGAGGCGTGAGAAGGCATTTGGGAAGAGTAGAACACAGGTTAGGCACAAAAGTATATGAAGGGAAACAAATTTTAGAAACTTATTTTATTAAAAAGTACTTACGTAACCTTGAGTGGCGAAAGCGCGGAAAATAAACCAAACATGCACAGTGACAAACAAAAACGTGGGTCAGGCGCAGTCTGTATTAGCTTGACTGCAGTCACCCCCATAGTTTCACCATTTTTGGGTAGGCAGTGGGTCTATTCTTGTTTTCCCTAAAATAGGGCCCCGGAAACCACACAGAGTGCAATGAGAGCGATGTTCTGTAAAAAAGTACCTTCTGATTGTTGATGATGAAAGGAAATTGCTGGGTATTATAAAGCTTTGTGTCTCCAGCACAGCAGCATTCTAATGTAGGAACATATCATATTTCCAGCGGTAATTGTAGACATTTTTTATCATTAGAAAAAAGTTGTATGAATTTTTTATTGAAATTATCTTTTTAGAAACATTCATCCGTTTGTATGCATGTCTTCAACCCAAACTTTTGATTTCATGTAGGTGTTTATTTTTCTATTATTTTGTATCATGTTAAATATATTGTTTTTTCAATTAATGTCATCCTAACAGTGAAACAACTTCTGTTGCTTCATCTTCGTCTAATAAATTATTATTCTTTTTTTCTTCATATTTTTTGTATAACTGTTATTAACAATCATTGTTCAGACTCTTCTGATGTCTTCACCTTGTTTATTGCTGACATAGAGTTCTATAATGAAATTCTGATGATACAATTGGCAGCACTCTATTAATTTTATAAACGACAAGCTCGGGGTGTGGGAGAGACAAAGAACTAGCCCACACAATTCAGGACGAGGCCAGGACACAATTCAGGACGAGGCCAGGATACAATTCAGGACCAGGCCAGGACACAATTCAGGACCAGGCTGTGCCACAAACAAAACCATGAATGCCACAATTCAAAACTAGATGATGCAACAATTCAAAACTAGCTGATGCAACAATTCAAAACTAGCTGATGCAACAATTCAAAACTAGCTGATGCAACAATTCAGAACTAGCCGGTGCAACAATTCAGAACTAGCTGATGCAACAATTCAGAACTAGCTGGTGCAACAATTCAGAACTAGCTGATGCAACAAGTCAGAACTAGCTGATGCAACAAGTCAGAACTAGCTGATGCAACAATTCAGAACTAGCTGATGCTACAATTCAGAACTAGCTGATGCAACAATTCAGAACTAGCTGATGCAACAGTTCAGAACTAGCTGATGCAACAATTCTGACCCAGGTGATTCTATAAGCTCACAGAATGAACGTCCTACCAAAATGCCTATGCCTCCCTGATATTACAAAAATACAGCCATTCAAACAATAAAACTAAATACAGCTGAAACTCCAGCAAACTAAAAAAAAACAATAGATTTTAAAAAATGTGTTTAAGCAAACAATGGAATAAAAAACGAGGCTTCATTTCAGATTAACGTTTACAGACTTTAAAGTTATGGCTAAGAAGATCGACTTTACTGCACTGAGCTGTCCAGTGTGGCTCGGCACTTCTCTGCAGAATATCTAGCCACCTCCCAAAAGCATTGCACAAAGAATGACTTCTGCAGCTTCAGCGACAAACATGGGATCTCTAAAAACTGCACTCATCAACTCAATATCATGTCTGTGAAATGAACCTGTCACCCTCACAGCACGAAGTAAACTGCTTGACCACTTACTTAACCACAGAGCTTCCTTCTGCCGAAGTGCCAGTTAAAAAGTTAGTTTTGTAGCCTTTACAGGACATTGCAGAACCAATCCTAGCATTTTTTTACTGTAGAGGTTTTTCTAGGCAAATTTACGCCCAGTAGTTTGCCATTGCTTTCTGGACGACTGGCTTATCGATGTCTCTGTTGAAACTAATGCAGGGCGCACAGCTGGGATCGAACCAGACACACCGGCTTAATGAAGTGCGTTAGCAAATCCCAAGTCACAGACGCTGACTAAAAGTGCCAATTAAAGTCTGCATTTACCACTTTTGCTGAGTTAGAATTTGACTCCCCCTTAAGAGAAAAAATCTCCAACACTGCTGAGAATTTTGAACTCAGCTCTACCACATGACAGCCAGCATTCTTAACTGTTTGACCCACCCCAATCACCCCTAGAAAATTATCGCAAGCAGAATTATAAATTATATATTATATTTATATTATAAATTCATGATCTGTTTAGATCACGATTGATCATTGGCATCATGAGCTAATAGGTTGAAATGGCTGGGGCATATTGAGAGAACGTCAGATGACAGAAAGGTAGAAACTGTATACACAAGAAGGATGAACGGTCGTAGACCATGAGGCAGACCAAGAAGATGATGGAGAGATAATGTCCAGAGAGATCAGCAAACACATGGTGTTACCAAATGGAAAGAGAAGGCCAACCAGGGAAATGAGTGGAGACGGGCGATATCTGCAGCAATAAACCACAAGGGCTCGGAATGCTGAAGAAGAAGAAGAAAAAATCTAAGAGTGTGCTGAAGATCACAGAAGAAAACAGTGATGGGAAGTGCCGAAACTAGAACAATAGCCATTTAAACCAGAGGCTGTGTGTTTGAACCTACCTTAGGGCAGATACTTTTGTGTGAGTGTGTATGTGTGTGTGTGTGTGTGTGTGTGTGTAAAAGGCAACTAACTGATGTGGGGGGGGGGGGGGGGTGCGCCAGAGGGCAAGAAACCTACTATTTCTGTCTTCATATAAAAAAGGCAGACATTTTAAAATGGATGCGCAGGCAGAACTCAGGTTCTGGAACAAGACAACAGTCTAGAAATGGCTGAATAACCAGAACTTTCTGCCAGAGTTTACAGCTGAAACACAATGGAAGTATTCTTCTTCTCTTCCACCTGGTACCTCAGCAAAGTATTGGGGAGAGATGTAACAACCGTCGATGAGCTCTGACAAGAGCACTATTAAGACTGATGTTCATTTCTGTAAGGCTGTTCTAAATGCCATCACTGCATCTTCTCCTAGGTCTTCCGCTTGCTCTATACCCATTGTAACATTTTAGCATGGCTTACTGTGGCAGATAGTACCAGGGCATTCTTGTTAGGTGTTTAAACCACTTCATTTGTTATTCTTTGGTTTTATTCCTAGCATGTGTCTGATTTTGTGATTTCATATTCTGTCTTTCCTTGAAACTCCTGCAGCTCTTCTAAGGCATTTCATCTCTGTTGTCACAATTTTACATTCATTAGAGGATGTAAGTGTCCAGGTTTGGCACTGACAGTATTGTGTTGGTCAAAAAACAGTTCTGATAAGATTCACTTTAGTACAACCGGAGTATGGAAGTATAGGCTGCAAATCCTATGTGGCATATAAATGGCACGACAAGAAATTATTAATATAATTCTCCCTGCTAGTAGTGGTTTTCAGACAAGAATGCCAAAGGCCTCGACAAAGGCTGTGGTGGGATGCATGCCTTGCACTGTTCCGTTAGCTTAGTTTGCACAGAATGGCCAACCTGGGATCCTGTCTGCAGAACATGAGTTCAGTATTCTGAATGGAGGAACAGGAACAGACTGCAAACCCTATGTGGCATAAAATGGTAAGATATGACGACAACGACAGTCGCGACGACGACGGTGGCGACAACGATGATGATGATGATGATGATGATACTATGATAATGATGATGAATAAAATAAGGATAAAGCACACTTCAGCATCTGGACCTGAATCTACACACCTGGCTAGGCTGAAGCAGAAGGTAATGAACAAGAAACTACCGAGTAAGTAACACACTAGTACAGATTTACTGATTTAAGAATCTACATCGCAGCGCACTGGGTTTGTGTATTTCATCAAAAGTGCTCAGTCTCCTGTGGCAAATGTCTTAAGGAGTAGATGCCAATTGTTCTCATATAACACTGATTTTAAACTTGTTCTCTTCCTCTCATACGTTGCTCCTACCCAGATCCTCACCTAATTCCTCATTCACACATTATTTCATCTAATCTCATGTTTTCTATCAGGACTTGATCATCATTGGTCTTCAGAATGTCTCCTTTGTGCAGTAGGAAGGTTCTTGTAAATAATAGACAAATATAGGCAGGACAAAACGGAACACACAAAGAATTTCCAAAACAGGAGACATCACGACGTGCTTCATATGGCAACAGTAAGTAAAGGTATCTTGGTGTGGCTGTTGCACTGCAGGAATGAGCATGCATGAAAATGTTGAATGTGTTGTGATAATACAACAACACAGAATAGTATAACATAATACAAGAGTCAGAGAAACAGAACAACAACAAAGGCTTCACTCACCAGCAATCTTGGATTCAATCACGCAGTCAGGACTTGCTTCACAAAGTGCTTGGTACCCACCCTGTAGATGAAAGACCCAATACATCTCTACCACAGATTATAGCTATTCAATTTTTACTTGGGGAACTAAATTTTGAAAAGGGGTTCGTCAGGGACAAGAGGTCCATGCCCCAGCTCGTTAATACAATGCAAATGGCAGTGAATCCACAGGCCACTTGCTTTTAATAGAGCAAGGTGTTCCGTGTCAGTAGAAAAGGGTTCAAATCTTACAATGGCTTTCAACTGTGTTCCCTGTCGAGCATCAATCTGAAATCTTTCTCTAAACTGCACATCATTCTCTGTTTAATTTGTACAATTTGTCTGCAGGCCAGATCCCGTCTACTGGCTGCCAGTTGAATAGCCCAGATACAGATTCTTGATCAATAAGTTCCAATATTATGTGTACTGTTAAAATCAGGACTAAAGTAATAAGAGAAAAATTTAGAAGAGAATCAACACTAAAGTACATACAAAGACAGTAAATAACATAGTTTTCCCAATCAGAGACTGCTTTTCAACAACATACTAAACAAGGCACAGACCAGTGCATCCTGACATGTTCAAAGAAGTTGACAGTTTAGACTCAACAAAGCAAATCTCATAAAAACAAGGTGTGTTTTTTTGTGTTGGAGGGGGGAGGGGGGCTGACATTGAGCTACCAGTGCCAAACATAGACCCTTACTAGAACTATTGAGCGGGAGATTGTAGCACCAGAGATGAGATATTTTAGGAGAGCTGCCGGTGGGACCATAAGAGATAAAATCAAGAATGAAGAAATTATAAGAAGACTAGGACTGAAAACAGTCACACAGGTCATTAAATAACAACAAGTGAGATGGTTTGGCCACCTGACGAGAATGCCCTGGTACCAACTGCCACACTGAAGAAATATAGTGAGAGCAAGGGGAAGACCATGCAAGAGATGGAGAAGCAGCAACCTTATAGAAAAGAACAGCAACAGCAACATTAGAAACTTTTCTTAGTCGCAGTGCCCCTATGATAACAGAGGTAATACCACCAAATACTATCATAAGGAAGCTCAGTTTCCATCTGAAACTAAAATAAATTACACTGAAGCAAGTGGGTCTTTAATGGAATACTCCTCAATCTCATGGGCCTAAGAATGAAAACGAATTTGTGAAACCTACACAAGGTACAAAACAAGGGCTTACAAATAACACAATGAAAAACACCCCTCTCCCCACCCCATCGTATACAGTACAAATCTATTTTTGTTTGAAAAAAATTTTTTAGAGGTTACCAAACCATCTCATGAACCATAGATTTTTGAGAAGGGGAAAAACTCAAGAAAAAAGATAAATCATTTTTGAAAGAGAAACTCTGACACAACATGGAAAAATAAAAGCTCAGATAATGATGGGTAAAGCTCTGTGAAGCTCTCACACTAGAATAAGGGATTAACCCTCCAGTCTTATCCAGTACAGTTCTAGAAGTCACAGAAATAATCTCCTAGGAAGAACAGAGTCAGAACCAAGAGCCTTTTTCACTTGACATATTCAGAAATCAGTATCCCTCCAATACTTGGACAGGTATGTTTACAGACAGCCTTGGTAAAGAAGCTACACAAAAGAAGTAGACGAATCTATATTTCACAATTTACAGCTGTTAAAACCGGCTCTATTTAGCATAAACATGAACATTTACAAGAAAAAAGTAACAGACTACACACAGCACAGCAGAATTGGTGGGACTGAGAATAAATACAAAGAAAACTAAGATCATGACAAGCAGTCCAAACCAACAACCAGTGACCATAAATAACCAAACTCTTGAAAATGTAGAATATTTCACATATCTTGGCAGTGTAGTGTCCCTACTGGGAGGGACTGAAGAGGACATACAGTCACGTCTGAACAAAGCTAGAGCTGCTTTTGGAAGGATGAGGCAAATCTGGAAATCCAACGACTTTACAAGAGCATTATTTTGCTAGTTCTTCTTTATGGAGCGCAATGCTGGAGAATGACCAAAAAGGATGCACACAAGCTGTCCACCTTCCGCCACACGTCTACGTAGAAATATCAAAATTTTCTAGCCAGATACAATCTCAAACACTTAACTACTTAGAGTCACAAACCAAGAAACTTTAGACAGTATGATAACCAAGAGAAGATGGAAATGGCCTAGCCACGTTATGAGAATGAATCCTGATATACCTGCAAAAACAGCTCTCACATGGACACCAGAGGGAAAGAGAAAACAGGGGCACCCAAAAACAACATGGAGACGAACGATGGAAAGTGACCTGAGTGCGGCATCTTTGACATGGAAAACTGCACTGAAGATTGCACAGGACAGGAAAGCATAGAAAGTCCTCTCTGAAGCCTCATGTGCCACTAGGCATAATGAGAACTGATGATGATGGTATATAGCATGCAAGAATTCTTTTCCTAACCTTCAATGTCATGGAGTTAGTGCACAAAATGTTCTTAATTTGATAAACGGCAGTGCTGACCTGTCCTATTCTTTTTGGATGCTATCCACACTCCTAGATAAATAAATCTCTGAACTTGCCCTTAAATAACGCCTTTGATTTTTATTACACATTTAGGCAATATTGTTTTCTTGGAAATCACCATTACTTTCTATCACTAATCCTTCTTGACTTTCATCAATGCCAATCATAACCTGACTACTATGTATATGTATTATAACACTGCTTTAACGGTTCCAGCCGACAGCTAGATAAAGCTCTCTGACTATTATTCAAACTGAGCCCCATTTATCACTTTCTACAACTCTACCAACAGGACACTGCAGGCTCAACTACCACATGCATAAAATAAAGATTTTACAGTCCCCCCATTGTGCCTGTCAAACAGGACCACAAACACCTCAGCACATTCTGCAGACCTGCCCACTCTACCTGCAACTTCAAGAAGACACCTGGCCTCAAGAGCAAAGTGTGCAGAGCAAGCTATGAGGAACCATGCAGGACCTGCAGCTGACATGTGAGTTCATCGAGGCAACCCACCTGATGGTCTGATCAGAGCATACGAAACCAAACGCACGGAAGAAGAAGAAGACTTTCTACAACCACCATATCTATCAATGCATGTAGTTCTTTCTGACTTGGCCTTGCAAGTATATCCATTAAATACTTGTTTTATAATGACAGTGTAAAATCCTTGCAATCATTCTCATCCTTCCCTCGAAGTCGGAGTACATCTGCCGGTAAAGCAGGGAACGAGGACTGCAAACAAATAAGACAGTAAAACAGATGTACATGCAAAACTCAGGTCGAGGTAAAAGCCAAAGTCCATTTGGACGAACAACCGCGACTTACCGCCGGAATTCACAGCCGGTGAACAAGAAGAAGAAAGAAGAAGAATTCTCATCCTGTATAAACGTTCTATATATTATACCCAGCACACAATAATGATGGCAAGATAAGATAGAACAGGTCACAAGCAAGCTTCTCACCTTGGGTGGAAATTTGAACTCTGAATTTCCAAAGTTGAATTTCATTTCTGCATTCTGTGAAAAGAAATGAAAATACTTACATGACATTACAATCTTTACACAAAAAACTACACTATTTACTAATTGGTGCCTGTGCAGAACAAAGGGAATTAAGTATGAAAGGACAAACCCTAATGAAAAGCTTTGGAAGAGAACTACAAATTTCAGTGAATCACAAGCTGAGGACAATATGGTGGTAATGGATAGGACATTAGCATATGTGGCTCAGGTGTTGCGAACCCGCTTTATAATACCAGGGTGCCGGTTCGATCCCAGCTGTGGACAATTCGTCTTGCGTTGGTTTTGATAGTGGTACCAAGAGCTGACCGCTCAGTAAGCAATGGCAAACTACTGAACACAAAATTTGCCTAGGAAAACCACAACAGCCAAAAAACACTGGGAAAAACTGGTCAGAGGAATTAATTATGCCCTAGAGAAACCCTGAAAAAAGGATGATCCCTGTGTGGAGTGTGGGGACTCAAATCTGGAGAAGAAAGAATAGAACCCCCAACCCACAAGCATGTCATGGGAGGTGATTAACTGGGATACTTCCTTCAGAGTCAGAGTGCAGCTACCTGACAGGCCAGGACACCAAGGCTGCTGGGCTGGATAAGTTAGCTGCCTATCCTTTACAAGACATTGCACAACCAACACCAGCAAATTTTTTTTTTTTTTGGGGGGGGGGGGGGGGGGGGGCTGTTATTTTTCTAGGCAAATTTTACATTCAATAGTTTGCCACTGCTTTCTCAATGGTCAGCTCTCAGTATTACTGTTGAAATCAACAAAAGACAAATCGTCTGCAGCTGGAATCGACCCTGCACCCCAGCATTACCAAGTTTGTTCGCAACGCCTCAGCCACAGTCTTTAATCTCATGGACTACATCCTTGAAATAAACAAGTTTTTTTGGTCAGAAGACAATGAAAGAATAAACTGCGAGCCTTATGTGACATATAACAGCAGAATAGGATGGTGGTGATGACAATAGTTAATGCTGGCAAATGCATTTCTCTTATTATTCCTATTCTGAAGTGTCCAAGTAAGCACTAATATTCAACAAAATGGCTAACACAACTCAAGCAGTGATATCATCCAATCAGATCACATACTATCAATCTGGGTCCACAGCATCACTTGAGTGTTTTCTTCAGGCATGAAGGTATGCTGGGAAATGAACAGGCAGACAGACAGACTGGAACCTTACCACCTTGTAGTAAATTGATGTATGACAAGCTAAATGTGACCAAGAACCTCTGGGAGCGAGTGAACAGTATGGAAGTACAAAGAGATCATCACTGTTTGGAGCAACGGGAGGAAGCAGGGACAGAGTTGATATCATCAGGTTGGGGGACAATGGCAAATCTCAGGCTGACACGATTGCGTGACAGAGGAGTCAAGTTTGGTGAAGCACAACATCTATGTCATCTTTGAGGTACTATAACCAACTCCTCATGGGAACAATCAGTAGAGATGCAATGGAGTGGCTGCTGAACCAGGGGAATAAGCACGCATGGGGATGCTTCCGGTGCAAAGATGTCAACTGTGATAACACTGTCTGGAGCAAATGATGCAGTGGGAAGCGACCATGGGATCTGCCATTCTGAGGAAATGGAAACTTCTACTGGTACCACTGGAATTAGAATTCTGCGACGGCTGCTGAAGATGAGAGTTGAGTCGAGTCAAGAACTGACATCACAGAACTCAGGGCATTCCCATGTGTGCTCCGTCCTTATCTTCAGCAGCCAGCGCAGAGTTCCAATATTGACGGTATGTGTCACAATCTTGCCTTTCCTCTGAGTGTAGTGAGCCGGCCAGACCCTCATGTTACACCCAGATGTCTCATTCTCTAAAGGCCATAATAATCTTCTTTGTCTACTGATTCCGTTGCTTGTTCCCAGAGGGCCTTGACCACATCTACCATGTCATGTATTGCTAAAGTTGGGAGTGGAGAGTTTATGGGAAATGCAATGAGTGCTGTGATTTCGGTTTTTAACTCAATTTAATCATATATTATCACAAAAGTTTGCATTACCTTCAGGACAACAGCAGCATAAAATGCTTCATTCTTGAGATCTTTAGGGATATCAAATGCTTTACCCAAATCAATGCCTGTAATAAGTTTGAAGAAATTAAAACAAATTTAGTATAAATGGTCACATTCAATTATCACTAGTTTAATTTACTTTATCAAAAACACAGTTATGTGATGACACTTTATTAGTTGACAAGAAAACCTGTACACCTAAAAACTATCAATGATCCTGTAGCAAAAGAACTGTTAATTGATCGCTGAAGCCTAAGGTATTCATGTGGGCAATCTGAACAAATTTGACTACTTTTTTTACAAAGATTTTGCATGTCAAAATTATACTAGTAGTATCTTTTTATTTTAGTGATGTTTTGGTTTTAAGAAAACCTGCCCAGTCAGAAGGTAGACCTTGGCAGATGTAGAAAATACTGAGTGTATCAGCAGAACTCCAAAAAGAATCATTAGTGTATCAATAAAAAATGAAGACATTAGATTCCCCATGTGAATTCCAGGGCCACATTGTAGGGGAAACAAGAACATACCTACTGCCTGCCCAAAACCATGTCATGAGAGCACTATTTGGGAGTGTTCTTCGAAGTCGGAGTACATCTGCCTGAGACGCAAGGAAATAACAGTCTGCATGGAAATGAGTCAAGACCTGTAAAACGGATGTGCATGCAACACTAAGTTACTGCTGAAGATGGGGACGAAGCACTTATGGGGGTGTCCAGAGTGCTATGATGTTGATTCTTAATTCAACATTAAATGTATCAGCAGAAATTCATAAGTGGTATTAGGTACCCACTGCATCAGGCAGAGCATCCTGATAACTAAATAGATAGCTTAGCAGGCAGACATTATGTGAAGACTCAACTAGTTTACCAGACAGACATTATTTGGATTCTCCAGGTAATGCTGGTGTGTTGGGAAATGACCATGCAGATTGTAGTGAGTTCATTTTCTCCCAATTAATTTATGCCCGATAGATGACCTCAGTAATAAATGTAAGGGGAATGTTTTGACTGACTTGGATAACACGAGATTTGTGTCTGAGTTTCATGGGAGACATCTGAAAGTCAGGTTTTATGTGAAACATGATTGTTCACGTGAACCAAGAAGGTTGACTGGCAGGCTTCGTGTGAAATGCGAAAAATCACGGGCCAGACACGATTTTCAGCGGCGGGGAATTCGTGAGAATGAAGTCATACAGAATATTCGAGAAGAACATGGCAGAGATTAGAGGGCTATATAATAGCGGGAGAAAGGACTGAGAGGCGGTCTCGTTTGGACCCAGGAACCAGTGCGCATGGACAGGAAGACGTGTGTAGTCTACATGTGTTGAGCGGATGTGTTCCTATCCAACTTGGCGGAGGAGCTGGCAGACAAACTGTCTGCGGTCATGTTGGTTGTTTCTGTTAGAACAGCTGTTGTGTTTCGTAGTGTAGGACGATTGTGATTTCTGACAGAAGGTAATGAAAGTCTAGCATTTATTATTTCAATGATCATGTGTGCCTGGACAATAGTCTGTTTCCATGTGCCGGCTGAGTAAGCCGCGAGTAGGAAATTAAAGTACTGAACAGTATCGTGTTGTTGTTCCAATCATCCATTTTCTGCTCGTCATGTGATGTCGGTACGTGAGCGTTGCCAGATAAAGATAGAAGAGAATCATCGCACAGATAGACTGGTTGGATCTGCACCACTTGGTGGTGAACTGATGTATGACAAGTTAGATTCTGTGGGGGCCCTTTGGGAGCGAGTGAACAGTGCGAAGGCGAAGATAGATCATTACGGTCAAAGGAGAATGGCATTGCGAGAAGTTACCAGGGGATCTGGCCGACGCTCAACACTCAGGGGAAGGATGAGATGGATATACAATCAGACGGTTACTGGTGCCATGGGAATTGGAACTTATAGAAGTGTCCCGAGTGCTGTGATATTGATTCTAATTCAACCTAATTTGGTTAACTAAATAGTTTATGAGGCAGACTTGTTCTGTATAATTAAATACCCAGCTTTAGCATCATCATGTATTAAATGTAAAGTAAAGGACCCTTTTCCACGCCTTTGGGCGTAAAGGGCATATAGGGCTAGACCTATATTTTATAGACCAATCAGCACAAGATGGGTGATGTGGTCAGCATCATGCCGGCTGCCTTTACTTCCCGGTACTGCACCCGGTACCCACACAAGGCTGGATCGACCTCTGAGCCAGGGTTTTTATTTTTTTTTTAAGTCTGGCTCCACCAGGGAGCGAACCCAGGACCTTCCAATCAGCAGGCGAGCATCTAGCCACTCCGCCAAGGCAACTCCCCATCATGTAGAGAGTCCTTTACAAAATGCTGCTCTCATCACTGCCAGCTCTTCGGCATCACCCACTTTCCTACCCAAGGTATCACTTATATCCTGTGTCTACCTTCATGTTGGTTTACTGATTACTGATTTCAGAATCAACATTATAGAACACCGGGCATACCCAAAGGTGCTCCGTCTCCTGCAGCAAATGTCTTAAGGTGTAGATGCCAACTGTTCCCGTAGCACACTGATTATACACACGTCGTTCCCTTCCTTTCATAAGTCCCTCCTTACTGAATTCATACATAATCCCTCATTCACACATTCTTGCATACATGTTATTTCATCTAATCTCACGTCTTCTGCCAAAAGTTGTTCATATATGGTCTTCATAATATTTCTACTGTCCAATACCAGTGTTCCTGTAGCTTTCGCTTTTGTAGCCAGAAAATCTGCTCTTTCATTACCTCGCACTCCTGCATATCATGTTGGTTAGATTCCGCAAATTTTCCCTGATTCAATGCTTTAATATATTATTCTTTCCAATCCGCTGTGGTGCGTGATATGGCCAAAATGTTTCAGTTTCCGACAAAAGAGGCTGTTTACTAGTCAATCTTCCTTTATGATTGGGACACCAGTATTTCTTTTCTCCTTAGTTCATGGTATTCTGAGAAGTGTCTATACTTTCAGCTCAAAAACCCCTTTTTTTCTTCCTTAAAAAGGTGGGGAATGTAAACCAGCGTCACTGCATAAGATTATAAACCATAAGTGCTCTGCCACCAGTACGGACAGCTGATAAGAAACTGTCCGCCTGTGTCGCCGTTCGTACGCAACTCCTTGGCTACAACGATGTTCCTCCATTTACCACATAGTGTTAATTCTGGTACTCATTACCTAGAGGCTGGGTGAACCCTGGGAACCGCCGGGTTTCGAACACAAGCCATGGGCTGCAGCAAGTAGCAGCTGGATTTGAAAGCAAGACTCCTATCGACTGCGCTAAGGCTTCCTTAATGACTGTCACAAGAGGGAAGATGCATGCTCTCAAAATGATGACTAGCTTGCTGGTGCTTAACCAAGGACTTTTAATGTTCTTCAATCTTTGCTTTGCTATGGTTATCCTCATTTTGACTTCTGTTACACAGTCCCCATTTCTGTTTACTGTGGAGCTTAGATATTCAGTTTCTGACATTTTCAATTATTGTATTAATCAACAGTTATTTTGGGTGATAGGCAGTTCTGTCGTCACTTTATCTTGCTGGCTTATTCTATAGAAGTAAATACCCAGTTTTTCATGCGGTTATCTGAAGAATTGTCGGCGTCTGTGGCTTAGGCGTTACAAATGCCGGGGTGCTATGTTCGATCCCAGCTGCGGGCCTTGCGTTGGTTTCGACAGTGGTATTGAGAAGCTGACCGTCCAGAAAGCAATGGCAAACTACTGGACGTAAACTTGCTTAGAAAAACCACAACTGCCAAAAAATGCTGGGGTTGATTCTGCCATGCCCTGTAAAGGATACGCAACTAACTAACCAGGAGAATTAAATACCCAGTTTGGCAGGTAGACTTATGCAGAATTAAATACCTAGTTTATCAAGCAGGGTTATCAGAAGTAGTAAATAACCCAGTGTATCAGACAGACTTCACAGGGAGAATTAAAAATCCAGTGCATCAGATAACATGTCATCAAGTGTAATTATACCTGGCGCCATTATACAAATCGGGGGAGGGGGGGGGGGGTACAACGGCAGCTCGCTTGGCGGTCTAAAGTCTAAAGATCAAAACCACACCCAGGTTTTTTTAAATTGACTTGGCCTAAAAGATGGCCGGCGTGATGCTGATCACATCACCCATCGAGTGCCGACTGGTCTTTACAAACACAGGTCCAGTACTATATGCCCGATCATCACTTGTATCAGCGACTGGGTCACCCATTGGCTCGCAGGTAGATGACTTCATCGGTGGTCAGGACTGTAGCTGGGTTTATCTCCTTTGATCACATCAACACTGCAGGAGTCCATTGTTTAGGGCTCTTGGTGGCGTGCAATGCTGAGCCCTTTTAGCACATATAACCTAGTCATAATCTTAACCGAAAGCTTCCCCTTCAGGGATGCTGATTGTACACAATGTTTTTTTTTAAGCAAAGCGACGGACGGACTATATGCCCAATGGGCATGAAAAGGGTCCCATATTTACTTAACACTACAAAACATCTCGTGAACCACTGGTGATGAATGGTGAAAATTGCATCCCACATGGGGACGGAGGTTAAGTATTAAGGTTCTGTTGAGAAACAAGCTCACTTATTTCATTTCACAAACCAGTTATACGTACCATTCTTGGACCACTTAATCTCCATATTGTCAAGGTCAAGATGGCAGCCAATGACATCATTTGCTCCAAAAGGCTACAGCAAGACAATTAACAAACATAATTACAAATTCTTCGTCAAATAATCTGCCAAAACCAAAATGTATCAAATTACATTTACCGGTACCGTACGAGACATTTTGAGAATTCATTTCAGGTAACTGCATAATTTGATTACCTAATTCTATGTCTGGCCTTCTAACTTCTATAACAACACATGTAGGGGGCTGTGTGGTCTCAAGGCATGGTGTCCAACTCGAGTGCTAGAGGTTCCGGGTTCAATCCCTGGTGAGGGATGGGATTTTTTCATGTGGACTTGGACTTCTAGTAATTCCTCTTGGTCTCTGAGTCTTCTTCTGCCTTTCTATCCCCCAATGAAGCATAGGCCCTCAACCAACTCACGCCAAGTCGTTCTATCCTTCGCCATTACCTGGAGCTCTCCCCATGTCCTCCCAATCTTTGTAACCTCATTCTCCAGCTCTCTTCTCCATGTGTTTTTTGGCCTTCCTTTATTTCTATGCCCCTGTGGGTTCCAATGCAAAGACATTCTAGTTATGCTGTTCTCCTGTTTTCTCAGTGTGTGCCCTATCCAACGCCAGCGTCTTTTCCTCACCTCCTGATCCACTGAAGCCTGTTTAGTTCTCTCCCAAAGTTCTACATTAGTTATTCTATCATACCATTTTATTCCCTCTATTCTGCGCAGGCACCAGTTAATGAATGTCTGTAATTTATTAGTAATTGCCTTCATTGTTCTCCATGTTTCCGCCCCATACAATAGTACTGATTTGACATTAGAATTAAAAAATTTTTAGTTTAGTATTTCTTTTAATTTCTTTTGACCTCCACAAATTCCCTAGTGCTATGAAAGCCCCTCTTGCCTTCTGTATTCTTATTTTAATATCTCTATCAGTTCCTCCATCTTTATCTACATTACTGCCCAAATAGGTGTACTACTCCTCGTCTTGGAGTGGGGTGCCATTAAGAGAAACCACATTACTATTTGCCTGATTTATTCTCATTATCTTTGTCTTTCCTTTATGGATTTTCAGACCAAGCTGCTGTGATCTCGCATTAAGTATATTTAATTTATCTTGTATCTGATTCCGTGAATGGGACAGAAGGGCAATATCATCAGCGAAGTCCAGATCATCAAGCTGTTTTGTAGGGGTCCACTGAATTCCATTCTTGGTGTTAGCAGTTACTGTTTTCATAGTCCAGTCTATAGCCAGTAAAAATAGAAGAGGCGACAAAAGACATCCCTGTCGCACACCTGTTTTTATTTCAAATGCATCTGTTAGCTTTCCCTCATACCACTATGAAAATAGCACAAGAAATATGTGGAACTAAAAGGAAAGGTAACATAAGGCGTAAGCTCTCAACATGGTGGTCTGAAGAAATAAGAAGTATTGTGAGCAGTAAAAAGAAAGCTTATGGCATTTGGTTGAGGAGCAGAACAGAAGAGGATTACATAACATACAGGAAAATTAGAAGAGAAGTAAATAGAACTATCAGAAAAGCAAAAAGAGATTCATGGGAAAAGTTTGGAAGCAAGCTGGCTGAAGAAGAAAGATCAGCAGTGAAAAACTACTACAAAAAAATCAAAGGCATGAGAAACAGGAATGAAGAATACAACCCAACAGAAATTATAAATGATGAAGTTGGCCAACCTTTAATAGAACCTACTAAAATCTTAGCAAGGTGGAGTAATTACTTTGAAGCATTACTTAGCTGCAATAAAACAGATAAAAGCAGGGAAGAACATATAAACAACTCGGAACTAACAGCAGAAGAACTAGAACCAGGTATATTATTGGATGAGGTAAAATATGTCATTCGAACCGCGCCTGGACTAAAGGCGACAGGTATTGATGATCTACCAGCTGAGGCCATCAAGGCAGCAGGAGAAACGGGAGCAATATGGTTAGAGAGAATATTTCAGGTGGCATGGGAAAATCAAGAAACACCATCAGATTGGCAAACTGCTGTCATTGTCCCGCTGTGGAAAAATAAAGGAAGTAAGAGGGAATGTACTAATTACAGAGGAATATCACTTCTCAGTCACACTGGGAAAATGTATGCTAAGATCATCGAAAAAAGGCTGAGACCATTGATAGAGTATCAACTTTCAGAAGCACAGATGGGCTTTCGACGAAACAGAAGTTGCACAGATGCCATTTATTTATACATTGAGACAACTATCAGAGAGGGCAATAGAACATGATAAGACATGTTTGTTGACATTCATAGACCAAGAAAAAGCCTTCGATAGAGTCGACAGGAAAATGTTGTGGGAATGTATGGGGAAAAAAGGAATCAGCAATCATCTCATTAATATTTGCAAAAGCCTGTACACGCGTAGTGAATGCTGCATAAGATCAAAGGCAGGGTTGTCTAGAACTTTTTTAGTGAACTCTGGTGTGCGTCAGGGCTGTGTACTATCGCCGCTTCTTTTCATAACATACATGGACGCCATATGTAGCGAAACAGACTTTAATCAGGGAGAAGATATAACAGAATTACTTTTTGCCGACGATCAGGTACTCATAGCAGAAAATATGGAATGCCTACAGAACCACCTAAATCAAATTAGTAACAAAGGGGAGGAATATAATATGAAAATAAACACTACGAAGACAGAGACAATGATGATAGGAAGACGTAAAGACAATTTAGAAATTAAATTAAAAAACAACACCCCGAGACAAACAGAGGAATTTAAGTATTTGGGAGCAATTTTTACTTCAGACGGAAAACTGGACAGAGAAATTAGTTCCAGATGTGCCAAAGCTAATCAAGTAATGGGTCAACTATCTCCCCTGTTGACACACAAGCAGATACCTCGGAGCACTAAAGTGAATCTTATCAGAACTATTTTTTGGCCAATACTATGCTATCAGTGCCAAACGTGGACACTTACATCCTCCAATGAACGTAAAATTGTGACAACAGAGATGAAATGCCTTAGAAGAGCTGCAGGAGTTTCAAGGAAAGACAGAATACAAAATCATGAAATCAGACGAATGCTAGGAATAAAGCCAGTCTTACAGGTCATCAAAGATCAACAAATGAAATGGTTTGGACACCTAACAAGAATGCCCTGGTACTATCTGCCACAGCGAGCCACACTAAAACGTTACAACGGGTATAAAGCGAGTGGAAGACCTCGGAAAAGATGGAGTGATGGCATTAAGAACAGCCTTACAGAAATGAACATCAGTCTTAATAGTGCTCTCGACAGAGCTCATCAACGAACATTACATCTCCCCCCGACACTTCGATGAGGTACAAGGTGGAAGAGAAGAAGAAGAAGAAGCTTTCCCTCATGAAGAACTCGACATTTCATGTCTTTATATGTTGCCTTTACTAAGTTGATAATTTTCTGTGGGATTCCATAGTGCCCCATCAATTTCCAGAGAGATTCCCTATCAATGCTGTCAAATGCTTTTTCATAGTCTATAAATCCAATGTAAAGTGGTGAGTTCAGTTCAATGCTTTGCTCTATTATAATACATAATGTGGCTATCTGATCAGTACAGGATCTGTTTGACCAAAAACCTGCCTGCTCATCTCTTAGCATTTTATCAATAGCATCTTTTAATCTTTCAAAAATAATTCTACTTAATATTTTTCCAGGAACTGACAGCAACATAATTCCTCTATAGTTTTCACACTCCTGTAGATCACCTTTTTTGGGCAGTTTCACAAGATATCCTTCTCTCCAGTCTGCTGGTATTTCTTCGGTCTCCCAGACTTTACTGAATAATCTATGTAGCAATTCTGTTGATGTGTTTATGTTGGTCCTGATGGCTTCAGCTGGGATACCATCTGGGCCCGACGCCTTTCCTTCCTTAAGATTTATAGCTTTTCTAATTTCCTCTTTGGATGGTATCTCACAGTTGATATCCAGTTCCATTTCTAAAGGCTGGATATCTAGGGGAACCTCTGGGCCTGGTCTATTTAGAAGCATTTTAAAATATTCAAGCCATCTGTCCATTTGATCTTTAGTGTTAGTAAGTACCTTTCCTTGACTATTTTTGATTGATCCAGTTGGCTGACTATATTTACCTACTAATTTTCTTGTGTTACTGTAAAGTTCTCTGAGGTTTCCTTTTGCTGCTGCTGTCTCCGCTTCTTGTGCTAGATCATTTAGATATTTCACTTTATCTGCCCTTATATGCCTCCTAACTTCCTTGTTGGCTTTTGTGTAATTCTCCTGAGCTCTAGCTTTAGCAGCTCTAGTTTTGCTATTGTTTAACTCTGCCTTTTTACTTTTCCTATCTTCAATCAGTTTAATGGTTTCTGGTGTTATCCATGCTTTATGTTTCCTTTCTTTCTTGCCAAGAACTTCTACGCAAGATTCATTCCAGATTCCTTTGATCTGATCCCAACAGACTTCTGTGTTGACATCTTCAGCTAACTGCTGCAACACCTGGTACGTAACTGAGAACTGTTCCTTAATTTCTTTATCTCTGAGAAAGCCTACATTATATTGGTTTCTATGATTATAAGATGTTATATATCTTTTTAGTTTCAACTTGATTTTACTTATCACCAGGAAATGGTCAGTAAATACATCGGCACCTCTGAAAGCCCTAACATCGTAAAGGGATGATCTAAACTTTTTTGTTAATACATATGTGGTCAATTTGATTAGTTGTCTTATGGTCTGGTGATTCCCATGTTGCCTTGGGTCTCTGAGTAGTTAGATCAAATGCCTGTGTTCACTGCTGCGCACGTAAAAAAATCCATTGGCAGCTGGAAATCGAAACGAGCAGCCTAACGGCGCTGCCCGGGAACAATTTGGAGTTAAAATCTACTCAAAGTATTTCAGGATCCTCGCCAGTGCTACAGAGCTTGTGCACTGTGCTGAGTACTAAATAGAAAAAAAATTCAACAAACAATTCTGGAAAACAAAGAGAAATAAAAGAGCTTCTAAGCAATCAAGGTCAAAATCTTTCTGCCTGTCTATCTATTTTGTCTCTAAATATTCTTCCTCTTTCTCTCTCTGTCTTCTTTCTCACTCCATCTTTTGTCTTTCGTTCCCTCTTTCTCTCCCCCTCCGTACCTTCTCTCTCTCTCTCTCTCTCTCTCTCTCTTTAATGAGCAGAGGTTGTTGTCTGACAAGTACATCTCACACGTAATGGATACAACGGATGCATCAAGGGGAAAGTACAAGTGAACAGAGTAATACTGGTTTTCATTTGTAAAGAATCCCTTTCGCAGCACACAGATATCTCTGAAAGTGCATCAGTCTCCTTCAATAAAGCACATAAGGATAATATCAGTATAGTACATTGTCTCTGCAGCAGCAAGGATTCCCGTATGTAAACCAATCTCAATAAATACTGGAAGCTTTTTTCTTTTTCAAAACAAGCTGGTCTTGCGAGTCACACTCGCCATCACTATAGGCTGTGGTTCCCACATCTCCCTATATCACGAATGATTCATGACAATTCCCGCCCAGGTTATGGGATTATCTATACAGATGGCTCTGTGTTGAGGGACAGACAAAGTGCATGGAGGTTCATAGCACAAGCAACAATGCCTTGCATATGATATCACAACGCCTAGTTTGAGAATGGAGAAGGAGGCAGTCATTGCTGCCTTCCGCTGGCTCAAGAATCAGCTGTACACACATGCTGCGATAGTAACTGACTCCCGCAGCATGCTGAGAAAGGTGCAGACATACATGCTCTGTGAAGAGTGGCAAACATCACTTCAGAGGTCCTGGATAGTTAACATACTTTGGATATTTTCTCCAGGGCAAGCTTGTGTGCTGGGAAATGAGCAGGCAGATAAACTGGTCAGTTCTGCATCACTTGGTGGTGAATTGAGGTATGACAAGCTAGATGTTGTGAGGGCCTTATGGGAGCGAGTTAACAGTGCGGAGGCACAAACAGATCACTATGGTCTGAGAAAAATGGCGCAGCGGAAGGTTACCAGGGGATCTGGCCAATGCTCAACACTCAAGGGAAGGGCGTGACGGATATACAATCAGACAGTTACTGATACCATCGGAATTGGAACACTTCGCTTGCCGCTCAAGATGGGGAGGAGCGCTTATGGGGGTGTCCAGAGTGCTGTGATGTCGATTTTTAATTCAACATTCCTATATCACAATATACATGCTGCAGGAGATTACAGACTGTGAAGAGAAATGATTGCCTAAGCCAGTCGGCAAGGCACCTGATGATGATGATATCACAATAAAACACTCTCGTCTGTGAAGACAGAAAGATGCCAAAACACGGTAAGACTGGATTAACAACTTCCTCTTCACTTCCTCTTCACAGGGAGACATAGGTTGTTGTTCCTGCTTTCCTGGTCGCCGCTACCATAGACACACTGTGCTGTTATAAAGTGTTTCTGATGTTATCTTTCCATATTGTTCTTGGTCTACCTCGTGCTTTACATCCTTCTCCCTCTTTTAGTGTATGCCTTGCATGGTAATGCATCATAAGACATTCTCTCCCTGTGTGCAAAACACTTAGCTCTGTCTTTGCAAAATTAGAATTGCTTCTGAGCTGATCTTTTTTCTTCTATGACCTAATTTCTGATGTTATCATTTCTGGTACATATTTCCATGGTTGGTATTTTTCCTTTCCAATGTTGTTATTTAAGGTGCAGCACAAAACACTGGTTCACTCTTGAGACAGTCTGTTCACACCACTCCGCTTCGATGCACAAATAGTCCTAGTGCCCCCCTTACAAGCATGTCGTAAAGATGACTAACATGGAGAAAAGCAGGGGAACAGCAAGGAGAAAGAGAAGAAAAGAAGGGAAAAAAACAAGGAGGATAAGGAAAAGGCGGAGGAAAAAGTAGTTTTTCACACACTTTATTTTACAGATCTGGCTTACTTATATGCTAGACTGTTGGCCCCCTCAATTCTAAGACTGATGCACTCCGACTTCGAAGACACCTCCCCCCCCCCCCCCCCCCCTAAAAAATTGGGCCCTGCAACCAAAGCAGGGAAGAGTGGGAATAAGTACACTTTATATGAGAATTAGGCCATTACTATTCCAAAATAAACTCAACAAGATTACAACTGCCTGACCTGTCCATAGTCATCAAACTGCTTGTTGTACGACTTCTTGCCTGTTCCACCAAAGCCAAAGCCAAACTTGTCAGTGCCCAAATCCAGTTTAGCCTTTTGCGTGGACCAGCCCAGACGACACAAGCCTTCATCCGTGACAGTGCCCTCATAGTAGTACTTTCCTAGAACAAACAACATCAGTACTTTCAACCCTTTCATGACCTTGACAAATGTGTCCCAAAAATATATTCTTCTTTTTTCATTTACTTGAAATATATTATCTATATCTGCAATGCTTTCTCTATTATAAACTTCATTGTCTTTTGTAATTCACTCAGCGGCCCGTAAAGTTTCCCTTGGCCAAAAGTTTGGCCTTGATATGTTGTATTTGGGACAGTCGTGGAGGACATGATCTGTTGTCTCAGGTGCCAATACTCATGTGCACATGGCTGATTCGCTGATTTTAAATTGTGTGTACATGTGACTGCGAAGTTGAATGTGTTCTGTTCTAAGGCGTAGAATAATAGGTGCAAATGAAGAACAACCTGACGTAGCAGTCTCTTATCAGCAAAAGAAGAGAATAATCAAATCAATCAGAAAGCTAAAAATATATCAATGTTAGCATTTTAATTCTTCTGCTTCTTAATGTTCATCAGCCATGAAGAAGGCTCTAGACTTTAGTCTTGTTTCAGAACTTGAGATTTGCAAGCACATCCATTTCACAGATCTGACTGATTCATATGCAGACTGTTGGTTCCTTGTCTCTCAGGCACATGCACTCAGAATTCGCAGGAAACTCCCTTAATGAGTCGACTGGGACGACACACTTGTTAAGGAGACAGAGGGTCTATTCTTTTTTTCAACTAAATGGGGGCTCCAGAACTCACACAGGGATAGCATTTCAACTGATTTGCAACCTAAACAACCAATTAGACATAGGCGTTTATACAATTCTTTAAAACCTTAAGTTTTCCCTCCAATGACATGTTGCAGTTTGATGATAAATAATTTAATCTTAATGCCTAAAACAACATCTGTGGTTTAAGCATTGTGAATACCCTTCACAATTCCTAAATATGCCGACTGGCCTGGGCGATCATGCCTCTCCACAATCTCCTGCAGCATGTATCAGTTTGTGCAAGACTGTCAAGAATCTTCTCTTGCTGTTTTCCTCTATCCCTTCTTCCACAGATCTTTCCAGTGGTCACAACATGTTTTATTATCCCTTTTCTCATAACATAAAAATGATGACTGTCTCCTTCTGATGTCTGTGATAAGTTGTCTTCGGGCTCCCGCCTCTGTTAAAACCCCTTGGTTTTGTATGGTGTCCATTCAATTCTATAAAACCTAAGGTATTTTTTTCTCAATGACATCATGCAGTTTTAAGTCCAATAATTTCATTGCTATGCCTTAACATATGTGGTTTGAGCGTTGTAAATAAGCTTCACAATTCCGAAATCCAGTTCAAATCCAGCTGTAGGTGATTTGGCAGCAGACCACTTTGCAAGAATTTCTACAATGGTATAGAGAGCTGGCTGTTCAGCAAGCAACGACAAATTACTGAACATAAAATCGCAGAGACTGGTTCTGCAACTTTCTTTACACGACTGGCACTTTAATGCCTAAAAACTTAGCATTACCCCACAAGTTCTATTAATTCTGAAAGAGTTAAAGTAAAACAAACAAAACAATGGGTCTCTGTTCTAACCCTTTACGAAAACATGGCATACGGTGCCAGCCATGTAACTGTATGGATTATGCTGACATAACTGCTCTACGAGAAGTGAGACATTTGTGAGAACCAAATGATGACTGTGAATCTTCAACCAAGACCAGACTGCAAGAACAGCATGTTAAAAGGCGTGCGGCTAGATAATAACTGCTCTACGAGAAGTGAGACATTTGTGAGAACCAAGTGATGACTGTGAATCTTCAACCAAGACCAGACTGCAAGAACAGCATGTTAAAAGGCGTGCGGCTAGATAATAACTGCTCTACGAGAAGTGAGACATTTGTGAGAACCAAGTGATGACTGTGAATCTTCAACCAAGACCAGACTGCAAGAACAGCATGTTAAAAGGCGTGCGGCTAGATAATAACTGCTCTACGAGAAGTGAGACATTTGTGAGAACCAAGTGATGACTGTGAATCTTCAACCAAGACCAGACTGCAAGAACAGCATGTTAAAAGGCATGCGGCCAGATAAAAACACTATGCAGGAAGCCAAAGAAGAATTAAGAAACCAACACAAAACTGGTGTCAACAGTCGCTACACAATACATGATTTACTGAGGAGGGTGTCTGAGCACTTACCGACTGAATGGTTTGATGTACAACGAGGATAATCTGTCGACTAACTAACTAAGTGACAAATCTGCACACACTGGACGGCACAGTCAATATCATCCTCACCAATTTTTCTTACCGAGATATTTTCGTGCATGCCGTACAGTAGACTAATTAAGGGTGTTCCCTTCGAAGTCGAAGTGCATCTGCCTGAAAGGCAAGGAACCTACAGTCTTCATAAAAATAAGCCAGATCTGTAAAACAGATGTGCATGCAATAGTCAAATTGCAGAATAAAACTTAAGTCTACAAGTTGATGAATAACAAGAACTTTCCATTTACAAGCTGAATACTAAGAAGATGCTGATGTGAGACACAACTTGTCTGCTCCAAGAGCAATGATATCAGTTGTGCCTAAAATACGGAGGTCTGAGGTTTGTTTGAGGTTTGAACAGAGGATCAATATCATGGCACACCGAGAACATAATATAACAAAATGACTACCCCAGTGGCTGACATATCCAGAGAGGTACTAGCAGAGGTACCAATGAACAACTAAAAACAAAGGTAGACACAGAACCGATACAAGATTTCAAAGAACATCAAAGAATCAAATGGTTTGGTCATCTGTCAGAATGGAACAAAATCCGGCATCAGCTAGAAAGTACTATATGAGAACAGAAGGTTACAGGGGAAAACTGACCAGAAAAAAAAAGAGATGGGTGGAGGGAGTAAAAGGGACACTACAGAAACACAGCAAGACATTAACACAGGCTACGCAACTAGCAAAAGACAGGACACTACATCCAACTCTTCCCTACAGCATAAGGAGTCAGACTAAAAGACAAAAGTAAGACAAAAGAAGACTGGTAGAGATACAGAACGTACCTTTGCCATGCACAGCTTTGTTGCTCCTAGTTCCATGCCAAGCTGTCTGGTCGCGGGCCTGACACAAAAGCCCATCAGGGTCAATGGCTGAAATCAGAAATATGGATCTAGGTAAGTCACAAAACTCAATTTACTGCCTGGTATATGATGATTGGAAGCAGCTATATACTCCGCCTACAGCCCGAAGGACTTGAGTTTGAAGCCATATCGAGTAGGATTTTGTTTTTCCAAACTGACACTGGCTCCCAGATCAACACCACCTAAAAAGGCTAAAGAGTAAAGTCCTGGGAAGTGAAGTTGGCCTGCATGATGCTGACAACATCGTCCATTCTGTTCTACTTTGTGAAATCATTCTAATATCATGAATTGAATCCAGTCTTGGCTTCTCACATCACAGAGTTCTTCAGGGCGGGGCTATTCAACTGGCGGCCCGCGGAGGCCTAGCAAGTGGATCACTGCCATTTGTATTGTATTAAGGATCTTTTCTATGCTGGGCATTGGGCCTCTGGCCCACGACGACCTTCATTTTCAAAATTCTAGCCTTGAGTATGTTAATACTGTCTAATAGCCCATTTATTTATCTTTAAAATAATAATAATTTATTCAATAACACATGTTGCAACTTAATTAAACTGTAGTTCAATTTGTGTATAAATCTACTAGATAACACGCCAGCCTCACAAAAACGGGAATTCCCGTTTGAGCTGTATGGCCTTATATCTACAGCTGGCCTTGGCTTTTTGAGTACAGAATGATCTATACAAATACAAGTCTAATATCATTTACCCAGTGTACCACTGGAATTAAAAGGGTCCTTTACTTTGCATTCTATACTCCCCCAGGGGGTGCAAGTAAGCTGCAAGGCAGTGGGGGGGGGGGGGGGTGGGGCAATACATTTTTTTGTTTCAGTATTTTGTTGTGTCTTGTCCAACATCAACACACAACAATAGCAGATATCATCAAGACCAGTGTCAACCATTACATTGATATCTGGACAGTAAATTACAAGCTGATGACTGTTTTTGTTTTATGTTATTTGACATGTTTTTGTGTTTAAAACTTTGATTTATTTATGTGGTTGTTGATGAATTTTGTCGTTTATGTTATATGATACTATTTGAAACATAATGTTTTCGTCCAAGTTTTTGTTAACAGTGCCTGGCATTTTTCATATCATCCTCTTTTTAATCAAACTTTTTCAAATGGGAGGGGGGAAGGGGAAGGGGGATCTTGGAAACATTTTTAAGGAATTTAAGGGAAAAGGGGGAGCTTAAAAGAGGTTCAAATCCACTGTTCTAGGTCCCTGATTTTTCCAAAATCTTCCTGTAAGACCCTCCTGTAAGAGGTAACTAGAATATTTCGACTTAAATCCATGTGTTGTCACAAGAATGATGCATGTTTAAGATGTTTTTTATGACATGCATTGTAAATTACAATGCTACTATTCTTTGAAGAAAAGAAGAGATTAAGGCAATTTTTTTTCTTCTTCTTCTTTTTCTTCACTTTCTTTTACCACTTTGGGCGTCAGGGGAGAAATTAGCTTCTGTTTGTTGCTCTTCAGATCACCTCGACCAGACACATTGTCATGTTGAAGATTTTTCTTTGATATTATCTTTCCATCTTGTTCTTGGTCTACCTTGAGCTCTATGTCCTTCTCCTATTTTTGTGATGTTTGCCATGTACTGTAAGGTATCACAAGGCATTTTAAACTGGCAAACCTTTTGATCTGTTGGCATGTAATTTAGAACTTCTGATTTGATCTCTTCTGGTAACTCCTGCAGTTCTTTGCCGCAGACACCATCTGTTTACATCTTGTTGTATTCTAAGTTAGTTAGTTATTTAGTCTTTCCTCTTGAGCCTAGGGCGATGCATAGGGTAGAGGTCATATCTCTCCATGTCTGGTGGTTCGCTGCTACCTGCTTTAGGTCTTCAATGTTTGCTAGGCCTATGGTTGAGCCTTCTCTAATGATGGTTCTACACAGATTCCCTCTTGGTCTTCCTCATTTTCTTTTCATATCCGGTGTCTATATGAGGGTTTGATAGGGAAGTCCTGTCTTATCCATTCTGAGTGCAAGGTCGATGTAGTTCAATCAGCGCTTTCTTATAAAATTAAAAACACTGTCTTGCTCAGTCTCTTGTCTTATTTGCATACTGGATCTGAAATCTGTCCAGTGAAGATTTAGTATTCTTCTAAGACATGTTCTCAAAATTGTCTAATTTTTTATCTATAGCTACCGTTGCTTTCCAAATCTTGCGGTAATAAGTTAGCACTGGAATCATACAAGAGTTGACGATCTCAAATTCTTTGTGACTGCTGAGTGTCTTTGACAGTTTGTTAAAAGCACTAGATACCAGTGTGATTCTAGATGATATTCTCAGTAGCGATATTAAATCCATTGCTAAGGTGATCTCGCTGGCGTAATGCTGACCACATTACCCACAGAGTGCTGATGGTCTGTAAAAATATGGGCGCTCTTCCCATATGCTCGATACGCCTTAAAGCGTGAAAAGGGATCTTTACTTTTTTTTTTTTTTTTAGGTGATCTCTGATAACCATTAAAATATACCAAAGGAGACCAAAGAACATAATTATTAAAACTAGACCAAAGAACATCAAGGTGACCCATAGGACATAAAAGTCCTCAGAAAGACAAGGAAGTATTCCAAAGTATACCAAAGCACACCAAAATATACAAAAGGACATCACAGTGTACCAAAGTACGCAAAATGACACCATGTGATAGCAACACTAGTCACTTCCTACTGTGTTTTTGTCTTCTACAGGTGCTGTCCCCGGGCAGAGGTCGGTGAACTTGATGCTCTAATCCTCTCCCTCACCTGTTTTCAAATCGTTGACTTCAAATCTTTGACTTCAAATCCTCTTTTCAAACCTTTTGACTTCAAACCCTCTCTGTCACCTGATGCTTGTAAACCTCTGACTTCAAATCCGGTCTGTCACTTGATGTTTTTAAACCTCTGACTTCAAACCCTCTCTGTAACCTGACGAAACCCTCAACTTACTTCAAATCCTCTCCGTCACCTGATGATTTTGAACCGTTGACATTAAATCCTCTCTGTCACCTGATGTTTTCAAACCTTTGACTTCAAATCCTCTCTGTCACCCGATGAAACACTCAACTTCAAATCCTCTCCGTCACCTGATGTTTTTAAACCTCTGACTTCAAATCCTCTCCATCACCTATGTTTTCAAACCTTTGACTTTAAATCCTGTCACCCAATGCAGTCTTTACATAAGAGCCCGATGGGCACTTGCCTGGGGTCCACTCTAGCATGTGGGCCCATGCTTATCTGTACGTCTAAAGACCATTTACATTTCATTCCTGTCCAAGGGCCCTTAATGCTGTTTAGATGGCTCTGCTGTCACTTTATTTTTCAAAACATGAAAAAATTAGCATTTTAACCTGCAGTTTGTGGCACTGCACAACTAATACAGGACTTGGTTCAGGGCCAGAGAAAAATGAAGCAGACCAGGAAAGACTTCGACACAGAGTTCAGCTGAATGTACAGGCCTCAAGCATCAAGTCCCCATCATTTGACCAAGACATGTGGAGAGATCTGGTCAGTCAACAGCAACGGTTGACCCCAAGGACATGGTTAATGGGACCGCAATGATGATTATGGTATTAAGTACTGCCCAGCTGTTTAATCTTAATTCTTCTTCTTTACCTTATCTTTTACTCTTTTACAACTTTAGGTGACAAGGGAAATATAAGGATTAGCTTCCTGCTCTTTAGGTGGCCCTGATCACAGACACATCGTACTGTTGTATAGTTTTTCTGATGTTATCTTTTCATATTATTCTTGGTCTACCTTGTGCTTTATATCCTCTTTTAGAGTATGTCTTGCAAGGTAAGGAATCATAAGACGTTCCCTCTTAGTGTGCAAACCCTTAGCTGTCTTTGCACGTAATTTACAACCATTTCCATGCTGAATTTTTATCTCTATGATCTCATTTCTGATGTTATCTTTGCATGTTGTTCTTGGCCTACCTTGAGCTCTTGTGGTGTATACCGTGTCCTGCAGCCTTTCTCAGACACATCATTTCTGTGGTTACTGATTTTCTTTTACGCTCTGCTGTGAGTGGCCATGTCTGGCACTAGTACTGGCATACTGGAGTGGGATGAATTTGCTTCGTATCAGATGTTTTTGTGTGTGTGTGTGTGTGTGTGCTTACACTTCACATCCCAATGATATCAGACTAAATATAATGTCTTAATTTTAGTCATAACTTACCCATGGCATTTCCTCTGTCATGCACATTCATGCGCCAGTGGCCTTTCCCTGCACCTGAAAAGGGGATGGTACATATATCAGACAATTATAAAGTTAACATTTGGTTTTGAAGATATGCATGTACAGAAGTATATGTAGTAATGCCAGTGGGCACTGCAGAATCAGAAATTCATCCTCTCCTTCTTTCATTAGCTTGAAACAGGTTATCTACATCTGCAGTGCTGTCTCTAGTATCTGCTTCTTTTTCTTTATTCACCGGCTGTAAGCTCCAGCCGAAAGACCCGGTTTTTCATCTATTTGGACTTTGGTTTTGTGCCAGGGCCTGAGTTTTGCATGTGCATCCGTTTTACTGGCTTATTTGTGTGCAGCTGGTTGTTCCTTGCTGTTCGAGCAGATGCACTCCGACGTAGAAGGAAGTTCCCAATTAGTCGATTCATACGACATGCTTGTTGTTGAGGCAGTGGTTCTATTCTTGTTTTCCACATAAGAGGGCCCAAAAAAACCACACGGGAAGTCTCTAGTATGACCTTCACTGTCTTTTGTAATTCATTCAGCGACCCGTAAAGTTTGGCTTCAACCAGTGTTTCTCTTGTCCAGAAGTTTTACTTTGATATGTTGTATTTGGGACAGTCTTGGAGAAACGCGACTGATTCCTGACAATTCCCTACTAGGTAATGTGATTATCTATATGGCTCAGCACCGAAAGGCAAAATATAATGGATGAGGCTTAATGCAACTAACCTAGCATATGATACCACAACACACAGTTTCAGAATAGAGGTGGAGGCAGTCACAGCATGCTTTTTGCTAACTAGATGATCAGCTGCACACACTTGTTGTGGCTGTAACACTCACAAAGCAGCCTGCTGAAAAAAGCTGGAATCAGGTATGCTTCATGTAGAGTGGCATTAATCACTTTAGAGGTCTTGGATAGTTTGGACAGTTAGCATCCTCTGGATCTTTTCTCCAAGGTAAGAAGGTTGTTGGGAAAAAAATATGGGAACAGATTGAATAGTTCTGCACCACTTGGTGGCAAACTGAGGCAGGTGATGCTAAACACATTTTCTTTTTAATACACCAATCGGCACTTTGTGGGTGAAGTGATCAACATCTCACCGGCTGCTTCTACTTCCCATTTCCCCTTCAATAAACTGAACGGTTTTAGGAGTTGCCTTTTAGTTTCATATAACTCTTGTGTTCAGTGTTGACTTAGCGTGCCAGTATTCCCTTCTAAATGGTCTGTACAAGGGAAATTCTTGCAGAAAATGTTCTGCAGTTTGCACAAACAGCTCACACGGGCACAGCGGTGAACCATTTCAGAATGGGAGAACATGCCAGCCCACGTCAATTACAAAAAAATGACTCAGTTGCTAATGTGAACCTGACCCTTGGGCTAGCAGGCAACAGTCTAGCCAATACGCTACAGGAACTCCCAGCATGGCACATAACCAGGATTAAACCTAACATATTAAAATGGTACTCACTCGCAGTCTTGGCAACCTTCTTGCCAGCTCCCTTGCCTTCCTGTAAATCTTTCATAGACTCATAGACAATTTGAAGAATGGGCAAACAAAATGCCTGGCAATAAGAAATGAGGATATATTAATGCTAATTTCATGATAACACTAAATGCATACTATTACAAAACCATAACTGTTTCTGTTTTAGACTCTTGCCTGTGCAAGCGGAATTAAAACAGAATTAAATAAACTAATTTAAATGTCTATGGCAAATCCAAAATGTAACTGGAAGAGACAGGAGCACAAACAAGTCAGGAAACAAGTTAGAGAACCAGTGCTAAGCTACATCAAAAGGCAACAGATCAAATGGTTCAGACATGTGTCAAGACTACCACAAGAGAATGCACCACAGAGAGCTCTATCACTCAGACACAACATTAGCAGAGACAGAGGTCGCCCCCACCAAATGATGGTTAGATAGCATATTTGAGGCCTTGAATACCAGCATCAACACAGCACACACCAAGGATTGCACAAAATGTCTTCTCAACACCTCAGACAAAAAAGGCTGAACAGGGTCTAGAGAAAAGAAGTCTGATGGCCCAAAGGTTTCAGGTTTGAATCCACATCAAAGCTGGTTTATAATACTAGGAGTTTAGTGTCATTAATTCAGTCTAATAGGAAAACTTACTAGTTACACACAATGGAAAATTGAAAAATCCCTGATTAGCGTTAGTAAGGATTATCATCACAGCACTTGGTACAGATCCATACGTGCTCAGATCTCCTCCTAAAAATTTTATTAACACTGATGACGTCTGTGATATGTGAAATGTTCCCTTCTTGCAGCTCCAGGCAGCACCCCCATGTCAATCAGCCTAGACAGGGATAGGGAGTAATGTTTTTTAGCGTGTTTGTCATCACTATAAGTGCTGCACACGACATTGATTACATGACTTTGTCCAGCACTGGACCAGCCATAGCAACCGCAGTTACTAAAGATAATCTGCACGCTCATTCCCTTGGGGAGCCCCCGTGGCGGAGCGGCTAGACGCGCGCCGCGGATCAGAAGGTCGTGGGTTCGCTCATGGCGGAGCCGGACTTTTCTTCAAAAATGACCTTGGCTTCCAGGTCGACCCAGCCTTGAGTGGGTACCGGGTGCAGTCCCGCGAAGTAGAGGCAGCCGGCGTGATGCTGACCACATCACACATCTTGTGCCATTGGTCTATAAAATACAAGTCTAGCCCTATATGCCCTATACACCTAAAGATGTGGAAAAAGGCCCTTTATTTTACTTTTACTTTCATTCCCTTGAACACCTGCATGACCTGGGACAATGCTGAAGGTTAGGGCAGCCATTCACAAAGTGCTTAGTGTTGCAATCCATTCTTATCTGACGAAACTAACCTGGATGTTTTTAAACACATTCATCAAGTCACTAAGTAAGCACACAATTGTGAACTCTTGAGTACTAAGCCATGCTAATGTTCTTGTTACAGCCATAGTTTCCATTGTAAGGCTACTAGTTGTAACAGCAAAGGCGCCATTCATCTGCTTGATGCTTTTTTCTGCTCGAGCCTACTCTGAATGCAATTGCGCTTCGCATGCTCCAAATTACTGATCATCTGTGTAAGCATCACCTTCATCTGTATTTTTGTCAATCACTGTTCTGACAATAGCGTCCACAATGCCAGGAATTTGCTCTCTGCATCCCTACAGATAAGCAACTAATTTACTAATTATGCAAAATGTAAAATAACCTTACAAACATGACAATAATTTCAACAGAAGTTTTAAGTTAAGAATCGATTTCATAGCACTCAAGACAATCCCATAAGCACTCGATCCCCCATGTTTAGCAGCAAGCTTATCCAAAGGTACCAATAACAATGTGACACTATGTCCACCGTGTGCCATGATGTTGAATAGACCATAAACATAAGCATAAGAAGAAGCTGGGCTGCAATTTATATGCTTTTAAGCAAGATTTAGACAGGTTTAGACAACAGATCAACATCATGGCACAAGGGTAGTAACCCAAAAGTTCTACTTCTGACTCAAGCCTGAGTCTCTTCTGAAGAATCTCAGCGCAGTGCACGAACTCCATTGCACCAGCAAGGATTCTGAAATACTTTGGCTAGATTTTTAACTCACAATTTTGCCCAGGTAGCGCTGTTAGGCAAAATTTCTCAGCAAATCTTTTCTCAGTCATGTTTTACAACATACTTGTTAGGGGCAGAGGGTCTGAACTTTCTCCTCTAAATGAGGCCCCCAAAACCCCATGAGAACATTTATAGCATGGGGCAGAGGGTCTAAACTTACTCCTCTAAATGAGGCCCCCGAAACCCCATGAGAACATTTATAACAATCTAAAAATAACCAGATCATGAGACAACTCTCATACTCACTCCAGTTTTCCCACTGCCAGTCTCAGCAGCCTAATAAGAAAACAAATTAATTCCAAAACATTTTACATTTATAAATAATTTTTCAAAATTATAAACATGCGAATAATTATTTTAAAATAATTTCACATACATGAATAATGTGATCAGTGTGGACTAGATGAGGGAAAATCTTTTCTCCAGGCCATGCCGGCGTAGTGGGTAATGAACAGGCAGACAGACTGGCTCGATCTGCACCACTGGGTGGTGAGCTGATGCATGACAAGGCAGATGTGGTCAAGGCCCTTTGGGAACAAGCAACCGAATCAGTAGAGAAAGAAGATTATTATGGCCTGGAGAGAATGAGGTACCTGGGTGTAAGCAGAGGGTCTGGCCGGCTCACTACAAGCAGAGGAAAGGCAAGACGGACATACAACTAGATTGTGACCGGTACCATCAGTACTGGAACTTTGTGCTGGTTGCTGAAGATGAGGACGGAGCACACATGGGAATGCCCCAGATGCAATGATGTCAATTCATGACTCAACTCAAGATTAGAGAAACTGCCAGAGCTTTAAAAACCTTGAACAATCATTTTCTTCTTCTTAGAGTTCACTGGCTGTAAACTCTGGTGGAAAGTTCTTATTGTTCATCCATTTCTGGACTTATGTCTTGTTCCAGAATTTGAACTTTGCATGAACACCTCTTTTACAGATCTGGTTTATCTGTATGCAGACGGTTGATTCATCGCCGCTCAGGTAGATGCGCTCCGACTTCGGAGGGAAAATCCCTAATTAGTTGCCTTTTAACACATGTTTGTTAGGGCGGCCAGTGGGTCAATCTCCCCCCCCCCCACACACACACACACACACAAATGGGGCGCTGCAGCCCATACTGGAACTATCATGAGCAATGAAATCAACTCTCATGACTAAAGACTTTGTAGCTCTGTTTGAACAAAGAAGACACAAACATTAGATTGCACTATTTAATGACTGGCATATGTCGCTGTATCACGTCAAGGTGCATACTACAGTAACAATTGATTAAAATGAAGCAAATAAATTAATCCCACATGTGGGGGTACAAGGAAATGAGCAAGCTGATAAGACTTGCAGGTGAGGCTACTGTGAAAGCCAGACAAGCCATGGACCAGGCTGATATACTGAATGCTCTAAGTGAGTTAAGACGTTTGCGTGAACCAACTGAGAACAGTGAATCAACCATGATCAGACTGCAAGAACATAATATTAAATGGGGTGTCCCCAAAAAAGAACACTACATGGGCAGCCAAAGAAGAAGAGTAAATCAACACAGAACTGGTGTCATTAGCCACTACACACTGCAGGATTTACTACGGAGGGGATCCAAACACTTATGGACTGAGTGGTTCAACATGCAATAAGGATAATCTGTCAAATAACTAACTAACTAAATAAATGAATCTTTCGGACTGAAACACAAAATCTGTTTTACCAGGACAAATGCAAGGTGAGGAGCTTGTCCTTGTTGTGACACATCACGAGTTACAGCGAAATATGCTAGATAAAAAAATTGTACAATCTATTCTTTGTGTCTTCTTTGTTCAAATTCACAACGGGGAAACATTACTTTGACTTTAAGCTCCAATGGTAATCAAAGTTAGAAAAAGTTGCCCTTGGCAAAGCCCTCTATGCATACTACAGCCATCCCTTTTGTGCCATGTTCATCACTAACAGTGAATCAGACATTATAGCATAATTAGTGCTGTAAACCATCTGCTGGCTGCTCACATCTCAGGCTAATATGCTTCCACTTTGAAGAAAACCTTGACTCCCAGGTCAACCCAGCCTTGAGTGGGTACCGGGTGCAGTTCTGGGAAGTAAAGGTGGCTGGCGTGATGCTGACGACATCACCCTCTTATGCAGATTGGTCTATAAAAATATAAGTCTAGCTCTATATGCCCCATACACCTAAAGGAGTGGAAAAAAGATGTTTCATTTTTTTTTTACTTTCGAAGACAACACCCCTAATTAGTTGACTTTTACAACATGCTTATTAGGGGCCAGTGGGTTTATTTTGTTTATTTCCCAAAATGGGAGCCCAGGAACCCACATGGGGAGAAAGGTTCCCGTTTAACTCATCCCATCTTTGAGTCCAAAAATTTTACAATAAGATGCAATGGAACAAAATGAGTTTAGCCAATAATTTAGACAGAATGAGCTAAGTAAAGAACAGCAGCAGAGAGCAGGTGCGGGGTAAGAAGGGCAGGGGCCAACCAGCAAGAAGACAGGAACAGAACATCTTTTCTTATTCCTGGGCAGGAAAGTTGGTGAGGAACTGACTTTCTTTCAGGCAGGCTGTGAGGGAAAGGATGTTCTGTAAAAGGACATTCTATACAGAAAAGTGAAAACTTATTTGGAAGCTGTGGAGATGTGGTTTTATAGATAAATGATGAGAATACACTGGAACGACAAAAAGAGTAATGAAGACGTCTTGAAAGAAACTGACTCACGAAGAGAACTGATTACTCACATTAGAAAGAGGCTATCTATATTCTTTGGTCATGTGATGAGAAGGGGAAAACTAGAGTACATCGTGACGGTGGGAAAACTGGAGGGGAGGAGAGACCGAGAGAACAGATGCTGGACAGTTTGACATCATGGCTTAGAACATCATCTGTGTCAAGAGTTGACTGAAAATACACGAGACAGAAAGTTGTGGACAGACATGACTACCAACGCCACACAGCATGGACTTTAGTAAGAATATACAGAAATGAGTCCAAAAAACTATGCTGACAGAAATGAGTCCAAAAACTAAGCCAAAGAAAATTATGGTCAGATGCACAGTGGAGTTAAAAACACACAATACGAGGTGATGGACATTACCATGAGCACATCGCCTCCACCAAGAATCAGGGGTATAGCTTCCGCTTGTACATCAGTTGGTAAACTGAAATATCAATTTGGATTGTGTGAATTTGTGACAATCTATGTTAAACAAGCCAATTGTGAAACTTCTAGTTAATGTTGGATAGATACAATACAAAAATTAGCACAGAACCTGAACAATATAATTTAGTACAAAACCTAAACAAAACAATTTAGTACTGAACCTAAACAATACAACTGAGCCCAATACCCAAACAATATAACTGAGCAATGAACCTAAACAATACAAAGAGGTACAAAACCTAAACAATATAATTTTGTACAGAGCCTAAACAATATAAATTAGTATAGAACCTAAACAATATAAATGTATACAGAAACTTAAAAAATATAATTTCATACCTAACCTAAACAGTATAATTAAGTACAGAACCTAAACAATACAATTTAGTACATAACCTAAACAATGCAATTTAGTACAGAACCTAAACAATACTTTTGAACATAGAAGCAAACAATATAATTTACCGTAGAAACCAAGCAATTTAGCCCAGAACCCAGCCAATACACTTTAGCACAGAAACCAAACAATTTAGCACAGAATCTAAACGACACAATTTAGCCCAGAAACCAAACAATATATTTTTGCACAGAAACCAAACAATTTAGCACAGAATCTAAACGACACAATTTAGCCCAGAAACCAAACAATACACTTTAGCACAGAAACCAAACAATTTAGCACAGAATCTAAACGACACAATTTAGCCCAGAAACCAAACAATACATTTTTGCACAGAAACCAAACAATTTAGCACAGAAACCAAACAATTTAGCACAGAATCTAAACGACACAATTTAGCACAGAAACCAAACAATTTAGCACAGAATCTAAACGACACAATTTAGCCCAGAAACCAAACAATTTAGCACAGAATCTAAACGACACAATTTAGCCCAGAAACCAAACAATACATTTTTGCACAGAAACCAAACAATTTAGCACAGAATCTAAACGACACAATTTAGCCCAGAAACCAAACAATACATTTTTGCACAGAAACCAAACAATTTAGCACAGAAACCAAACAATTTAGCACAGAATCTAAACGACACAATTTAGTACAGAAACCAAACAATTTAGCACAGAATCTAAACGACACAATTTAGCCCAGAAACCAAACAATACATTTTTGCACAGAAACCAAACAATACAATTTAGCACAGAAACCAAACAATTTAGCACAGAATCCAAACAATACAATTTAGCCCAGAATCCAAACAATTTAGCACAGAATCCAAACAATTTAGCACAGAATCCAAACAATTTAGCACAGAAACCAAACAATTTAGCACAGAATCCAAACAATACAATTTAGCCCAGAATCCAAACAGTACACTTTAGCAGAGAAACCAAACAATATAATTTAGCATAGAATCCACACAATGCAAGTTAAGTTAGTATAGATGGCTAAAATCAAACCTCCAATCCATCTCCTCCACAGCTCTGGCAATCTCTGGCATCACACCCATTTCTGTTTGGAGTAAAATGGATGACAGTGATACTCAAATATGAAAAAGAAAAAATTTCAAAATATGAAAATAATACGTAATCAATACAAGACAATGGATTATATTATGTTACCTTTCACCCAGATTCCCTAGTGAACCCACCCTAATTTCTATTTTGATGTTAACAGATTACATAACCTGGGAGTAAAGCTTTGTAAAGCATGTCTATGCCATCTTCAAGGTCAAGACAGAAGGCTATAATCAAATTCTTATGGGAACAATCAGTAGATACCCTGGAATGGTTGTTGCATCCAAGGACTCAGCAAGCATGGAAATGCCCAATGTGCAGTGATATTGACTGTGATAAAATAACATAAGATTAGTGACGGATAAAAAGACATGTTGAGTGCCGATCGGTTTACAAATATGGAACTGGCATCATATATATTAAGTACCTTAAGACATTAAAAAAAAAGATAAATAAAAGCCACACCTAGTTAATTAGTAGACAGATTACCCTCACTGCAGCCATTCAGTCCATCTGTGCTCAGATCACCCCCCCTCCCCCCCCCTCCACCCCCGCCTTAGTAAATTCTGAAGCATGCAGCAGCTGATGACACCAGTCCTGTGCTGGTTTATTATTTTTCCTTACTTTCTGGATAGTGCTCATATCTGGCCACACCTCGTAATACACTGTTCTGGCAGTCTGGTCATGGTTGCAGATTCACAGTCATCACTTGGTTCTTACAAATGTTTCACTGCTTGTAGAGCATTCAGTATATCAGCATGGTCCATGGCATTTAACCCAGACCACAATATAACCGGACGCTGCTGGCAGTAGGCTGATAGTGTTTTTGTTTTTTGTTTTTTTTAAGATGGAACTGAAATGGATTTGAAGTGAAAGGAATGCTAGTACTGTACTATAACAGCACTGTTGCGCAATTGAAAAAAAAAATAACAAATTGCTATAAGCCTACAGGGTAAGAAATAAAGAGCTTTGAGCAAAGCAGGGCACTTAAGATATCTTGGTCATCCACTGCACTTAGGTCTATTTCCAATCGTCTCGACATTGTCCTGCCATAGGATCAAGATGGACACAAGCGAAAGAGTGAGGTCAACAACTTGTGCAACGCTTCCTCACTTAAATCCAAGTCCTTGAGCAAGTCACTTTCGTACAGCTATTACTTTGGATAAACGTGGTCTTCATCACTCATGATGGACAAAAAAAACAAGAAGACAGGAAGTAAAGAACTGTTACTGCTCTACAGCAAGAATTCTATAAATATTTTGGCCAAACAAGATCCCAAATGAAAAACTGAGAAGCAGCACTGGCAAATGTTATCAAGGTAAGACAATGGAGATGGCTTGGACATGTTTGCAGCTTGTGACACTCTGGCAAAAGCAGCTCTCCTGTGGGCAGCAGATGGGGAAATGAGACATGGACGACCTAAGGAAACCCGGAGAAGGACAAAAGAATGGGAAACAAAGGAATGAGAAGTGACATGGGATAGTACGGGCAGAAAAGCAGCAGACTAGCAGCAATGGTGATCACTTGTGAATGCCTTATGTGTCAACAGCAACATGAAGAGGATATACAGAACTGCTCTACAGCAGAGCTTTTCAATAAGTTTCCTCAGAGGGCCAAAATGGAGATCACCAGAAGCTTTAGCCCCAGCAAAAGAAAGATTATTAACACAATACAACTGGCAATGATCCGAGGTCCACCTGCTAGGCCGACAGTTGAATAACCCTGCTCTGCGGTGTAAGGTCCTGCCAGCACAGAACTGCTATAATCTGTTTGTGCTTGTCACATTCATCTATAGTCTACCATTTCAAGTGTTTATTTTGTGTATTTGTATCATTTGATTTATGTATGTGCTGATAAAGGCTCCATAGCTGCATTGTTCACGCTTTGTGTGTGTGTGTTATATTGTGAAGCATATTTTTCGATCAGTTTTATATCTTTTCATGATGATACAATGTAAGGAAGAAGTACAGAAATAACTGCTAAAGCATGGAAAGAGTAATACTGTTTTTCTTTTGTCAATATTAATGTACTTGCATAAAACTGAATTCTTAACTTTATATGTTGACACAACCAATACTGACACACTACTGCCTTTATGTCTTTGTAATGTCTGTAAGTTATTATTTTTTTTAACATGACTGAGGCGAACAGTTTAAAACTGTTTTATGACAAGGACATAATGGTACAGTGATATGCATATATAATGATATAATACTCATAAACTGTTACTGTTATCTTCCTTAGACAGCAAGTCCATTACAGAATATCTCTCTTATTGCAGCATGTCTGAAAGAAACTGGGACTCTTGCCAGCTCCCCCAGGTACAATAACTTTCCTGTCAAGGTGTCTTCAATGTCATCTTCCTCTTGCATTCATCTGAAGATGTAAATGCGTTGTGCCTGTCTACAGCATGGCTTTATATGATATATCTGTCTGTGCCCTGCAGGTACTTGTTGCCTGGGTTGGTCTTCCCAGTCTGCAATAGCAGCAGTGTCATGTGTCCACTTTCAATAAGCAGCAGTGACATGTGCCCACTTTCAATCTTCTTGGTTCTTGCCTCTCTTTCCCAGAACCAAGCCTTCAATTATTTTTTTTTTTAGTCCATTGATTATGTTCCCTAACATCCCTAAGTATTATTAGTAATATTAGACTAGTAACGCCAGTAACGTGCAATCCAATAGATGTGCGTCTTTAGGTTGCTGTTTTCAGTTTTGCGAGATGTGTACAGTATGGAATAAAATAAAACAACAAAATTTTAGGGAAAGGAAATGAAATAGATGAACAGAAACTAGAATGAAAATCAATGCCAAAAGCACGCAGACAAAAATTAAAAACCAAAGACTATTCTTCTTCGCTTTCACAGGTTGTAAACTCCAGCACGGCATTTTAACGGGAACGCAGATCTCAGTTCTCCCCGCTGTTATACGTGTGTAAATCGTGAATGAACAAAGAAAACATAGAACAATCGTTTCTTATCTATTCTCCACTGTCGAATAATGGGTTCAAATTTCAAACAGAGCAAAAAAACTTGTAAAAATACCTTCAAAAGCCGTCATTTTCTGGTTTGTTCGAAAACGTCTGCTAACTTTCGCTTTTGCAAACTCAAAACGTGAGACAATTGATATGACAGCCCCTTTCTCCGCCGTGTTTTCGAACTTTTCTTCTTTTACCCGAATTCCAGAGAAATTTGACTAAAAAGCTCAACAAAATGGGAAAAAGGAAAACGTGCACAAAACAACACAACGTAACGTTTCGGCCAGGCAGCCTTTTTCAAACACAAGTGGACTACACAAAAGAGGAATGGAGAGTATGTAGATCTCTAAGGGGTGACGTGAGCGACGTTTAAAAAATGTGATGCGGAATAAATGAAATAAAATAAAATAAACGATGGCTAAAAAATATAGTCACAATACTGGGAATAAAAGAAATGCAAGTGTTAATGATACATAAATGATATTGATAAGAAATAGAATATGGTAATAATATGAAATAAAATAAAATAATTAACATTTAAAATGTAATAAGATTAGAACTATTTAGATGAAGGTATGTTGGATATTGATACCTCTTGGACTAAGAACGCCAAGGCTGTGGATAAGGCGATTTTCCAAAGCGAGGCGGGTAGTATGATCGCCAGAGCAAGATTTTAATGCTGTGACAGATATGTCATCTTTACCGCTGTGGTCAGGGCTATTAAAATGAAGAGGGATTGGTTTGAGTGTCTTCTTGTCGATAATTTTTAATTTTTAATTTTTAATTTTTAATTTTTGTCTGCGTGCTTTCTTTTACCCGAACAATATTACATAAATAAAGTAGTTTATAAATCAAATAACATTTTTGTTGACACTAAAAATACTTTGTAAACTATATATCGCAAAACAGTATACAATGAGGATTGTACTATCATCACGTGCATTGTCGATTACCCAAAATAAAGTGCACGTAGCTGAGTCAAGAATTGACATTACTGCACTCGGGGCATACCCATGCGTGCTCCGTCCTTATTAAATCAGTTAATTTCAGCAGCCAACTTAGAGTTCCAATATTAATTATACAGGTCGTAATGTGGTTACATGTTCGCCTTGCTTTTCCTCTGAGTGTAGTGAGTCGGCCAGACCCTCTGGTTCTGATCTAAATAGGGTGCGGGTACTCACCAGAAATTGTCTTTTACAGCAGTCCTAATGTATATATATATATATATATATATATATATATATATATATATATATATATATATATATATAAAGTGTACCGGTCTACGTACTGTAAACCGACTAATTACTTTCTTTTATACCAACTTACGCCATTATTAAGACATAAAAATTATGACTATCAATAAACAGATAATACAACGGCAAATTCATAACAATATTGTGCTACTAGTGCAAAGCGTGGATATCATCAAAGCATAAAATTAACACCTGTGAGATGGAAAGAAAAACCACTAACTGAACCATTCAAGACTTAGTGAGAAATGATACTATCAAATATTATTCATTGTTCATTTAAATATCATCTTCATCACACATTGGACATGACCATAAGCGCTCTGATCTTCTCCACAGTATAGCTCTAAGTGTAAGAACTCCCATTCTGTCAGATAGACTATAGGAACAATACCTTGCAGCAGATTCGGTTAGAAACAGAAGAAATTTGATTTGATTCAAGAACCGACATCACAGCACTCGGGGCATTCCCATAAGCGCTCCGTCCCCATCTTCAGCAGCCAGCGAAGAGTTCCGATACTAATGGGTGCCAGCAGCATTCTGATTAAACGTCCGTCTTGCCTTTCCTCTGAGCCTCGAGCATCTGCCAGAACCTCTTGTCACCTCCCCCCCCCCCCCTTTTTTTTCTGCATTAATCTCACCAGACTGGTGATCCATCTGCTCCTCCGAACTGTACACGCTCTCCCACAAGGCACTAACCACGTACGCCTTTGTCACGAGACGACCTCAGTACTTGTAATAATTCTTCTGGGTCTAAAGAGACAGAATTATATTTACTTTGCCCTTTACCCAAATATTACTTTAAACCAAACTGATTTAAATGTTTCCAGTCCATAGTCCATAGACTCTTTCCCGTTCAGTTCATCAGTGCAATTTTTATTGAGACCTAAGTATTGTCACCGGAGCTAAGGAGTTCATGCTTTGTGTGACACTTTTAGCAGAAGCTGGTAATTATACTGAGAAAGGCTGAGCAACATGAGATAAATCAAGTTCAATGAAGTAACGTATCCTGACTCTAAAGTTAAATCAATAAACATTTAAATATGATAAAGGGGGAGGAAGGGAGGCTAGATTCGAAACAACTATATCTGCTGAGTTTTCAGTTCCCCTAGAGATCAGAGGTTATATCCGGTGTCCTGAGAGCAGACGTTCAAAGTAGTTCAAACAGTAGAAATGAATAGCTTGAGTGTAACAACCACAGGACGCAATCTTGGGGTGAGGACTATATATTTATGTCTTTTTATACATTTATGTCTTTCTAATTTGATTACTGCTATTAATTTAATTGTTAATTTAGTGGATAATCTTGACATTACTGCATTTATCTCTTTAACATCACGGCCCAGCTGTGACCTTTTCGCGCTTTATGTTATATAAGAGGAAAGCGAAAGTAGAAAACATTTATTTATCTGGAGAAAGTATGTTTTTGCTTAATGGTTTATAGTTGTTAGTTTGCAGCGAGTATGTTTGGGGATCTTTTTTTTTTTTTTACAGTAATTGTGTGCAACAACAAACAAAAAATGTATAAAATGTAAATTTACTCAAGTTGGACGCGCACTTTCTCCGTCACGTAGACCATAACAAATAGTGGCATTAGTGGACTAAAAGGACCTGTTACTTTGGACTTTGCACAAACAAACACGTACTGATGCCTCCGGGTTTAAGATACCATATCTGTTTATTGATTTTTTTCCCCCTCAGAGAGAAGCTTATCTATTTCCTGAAGTTACCAGTACGTGTATTTTGCATGTTTTTTATAGCTAACCCTTTTTTTGCCTTTGGTTTCCAAACTGAGTCCACTCAACTCTCTAAAAATTAATCAGTGAGGATGGGCCTGAAAGAGTTAATACTGTTTGCTCTATTTTGATGAGTAAGACCAAGAAGGGAAAGATAGGTGACGACATCAGCAGCACACAGGCTTGCACTAGCCAGCACACGTGCTCTTGTACACCAGTGGATAGCGAAAGTAGAAGTTTTTGTTCTTTGTGGGAGCTGTCATGGTGTAGTAGCTAGACACCCGCCCACGAATCAGAAGATCATAGGTTCCAATCTGAAAGGAGCCTAACTTGAAAAAAAAAACTTGTGCTTCTAGGTCGACCCAGCCTTGAGGGGTATTCTCCTTTAAAAAGGCTGTTGGTCTGTTTTATTGTGGTTTACAGCTAGCATATTATATCTGTGCATCTCGTCTCAACACTTTGACAACATGCCTGTTAAGGGACAGTGGGTGTATCATTTTTTTAATTATCCTTAAAATGGTGTCCAGTAACAACCACTGATCTCACTAATTCAACAGTAAACCCTTTTTGAGTTCTGGGGCCCTCTTGTAGGTAAAACAAGAATAGACCCACTGCCTCCCCAACAAGCATGTCATAAGAATTGACTAAGTGCGAAGAAGCCTTAAATGCAATGGAGTGCCTGCCAACCATGGGCAAACTAGACATGGAACTCTCCATCACATAAACTGGCAAAACAGTTGATGTATTTCCCTGAGGGAAGGTACCAGGAGAGGATGGTGTCCCACCTGAGATCCTGAAATGCACAAAGGATGCTTAATTCCTGAGCTGCACAAGATAATCTGCCAAGTGCTTCAGGATATGAGAGATGCCAATATTATAATTGTCTATAAGAACAAGGGAGACAGAAGCGAAAGCAACAACTATTGCTGCATCTCTCTGTTGAGAGTCTTTGCTCGTGTTATACTGAAGAGGTTGCAAATGTTAGCGGACAGCATATACCCAGAATCACAGTGTGGGTTTAGGACCCAGAGATTAACAGTAGATATGATCTTCTTCATCAGGCAGCTATAAGAAAAGTGTAGATAACAACGGAGGCCACTGGTCTTTGCATTCATAGATCTCACCTTTGTTTATGTCAGCAGAGAGGATCTGTTCAGGATCCAAGATAAATACGGATGCCTGCCTATACTACTGAGCATAATTAAATCCTTCCACGAGAATATGCAGGGAACCATAATATATGAGGATTCATCATCTTCACCCTTCCATATTTGTAACAGAGTAAAGCAAAGATGAGTTCTGGCTCCCATGCGGTTTGGCATCTTTTTTTTTTAACTGCATAGTTGAGGCATGCATTCGGGACAGCCCCACCGAAGGAATATATCGCCTTTCGAGGTCAGATGCAATCTTTTTAATCTGTCAAGGCTACAGAGGAGGTGCACACAAGATTTTTGTGTGTGGATGATGCAGCCATTGTGGCACACACAGAGGATGATTTGTAGATTCTCATCAATCGCTTTGCAAACGCATGCAAAGAATTTGGGCTTACCATCAGTCTCAACAAAACGCAAGTGAGGAGAATAAATGTTGAAAACCCACCAAAACATTAGTGTTTATGATTCTCTGCTGTTGACTGTACATGAGTACCTAGGCTTGCGAATCTCAGGCGATTGTTCCCTAGATGTGGAGATAAATAGACGTATAGGAAAGGCCTCTGCAGTCTTGTCAAATCTCACTAAGAGAGTCTGGTCAAACAAAAAGTTGACTGATAATACCAACAAGAAAGTTTGTGAGTCTTATGTCTTGAGCACTCTATTGTATTTTAGCGAATCCTGGACTCTATATGTTCATCAGGAAAAGAGACTGAATGCTTTCCATATGTATTGTATGAGGCGCATCCTTGGTATATCATGGCGAGACCTTGTCTCTAACGAATGTGTCTTCACAAAGACGTCTGTGCTGGCTGGGACATGTCTCCGGCATGGAGGATGGTCTTATTCCAAAGGAACTCCTGTATGGTAAACTGGAAACCAGGAATAGACCTACAGGGAGGCCAAAGCTACCTTATAAAGACACATGCAAGCATGACTTGATAGAAACCAACATAGGCACAGAGACTTGGGAAAAATCAGCTGCAGATCAACTACTAGAGAGACAGAAAGTGAAGGATGGATTGTGGCATTTTGAAAGGAACAAAGCGCAGTGAGCTATAGAGAGGAGACACTGGAGAGAAGATCAGCCACACAGCAAGGGAGTATCTACTTTTTCTGTGTATCCTATGTGACAGAGACTGCCAGTCCCACATCAGACTTTACAGTCACAGCAGATGCTGTTCCCAAAGCCAGCGGCACATCTCCATACTCCCCAGGGACTACCAGATGCTATTATGATTATTGTTCACAGTTAGATGAGACCTATGTGGTCATCTGTTTTGTAAGGTCTGCCACGGACTTCATAAGGGGCCGTGTTAGCCCAGTCGATAAGAGGCTCACTTTCAAATCCAGCTGTGACTCTGCAGCCCACAGTCGGTGATCGAAACCGAGCGGTTACCGTGGTTCACCCAGCCTCTAGGAAATGGATACCAGAGTTGACACTCTGTGGTAAATGGAGGAACGTTGCTGTAGCTACAGAGTCAAGTGCAGATGGTGACACAGGCGGACAATTCTTATCAGCTGTCTGTACAGGTGGCAGAGCACTTATGGTTTATAACCATGTGCAGTGATGCTGGTTCACATCTCCCGACTTTACCTTTTTTTTTTTAACGGACTTCATACTTGTATTAAAAAAACATTTTATAATTTGTAGATATTAGAATAGATAAAAGGATCGCATTCTGAACTTGAACAATTTTTTTTTATGTGTGTATAAATGATATCATGGACCCCTACAATGTGTTCCGGGGGAAAAGATTGGAATTAGGCCAACAGTGGATAAACAGGTCATTGGCACGCTTATATATACTGGTTAAGCAGGTTATATTCAGGATGTTTATTTTTCTTGTATCACTGAACACTTATCTTTGAGTGATAAAATAACATGTTAGTATACAAGTTTCTTATCCTCATTGAAATGCCAGTGTATGGTAGGTCTGCAACCTCTCCATTCTTTCTTGTTATCAGTCATTGACTCCAGGGTATTTTAGTACAGTGAAGGTGAGACAGAAAGTTCTTTGAGACTGACATAGAGCTAGTTCTATTATCTGTGGTCTTCTTGTGCGTTTGTCCTCAGCATGGGTGGTTGGCACATTATGTTGCAGTTTACAGCATGGCTTTGACATCAGCCCAATAAATCCAATGTCAGCATGTCCTTTAATTGGTCACCTTTTATGAAATGCTTGTTTAAGAGCTGTATGTCTCCCCCTTCCTCCTCCACCCCCAGAGAGTCGCTGGAACCCACACATAAAAAGTACCCTTTGTTGCTGGGGTCTATAAAGTACCATTTAGCTGCAAATTCCTACTTACCATGAACTTATCTACTAATCTACCAAGGGCTAAGCATAAATTTATTAAGAGCCTATACTCGTTAGGAATCGGCTCTGTGGCTAAGTCGATGTGAACGCTTCATAATGCCGGGTATGCTGGGTTCGATCCCATCTGCGGGCCATGCGCCTTGCGTTGATTTCGACAGTGGTATCAAGAAAGCCGACCGTCCAGAAAGCAAAGGCAAACTACTAGACGTAAATTTGCCTAGAAAAACCGCACAACAGCCAGGGGCTGTTTGGGTTGGCTCTGCAACGTCCTGTAAAGGATATGCAACTAACCTAACTCTATTAGGAGACAAAGGGCGCAAGAAGAAAAAGATGTTAGGTAGCCAAAGAAGAATAGTAAAAACAGAACTAGAAGATGTTAGGTAGCCAAAGAAGAATAGTAAACCAGAACAGAATGTGTTATCAGTTGCCACATGGTGAGGAAGATATTGATGATTGGATGTGAGCGCTTGTGGATAAAGATGATCTGCCAATTAACTAACAGTGAATGCAGCTGTTGGTAGGGAGAGGAAGAACATGTGGGTTAAGGGTTAGACCTGTTTACTGTGATCAGTGAAACGAATCTGAGTTGCAGTTACATGTTGCCTCACTGGATGTTTGTGTACCAGGTAGAGTGAGCTTGTCCCACTAAGGTGATTCAGGTGTTTAAGAACCAGATATACACAAAGCATGCCCTTCTCATACGGATGAGTGAGCAGTGACCCCCAAATCCATTCCCTTTCCCCTATCGACCACACACACACTTAGAAAGACAGGCAGAACTTTTCAGTTATAAGTTGATTCTTCTGGGATATTGATTGAAGTAACTGTCTGTCTCAAATGAGAAGTAAAACTGGCTAGGTTTAAGAACTGGCATTTTTTTTTTTAGGAACTTGTATTTTTTATTATTATTAAATTTTTTAGGAACGTGTCTTTTTGTAGCTTTTTTTTTTTTTTAAGTAACTTTTAGTTATTTTTTATCTTTTTAGGAAATTTACTTTTGTTATGTTTTTTCCTTTTTTTTGTGTGTGTTTGTTTTAGGAACTTGTAGTTTTTTTTTTTTCATAGAAATTGTTATTTTTTCTATTTTTCCTAGGAATGTGTTTTGTTTTAAGCAACTTGTAATTTTTTCCTTTATAGTGTTTTTGTGACTTTTACGTTTCAGTGGAGCAGAGGACCTCAGCCAACTCAAATCAAATCCTATATAGTCGTTTTGTTAGATTTTGTAGTATTGGTCGGCATTATGGAGTGCGTTTGTAGTGCCTAAGCCACAGACACTGACATAAGTCCTACCTCGATTTGTGAACCTAATTTGTTCCTGACTAGTTCATTTCTTGAAAAGTTCATACGTTGAGCGGTTCGTAAATCTCCAAGGACAGCAGTCGGGACATATAAAAGTTTGTAGAAATAGTGCACAATTTAAATAATTATAAATGTTTTCTTTCATTGATAGGTTCGCTTGCGACAAGCTGCCGTCATTGTCAATGGTGGCATTGCTATCTTTGCTGGAATTAATCTGTACCGTGGCAATGAAAAGTTTTATGAGGAAATTGCCATGCCATTATTTCGGCTGTTACCGCCTGAGGCGTCACACAGTTTGAGTATAAAGCTGGCAAAATACAAGTTAGTGCCCAAATCACAAGTTGCAGATTTGCCATCTCTTGTAAGTACTTTCATGTCTTATGTAGCGTCTTCTTCTGCTTGTCCTCTTTCTCATTCTTCTTTCTTGTTCAACCTTCTGAACCCTTTATGTTTAATGTTGCAGATGTCAACCGCTCCCATTTATCTCTCTGACTGTTCTTTTTTTTCAGTTTGGTGACTCTAAGTATTGTAGGTATGTCTGTATTTGATCTCTTCACTAAATCTTCACTGAACAGATTTCAGATCCAATACGCAAATAAGACTAGAGACCAACTAAGACAGTGTATCCATTTTTATAAGAAAGCGCAGCAGGAATTACATCAGTTATGCACTCAGAATCTATAAGACAGGACTTCCCCCTTGTATGGACACCGGAAGAGAACAGAAAACGGGAAGACCAAGAGAGACCCTGCATTGAACCACAATCAGAGAAGGCTCAGCCATGGGCCTAACGAACATCCAAGACCTAAAACAGGTGGCAACAAACCACCAGACATTGAGAGCTATGACCTCTGCCCTATGCGCGGCCCAAGACTCCAGAGGAGAGACTGTCTTCTTTCTGCTTCCTGGTCTATACCCAACCAACTCTTTTGTGTAGTTTGGTTTCTCTCTTATCTGTCATTCTCTCTCTCTCTTAGTTCCCTAACCCTCACCATGTAGCAGATACTTTGCAGAATGTCAGTCATCACAGTCTGCCTGAAACACAGTCTCTCGTCAGCTCTCCCACCTCATGCATTCCCTACCATTGCAACCTATTATGTGCTTTCTATATTTATAATTAATTTGCTTTAATAAATGGGTAATTAATGTTATATACAATTACTGTGCTTTTTCTTACTCTTAAAATTGATGCCAAAAAATTAAGATCAGCTGTTATGTTGTTTTTAGAGAGTTGGCATCTCCAGATAATTTGCCCTTAACTGATGTTCATACAGTGTGTTGTCACTGCACGATGGGCATTCTCTTTTACAGTTTGTCATTAACCAGTGTTTGGAATCTACACAACACTCAAAGCATCCTCCTTTTAATCTCTTATTTGTACTGTCTTTACAGGTAGTCTTCTTCTTTTTCAGCATTCTGAGCCCTTGAGTTTCGTTGCTGCAGATATCAGCTGCCTGCATTCATCTCTCTGGCTGGCCTTCTCTTTCCAGTTGGTGACACCAAGTGTTTGCAGGTCTGTCTGGAAATTATCTCTCCCTCGTCTTCTTGGTCTTCCTCGTGGTCTACGACTTCATCTCTCTCATGTATACAGTATTTACTTCTCTGTCATCTGATATTCTTTCAATATGCCCCAACCATTTCAGTCTGTGAGCTCTCATGATGCCACTGATTAGTGGTAATTTAAACAGATTATGAATTTCGTTGTTGCTTCTCACTCTCCATTCACCGCTGTTTGCTTCTTTGATACAAGTAGTTGTAGTAATTTTTCAAAACTATCCTGTTCAACCGTCAGGGTTAAAGTTGAGAATAGATAGTGTTGAGTTCTCAGAGTTTATATTTATTTTAAGTTTATTTAGCATGTAATTATTTATGTGACCAAAAGTAATTTGTAGTTTAAGTAACTTGTCTGTAGAAGAATTCATGTTTTAGACATATGATGCTGTATTTCCCATTAAATACCAGGACTCCTTTTTGCAAGGGAGCAGGGGGGGGGGGGAAGGGGCGGCAATAGACCACTGCCCCCTAATAAGCATGTCCTACAAGGCAACTAATTAAGGGATTTTTCTGTGAAGTTTGGGTGAATTACCTGAGAGGTGAGAAACTAACTTCTGTATACAAAATAGATAGATCTGTAAACAGATGCAAAACTAGTTCTGGAACAAGACTAAAGTCCAGAAGTGGACAAACAACCAGTTGAAGTTCACAGTCGGTGAACATGAATGGAACAAAATCAGCCAGCAGTTAGAGTGTAATACATGAGAACTGCAGGTTACAAGACAAGAGGCTGACCAAGAAAGAGATGGATGGAGAGAGTAAAAGAACCACGACAGAAAAGCAGGGTGACATTAAAACAAGCACCAGCTAGCAGACGATGAAAAAACTACTTATAGCTGCTCTTTGTGAAGTCTCAGAGATTAACAGTAGGACAAAAGAACAACACACAAACAAACTAAGAACTTTATGCCCCCCCCCCCCCCCCTTTAAATAATGTTGAAGATTTGTTTCTCTGAACCAGTTTTCATAAAGCAAATGTCCGTCTTGCTGAAAAATTCATCTGCTTGTGTCGTCTATGTTTGGGTATTTGTGTATGTATCTGTATATTTTAGAGTGTATGTATGAGCGACAGTTCACGTATGTATGTGTTGTTCCTTCTGTGTCCGTGTGTGAATGTCTGTGTGTGTATCTGCATGTTTATATGAGTGTCTGTGTGTGCAGGTGTATGTCTGTGTGCGTCTGTGTGCATATGTGTGTGTCTCTATGCATCTATGCTTTATGTGTTGGTGTAGTGTCTATGTGTGTATGTTGATGTGTGTATGTGCGTGTTTGTATACGTGTGTGTGTGTGCACGCACATCTGTTTTGTCTCTATGTGTGGGTGCGTGAATGCTTGTCTGTGTGCGTGTTTGTCCCTGTGTGTATGTGTGTGTGTATATGTTGTGTGCGTGAATGTGTGTATGTGTGAGTGAATGTGTTTGAATGTATGTATGTGTGAATGAATGTGTGTATGTATGTGTGAGTCTATGTGTGTATGTATGTGTGTGTAGGTGTGTATGTATGTAGGTGTGTGTGCGCTCATGTGTGCCAAAACATTTTACTACCTGGGCTTTTTTTTTCTCTTGGTATTCATAATTTGCATATTACTATATGAACATAACATGATTTATTGTTAAAATACAAATGCTTTGTGAAAAATGGGCGTTTGAAAGGGCCAAATGTAAGATGGGCTCGTGTGCCCAATTTGTGACCTTGTGAAAATAAGTGTTTTTTCGTACCTGTTCATAATCAGTATGATTGCGCCTATGCCAGTCAGCAAGGCACTCAGTGATGATGATGACCTGTTTGCCCTTTCATCTCTGTCCCACGTATGGACAGGGGTAGCTGGACCAGTGTCAACCTGACATCTAGGATCAGTTTTTGAACCCATGATACCATTGACCTTGATTTGACAGTTTGATGGCAGTTGGTGAAGGACGTATGTGTCTTGTCTGTGTTTGATACTGACAGATTTGTGGTCCACTTTTTGTTGGTTCTGTATTGTGTCTGATGGCCTTTATCTGCTTTATCAAGATTATTGTTAGGTGATATCTTGAAGTTTTATCATTTATCAAACTTGCCAGAATAGATAACATATATGTTTATGTTGGCGAATACCTTGGACTGCCAGAATATCCAACAATGATTGCCTGGAAATGGCTAATGAAAGAAGAACTTTATATACAACAATGAGAAGGATACAAACAATGTTCTTTGATCATGTGATGAGAAAAGGAGCACTGAAAAATATTGTGATGACTGGAAAGATCAGTGGGAGAAGAGGCAGAGGCAGACCAACAGAGCTGATGGTGGATGGCTCAAGACTGTGGCATGGAGGAAAATCATCAGTGGAATTGATCCAGAACACAGAAGACCGAGATCTGTGGAGATGCATGAATGCTTATGCCAGCTGGCAAGGCACTTGATGATGACAGATAAAGTGGTTTGGCCATATAACAAGGGTGGCATCAGACAGGGCACCACAGGAGCAGTGTTATACAGATACAACAGTAACAGAGCCAGAGGTAGACCACACAAAACATGGACTGCAAAAATATCAGACAATAAAAATTACTTTATACAAAGCCAACAGAAGGGCATGTTCCAGAGATCTCTTTCTGCCCTGATGTCGTGAGGCATTCCAGGAATAGAGAAAAGATGGGCACATTCTAGAGATCTCTTCCTGCCCTGATGTCTTGAGGCATTCCAGGGGTAGAGAAGGGCACGTTCTAGAGATCTTTTCCTGCCCTGATGTCTTGAGGCATTCCAGGGGTAGAGAAGGGCACGTTCTAGAGATCTTTTCCTGCCCTGATGTCATGAGACATTCCAGGGGTAGAGAAGGGCACGTTCTAGAGATCTCTTCCTGCCCTGATGTCTTGAGACATTCCAGGGGTAGAGAAGGGCACGTTCTAGAGATCTTTTCCTGCCCTGATGTCTTGAGACATTCCAGGGGTAGAGAAGGGCACGTTCTAGAGATCTTTTCCTGCCCTGATGTCTTGAGGCATTCCAGGGGTAGAGAAAGGCACGTTCTAGAGATCTCTTCCTGCCCTGATGTCTTGAGACATTCCAGGGGTAGAGAAGGGCACGTTCTAGAGATCTTTTCCTGCCCTGATGTCTTGAGACATTCCAGGGGTAGAGAAGGGCACGTTCTAGAGATCTTTTCCTGCCCTGATGTCTTGAGGCATTCCAGGGGTAGAGAAGGGCACGTTCTAGAGATCTTTTCCTGCCCTGATGTCTTGAGGCATTCCAGGGGTAGAGAAGGGCATGTTCTAGAGATCTTTTCCTGCCCTGATGTCTTGAGGCATTCCAGGGGTAGAGAAGGGCACGTTCTAGAGATCTTTTCCTGCCCTGATGTCTTGAGGCATTCCAGGGGTAGAGAAGGGCACGTTCTAGAGATCTTTTCCTGCCCTGATGTCTTGAGGCATTCCAGGGGTAGAGAAGGGCACGTTCTAGAGATCTTTTCCTGCCCTGATGTCTTGAGGCATTCCAGGGGTAGAGAAGGGCACGTTCTAGAGATCTTTTCCTGCCCTGATGTCATGAGACATTCCAGGGGTAGAGAAGGGCACGTTCTAGAGATCTCTTCCTGCCCTGATGTCTTGAGACATTCCAGGGGTAGAGAAGGGCACGTTCTAGAGATCTTTTCCTGCCCTGATGTCTTGAGACATTCCAGGGGTAGAGAAGGGCACGTTCTAGAGATCTTTTCCTGCCCTGATGTCTTGAGGCATTCCAGGGGTAGAGAAGGGCACGTTCTAGAGATCTCTTCCTGCCCTGATGTCTTGAGACATTCCAGGGGTAGAGAAGGGCACGTTCTAGAGATCTTTTCCTGCCCTGATGTCTTGAGACATTCCAGGGGTAGAGAAGGGCACGTTCTAGAGATCTTTTCCTGCCCTGATGTCTTGAGGCATTCCAGGGGTAGAGAAGGGCACGTTCTAGAGATCTTTTCCTGCCCTGATGTCTTGAGGCATTCCAGGGGTAGAGAAGGGCACGTTCTAGAGATCTTTTCCTGCCCTGATGTCTTGAGGCATTCCAGGGGTAGAGAAGGGCACGTTCTAGAGATCTTTTCCTGCCCTGATGTCTTGAGACATTCCAGGGGTAGAGAAGGGCACGTTCTAGAGATCTTTTCCTGCCCTGATGTCTTGAGGCATTCCAGGGGTAGAGAAAGGCACGTTCTAGAGATCTTTTCCTGCCCTGATGTCATGAGGCATTCCAGGGGTAGAGAAGGGCACGTTCTAGAGATCTTTTCCTGCCCTGATGTCATGAGACATTCCAGGGGTAGAGAAGGGCACTTTCTAGAGATCTTTTCCTGCCCTGATGTCTTGAGGCATTCCAGGGGTAGAGAAGGGCACGTTCTAGAGATCTCTTCCTGCCCTGATGTCGTGAGGCATTCCAGGGGTAGAGAAGGGCACTTTCTAGAGATCTTTTCCTGCCCTGATGTCATGAGGCATTCCAGGAGTAGAAAAAAGATGGGCACTTTCTAGAGATCTTTTCCTGCCCTGACGATGTGAGGCATTCTAGGAGTAGAGAAAGGGACACTGAGAAAGAAAATGTAGGTATGCCTGTTTGTTGACCATGTGGATTCCAGTGTAAGAACATTCTAGCTATGTTGTTAGGTTTCATCTTTGTTTGTCTTATGTTTTGTTGTGTTAAATTTCAGGCGACAACTGTGTGGGGGCGATCATTCTCAAACCCACTGGGGATGGCAGCCGGATACGACAAACATGGGGAAGCTGTTGATGGCCTTTTTAAAATGGGCTTTGGATTTGTGGAGATTGGCAGTGTGACCCCTGAACCTCAGGAGGGGAACCCCAAACCTCGAGTGTTTCGGCTGCAGGAGGATAAGGCAATAATTAACAGGTTGTTTGGTTTTTCTTTTTAAAGTCCATGCCATGTGGCATTGGTAGTCATGTCTAGCCACAGCCTTCTGTCTCATATATTTTCAGTCAACTCTGACCCTCCATGCCATGATGTCAAAGTGTCCAGCATATTTTATCTCAGTCTCTTTCTGCCTCTCCTCCGCTCCAACTTTCCTACGGTCACGATGTACTCGAGTTTTCTCCTTCTTATCCTTTGATCAAAGAATGTAGATTGTCTTTTTCTGATATGACCAATCAGTTCTTTTTGTGAGTTAGGTTCTTTCAAGACATCTTCATTACTCTTTTTTTATCTCTTGAGGTTATTTTCATCATTTGTCTAAAAAACCACATCTCCACAGCTTCCTGATAATTTCTCATTAATTTACCAACAATCCATGATTCACTTCCATTTATCAAGATAGGATTTATTTAGCTTAAAAGATTTTAATCATCAAGTGAATGTAAATGTTTCATACAAGGAAATAAGCCGCTAGAGAGATGTGTGCCGGCAACTTGGCGCCACAAAATGTAGAGCATGTGCTCCAACACTGTCAGCTGTGTGTTGCCAACAAAGATGCCATCTGGCCTGTTCTAACCTCAAGACAAAGCTGTATGCTGCCAACAAAGATGCCATCTGGCCTGTTCCAACCTCAAGACAAAGCTGTATGCTGCCAACAAAGATGCCATCTGGCCTGTTCCAACCTCAAGACAAAGCTGTATGCTGCCAACAAAGATGCCATCTGGCCTGTTCCAACCTCAAGACAAAGCTGTGAGGTACAATGAAGTTTTGCACAGAGCAGTAGCTTTCAGAAAGGCTGCTGGCCTCCTGATATATGTTTTCCTGACAGAAGGATGATTGAAGAAGGAGCCAGAAAATGCTGAGCATGAGCTCCAACACCGACAGCTGTATGGTGCCAAAAGAGACGCAGTCTGATATGTTTCAACCTCAGTGAAGACAACGCTGTAAGGCACCTACTGCTGCTAGCCTCCTGATACAAGTTTTTCTAACAGGAGGATCGAAGAAAAACATTACTGGTAGTTTTCAGTGGAGAGGATTGAGTTCACTGCACCAAGTTTTATCTCAAAAGACCCAGTTTCTTTACAAAAAGAATCAAGCTAAATTAGTAGAGCTCATCAGCTTCCCAATAATTAAAAAAACACAATGAACATTGTGACTCAAAAACCTTCATCAGCCTACAAAAACATGGACAATGACACAACTACAAATCTTCTGTCATTTCTCCCTGCCATTTGTGTTCAGATAAGGCTAAAAGCCTCTGTGAAAGCTGCTATCAGAACCAGTTATGGATCATTAACATTTGTATTTCTACTACTCTTTTATTCCTTCTATTATTATACATTATCACTATTACTTTTATGACTATTTTTAGAGCCCTCCTTTACTTTATTTTATTCATTCCACGTCACCTTTTTATAGTTTCTGATGTGAGCCTGGTGGTTGGAGTGCTCTCCCCTTTGTTATTGCTGTGTAGCTAGTTAATGCCATGAAAGAACCTGGCAGAAACATCGATTTGTGTGTTTTGTGCACATTGTTCTACTTCCCCATTTTATTAAACTTTTTTAGTCACAGTTTATTGGGTTCTTTGTATGGAGATAGCATATCTGCTGCACTTGTTCAGTTTTCTGGATTGTATGTCTGCATAGGCAAAGTTCTGAGTGCCCAGTATTTAATCCCCCATAAATATGGCTGCAGTTTCTATTGTCTAGTTCGTATTCAAAATACACAGATAACTGTTTTTAGAAAGACCACTGTTTTTAGAAAGACCACTGGTACTATCTGCCACAGCGAGCCACACTAAAACGTTACAACAGGTATAGAGCAAGTGGAAGACCTCGGAAAAATATGGAGTGATGGCATTAAGAACAGCCTTACAAAAATGAACATCAGTCTTAATAGTGCTCTTGAAGGAGCTCATCAACAAATTTTACATCTTCCTCCGACACTTAGATGAGGTACAAGGTGGAAGATAATAAGAAGAAAGAATAGTCATGTTTTGTTTCTTGTTTGTTTATCTGCATTCACAGTCTTTAAACCCCGGCAGAAAGACCTGGTTGTTCATCCATTTCTGGACTTTGGCTTTGTTCCAGGACCTGAGTTTTGCGTGTACATTTATTTTACAGATCTTGCTTATATATGGGCATACTGTTGGTTCCTTGGCTCTCAGGCAGATGACTCCGACTTTGAAAGAAGCCCCCAGTTGGTCGACTCTTACAACATGCTTGTTAGGGAGACAGGGGTTTATTCTTGTTTTCCCCACAATGGGACCCCGTAAACCACACAGGGAAGAACAGATTTAAAAGCCAATCCCACCATTAGTCTTATAATTAAAAATGCCACCCACCATCAAGTCTTTTAAATTTAAATACCAGTTTTGTTGCATCATATCTGACGTTTTTTGTTGTTGTTGTTGTTGTTGGTGTGTGTCTGGTGCAGATACGGGTTCAACAGCGAGGGACATGAAGTAGTCTACACAAGACTAAGCAAGAGAAGACCGGACACAGAGTCATCAAGTAAGATTCTTTAAACATATCTCATTTCTTTCCTGATTCAATTTTTATAGACACCGAATAGTTTGTCTGGGTTCAGACCTTATCAGTGGCATGATGGAGCCTTCCTCCTTTCTCTACACCAGTGGCTCTCAAACGTTTTCAAGTACGCTGTCTACACCCCTCTCCCCCACCCCAGCCCCAAAAGGAAATCCTCTCTCCCCAATTTAAAGAGAATTTTAAAAAAAATTAAAATGAGAGATAGAAAGTATGGAGGCACATTTTGGTCAGAATGTGTTTTTTATCTTGTATCCCCCAAAACTTCTTAGCTCCCTTTTTTTTTCCAAAGTAGTTTTTAAATGTTGAATTAAGAATCTACATCACAACACTCAGGACACTCTAATAAGTGCTTCATCCCCACCTTCAGCTGCAAGCAAAGAGTTCCACTTCCGTTGGCACCTCTGATTGTACATCCGTCTAGCCTTTTCCCTGAGCGTTGAGCATCGGCCAGATCCCCAGGCAACTCCTTACAACTCAGTACTTCTCAGACCTAAATGATAAAAATAGTTTTTTTAAATGTATTATTTATGGTAAAGTAAAGCCACCTTTTCTACGCCTTCAGGCATATAGGGCTAGACCTGTACTTTGTGGGCCAATCGGCACCTGGTGGGTGATGTGATCAGCGTCATGCTTACCACCTTTATTTCCCAGCACTTTTACCTAGCTATCCGTTTAACGCTAGGTTGACCTGGCAAGGTAATTTTTTTTTAAAGTCCAGCACTCTCCAGATTTGAACCCACTACCTTTGGAATCATAGGCAAGTATCTAGCCATGAATTTTGATCCGCATGTCAGATTTAGAATTACCAACCTGGTCTTTGGCCATTTTGAGAAAATTCCATTATCGTTACTAACATCCTGCCCAGATTTCTGCGTAACAAATTTTTGTTTGATAATCTAAGATTATAGTCTCTCAAACAGATACAGCGGTAGCAGAGCCAGAGTTCGACAGCGCAGAATATGGACCTCAGAAATATCAGAGACACTGAAAATTACTTTATATGAAGTGAACACAAGGGCCCGTTCCAGAGATCTCTTCCTGCCCTGAAGCCGCGAGGCATTCCAAGAGTAGAGGAAAGAAGAAGACAGTCCCTCATTAATCCTCTAACCAGACACACTTATCTACTGAAGCTCTTTTACATATCCCTGAACGTATCTGTTCAGGGAAAAAGAATGGTTGTCGCCTTATATTTTATTATCGCAGTCCACCGACAGACACTGTTCCTAATGTCTGAGCTTGTCTGCAACCTGTTTCACTAACATGATCACAGATTTTGTTTCATCAGTTTCTGGTTGTCTCTGCTGAGGCTCCACCATGTGGGCTGTGGGTCCCCATTGTGGGGGGGGGGGGGGGGAGGAACAAGAATAGACCCACATCAAGCATGTCGTCAAAGTCGAGACTAATTGGGGTGTCCTTCAAAGTTGGAGTGCATCTGCTTGAGAGGCAAGGAAGCGACAATCTGCAGACAGTTTCAAGTCAAATGTGTAAAACAGATGTGCACATAACACTAAGGTTCTGGAACAAGAGAAGTCCAGAGGTTGACAAATAAGAACTTACCGTCGGATTTTACAGCCAGTAAACATGAAGTAGTAGTAGTAGACTGTTTAGTTTATCTTTTTTTGTTTATGTTGATATTGTGATTGATTTTTTTATTTTATTTTTTATTTTTGCCTACGAATGTATGTTTTTTTAATTATTTTGTGAGCTCAAGGGCCAGATTTTGTAGTAATTTTTACCAGCCTCATGGGCCAGTAAAAAGTGTTCTCCTGGCCTGTGTTGGTCCACGGACCATAGTTTGCCCATCGCTGGTCTATAGAACAATTGTTCCTTTTTAAAACTGCTCCTGTTTTATTTCTACATCTTCCAGCAGGGAATGGCATTTTAGGCGTCAACCTTGGTAAAAACAAAACATCAACAGATGCTGTCGAAGATTATGTGAAAGGGGTCAATAAGTTTGGCCAGCTGGCAGATTATCTGGTGGTGAACATTTCCAGTCCAAACACACCTGGCCTTCGGGACATGCAGAGACAAGAGGAGCTCACAGATCTGCTGAACAAGGTGAGAGTTTGTGTCTGTTAGGTTGGGAATGAGCAGGCAGATAGATTAGCTGGGCTAGCCCCACGTGGGAGTGTACGGCAGTTGAACAAATCAAAGGTGATTTCTCGCCCATGGGACAAGGTAACAAGTTGAATTGATTCAATAACCAACATTACTGCCTCGGGGCATTCCCACAAGCGCTCAGTCTCCATCTTCAGCAGTCAGCACCAATGGTGCCAGGAGCAGTCTGATTATATGTCCGTGATGCCTTTGAGATGACAAGAAAAATTGAAAATCCGTACCTGGATGAACCACATATTTTCATTTGACATTCGTATTATGCATATTGTTATATGAACACAACCTGCTTTACTGAGAAAACACTATTTCTGTGTGAAAGATGAGTGTTTGGAAGGGCTGAATGTAAGACTGGCCTGTGTGCCCATTTTGTGACACTTTGAAAGAATATTCCATTTGTTAGTGTCTGCCGGCTCTGGGACCCTGGAGACTCGGGGGAAGGCAAGACAAGTAGTTAACAAAATAGTGGGTGCCATCAGTATAGAGACTCTACTACTGGCTGTTGAGAAGAAAGACGGAGCGGGTATGGGCTTGTCCTGAATATTATGATGTTGAATCTTTACCCAAAATTAACCCAGTCTCTGAAAGTCCTAGTGTTTTAACCAATCCCCTAAGAAGGCTAACCTGGGCAACCATTGCTAAAAGAAGTTGACAGTGATTTATTAATATCCTACCACAAACAGGGGAAATCCACAGGTCTCAGGACAGTCTAAAATTTCAGGGGGTAGTAGATGCATTCCTGAGACCAAGGCTGGATGCAGTTGTGGGACCTAGGCTGCACTCTCTCGTGAGACATAGGTGGGTTGGGGTTAGGGCCATTTCTAGATGTTTTGGGGTCGTTTAAAGCATCAGAAAGCCAGGAAACCCAGTCTTACCACGCTCTAAAATATTGGACGTCCTGTGATGTCATCTGGGGAAGGATATTGATAAAGAACCGAAGTTGGATGTGTTAGCCAAAAGTTGCCAAAAGTTGGAATTTCTTAGCCAAGCTGTGAGTGAGCTCAGTACAGTGATATCCTCTCCAGTGCTACTGCATGCTTGTGAAACACAGGCTGAATACAGACATCAGGCACAAAAACTCAACCACTTCCGTACAGTCTGTCTGAGAAAGATACTGAACATTAAGTGTCAAGACATGGTCCAGGGCACTGTTGTACTGGATAAGGCTGGCACTCCCAGCATCAATACCATCCTGATGCAGTCACAACTTCGATGGGCTGGCCATATTGTTTGAATGCCTGACCATCAGCTCCCAAACATAATCTACTATGGTGAGATAGGTGAAGGTAGACGCTCTCATGGGGGCCAGAAACAGCCCTTCAAGGACACACTAAAGGCATCAATGAAAGCCTTCAGTAGAAACTCTGACACCTGGGAGGCTGTAGCACACGACCAGACACCTGGGAGGCTGTAGCACATGACCGGACTTTATGGTGCACATATATATGAAATGGTGCAACGATCTGCGAGACATCTAGAACAAGGGCAGCTGAACAGCGAAAACAGGCCAGAAATAACCGACAAACAGGCCTTTTGTCTACAGACACTGGGCCCTGTCCTCATTGTCCTAGACTCTTCTGAGCACACACTGGACTTTTAAGTCACCTCTGGACTCAAAAACATTCAACTGCAGTTTTATGGCAGATCAAAGAAAGAGTGTTCCTCATCACTTGTGATAGATGAACGAACGATATCCTCTGTTGAATGTTGAAGAAGAATATCAAGCACCAGTAACACCTGGGCTTTTGAACATGCAGAAACAGAAGTAGCTCAGATTTCTGGAGAACAAAGTGAGAACCATCTGTTGGGGTCTCATTTTTATATCCTCTGGGAAAGTCATGTGAGAAAGTGTGGAAGTTTTGGAAGATCATGTGAAAATCCTGTGAAATTGTATGTTAGTATTGTATGAGATTGAATGACGGTCATGTAAAAGAGAGCGAGGGTTTTGTGTGAGATTGTGTGAAAGTCATTTGAATATGAAATTGTGTGAAATCTATGAGAGAGAATATGAGATGATGTGAAAGTCCTTTGGGAGAGTATGAAATGATGTGAAAGCTCTATGTGAGAGTATGAGATGACATGAAAGCCCTGTGAGAGAGTATAAGATGATTGGAAACTCCTGAAAGTGTGAGATGACATGAAAGCCCTGTGAGAGAGTATAAGATGATTGGAAACTCCTGAAAGTGTGAGATGACATGAAAGCCCTGTGAGAGAGTATAAGATGATTGGAAACTCCTGAAAGTGTGAGATGACATGAAAGCCCTGTGAGAGAGTATAAGATGATTGGAAACTCCTGAAAGTATGAGATGACATGAAAGCCCTGTGAGAGAGTATAAGATGATTGGAAACTCCTGAAAGTGTGAGATGACATGAAAGCCCTGTGAGAGAGTAGGAGATAACCTGAAAGCCCTGTGAGAGAGTCTGAGATGACATAAAAGCCCTCTGAGAGAGTATGAGATGATTGGAAACTCCTGAGAGTGTGAGATGGTGTGAAAGCCCTGTGAGGGAGTATGAGATGAATGAAAGCCCTGTGAAAGTCTGAGATGAGACATGAAAGCCCTGTGGATACAGATGACATAAAAGCCCTGTAAGAGAGTATGAGATGATTGGAAACTCCTAAAAGTTTGAGATGATGTGAAAGAGTGAGGTGATGTAATGCCCTGTGAGAGTATGAGATGATAGGAAAGCCCTGTGAGAGAGTATGAGATGATAGGAAAGCCCTGTGAGAGAGTATGAGATGATAGGAAAGCCCTGTGAGAGAGTATGAGATGATTGGAAACTCCTGAGAATGTGTGATGATGTGAAAGCCATGTGAGAGAGTATGAGATGACATGAAAGTCCTGTGAGAGAGTATGAGATAACATGAAAGCCCTGTGAGAGAGTATGAGATGACATGAAAGCCCTATGAGAGAGTATGAGATTACATGAAAGCCCCGTGAGAGAGTATGAGATGATAGGAAAGCCCTGTGAAAGACTGAGGTGATGTGAAAGCCCTGTGAGAGAGTATGAGATGACATGAAAGCCCTGTGAGAGAGTATGAGATGACATGAAAGCCCTGTGAGAGAGTATGAGATGACATGAAAGCCCTGTGAGAGAGTATGAGATGACATGAAAGCCCCGTGAGAGAGTATGAGATGACAGGAAAGCCCTGTGAAAGAGTGAGATGATGTGAGAGCCCTGTGAGAAAGAATGATTTTGTGAGACTATAAACAGTATGATAGTTTTCTGATGATCTTGGAACATGTTGACACTGCACCATCAGGTGGTGGATGCCAGGGACACGCTGCCTGTCTCTCCCAAACCTCCACTGCTGGTGAAGATAGCCCCTGATTTGACTGAAGAGGAGAAGACAAATATTGCAGCTGTGGTAAGCCGGCCCCAGGTAAGCAGATGAATATTTCATAGGTTTGCTTTCATAGTCTGTTAGTTTTGGATAACCTAGCAGAATTTACTGTCATTTGAAAGTTGTTACCTAGCAGGATTTACTGTCATTTGATAGTTGTTATCCAGCAGGATTTACTGTCATTTGATAGTTGTTATCCAGCAGGATTTACTGTCATTTGATAGTTGTTATCCAGCAGGATTTACTGCCATTTGATAGTTGTTACCCAGCTGGATTTACTCTCATTTGATAGTTGTTATCTTTCAGGATCTATGTTATTTTATAGTTGTAACCTAGCAGGATATACTGTCATGTGATAGTTGTAACCTAGCAGGATATACTGTCATGTGATAGTTGTAACCTAGCAGGATTTACTGTCATGTGATAGTTGTAACCTGGCAGGATTTACTGTCATGTGATAGTTGTAACATAGCAAGATTTACTGTCATGTGATAATTGTAACCTAGCAAGATTTACTGTCATGTGATAGTTGTAACATAGCAAGATATACTGTCATGTGATAATTGTAACATAGCAAGATATACTGTCATGTGATAATTGTAACATAGCAGGATTTACTGTCATGTGATAGTTGTAACCTAGCTGGATTTACTGTCATGTGATAATTGTAACATAGCAAGATATACTGTCATGTGATAATTGTAACATAGCAAGATATACTGTCATGTGATAGTTGTAACCTAGCAGGATTTACTGTCATGTGATAGTTGTAACCTAGCAGGATTTACTGTCATGTGATAGTTGTAACCTAGCAGGATTTACTGTCATTTGATAGTTGTTATCCAGCAGGATTTACTGCCATGTGATAGTTGTAACCTAGCAGGATATACTGTCATGTGATAGTTGTAACCTAGCAGGATTTACTGTCATTTGATAGTTGTTACCTAGCAGGATTTACTGTCATGTGATAGTTGTAACCTAGCAGGATATACTGTCATGTGATAGTTGTAACCTGGCAGGATTTACTGTCATGTGATAGTTGTAACCTAGCAGGATTTACTGTCATTTGATAGTTGTTATCCAGCAGGATTTACTGCCATTTGATAGTTGTTATCTTGCAGGATCTATGTTATTTTATAGTTGTAACCTAGCAGGATTTACTGTCATGTGATAGTTGTAACCTAGCAGGATTTACTGTCATGTGATAGTTGTAACCTAGCAGGATTTACTGTCATGTGATAGTTGTAACCTAGCAGGATTTACTGTCATTTGATAGTTGTTATCCAGCAGGATTTACTGCCATGTGATAGTTGTAACCTAGCAGGATATACTGTCATGTGATAGTTGTAACCTAGCAGGATTTACTGTCATGTGATAGTTGTAACCTAGCAGGATTTACTGTCATGTGATAGTTGTTATCTTTCAGGATCTATGTTATTTTATAGTTGTAACCTAGCAGGATATACTGTCATGTGATAGTTGTAACCTAGCAGGATCTACTGTCGTGTGATAGTTGTAACCTGGCAGGATTTACTGTCGTGTGATAGTTGTAACCTGGCAGGATTTACTGTCATGTGATAGTTGTAACCTGGCAGGATTTACTGTCGTGTGATAGTTGTAACCTGGCAGGATTTACTGTCATGTGATAGTTGTAACCTAGCAGGATTTACTGTCATGTGATAGTTGTAACCTAGCAGGATTTACTGTCATGTGATAGTTGTAACCTAGCAGGATTTACTGTCATGTGATAGTTGTAACCTAGCAGGATATACTGTCATGTGATAGTTGTAACCTAGCAGGATTTACTGTCATGTGCTAGTTTTAACCTAGCAGGATTTACTGTCATGTGATAGTTGTAACCTAGCTGGATTTACTGTCGTGTGATAGTTGTAACCTGGCAGGATTTACTGTCGTGTGATAGTTGTAACCTGGCAGGATTTACTGTCATGTGATAGTTGTAACCTGGCAGGATTTACTGTCGTGTGATAGTTGTAACCTGGCAGGATTTACTGTCATGTGATAGTTGTAACCTAGCAGGATTTACTGTCATGTGATAGTTGTAACCTAGCAGGATTTACTGTCGTGTGATAGTTGTAACCTAGCAGGATTTACTGTCATGTGATAGTTGTAACCTAGCAGGATATACTGTCATGTGATAGTTGTAACCTAGCAGGATTTACTGTCATGTGCTAGTTTTAACCTAGCAGGATTTACTGTCATGTGATAGTTGTAACCTAGCTGGATTTACTGTCATGTGATAGTTGTAACCTAGATGGATTTACTGTCGTGTGATAGTTGTAACCTAGCAGGATTTACTGTCATGTGATAGTTGTAACCTAGCTGGATTTACTGTCATGTGATAGTTGTAACCTAGCTGGATTTACTGTCATGTGATAGTTGTAACCTAGCTGGAATTACTGTCGTGTGATAGTTGTTACCTAGCTGGATTTACTGTCGTGTGATAGTTGTAACCTAGCAGGATTTACTGTCATGTGATAGTTGTAACCTAGCAGGATTTACTGTCATGTGATACTTGAAACCTAGCTGGATTTACTCTCATTTGATTATATTTTCCAATGTAAAATTGATGGATTGATTATATTGTTTAATGTAAAATTGATGGATTGATTATATTGTTCAATGTAAAATTGATGGATTGATTATATTTTTCAATATAAAATTGATGGATTGATTATATTGTTTAATGTAAAATTGATGGATTGATTATATTGTTCAATGTAAAATTGATGGATTGATTAAATTTTTCAATATAAAATTGATGGATTGTTCAGTGTAAAGTGGATGGGCTGATCATCAGCAACACGACGGTGTCCAGACCAGAGAGCTTGTTGGGCAGACACAAGAGTGAAGCCGGGGGACTCAGTGGCAAACCTCTGAAGGAGAAATCTCTGGAGACCATAAGGGACATGTACAGGCTCACCAAAGGTCGGTTTTCTGTGTATGTGGAAACTTTGATTAACCTTCACCGTCCGGACCAGGGCTGTGATGTATAACCAAATAGATGAATAACAGGAATCTCTTGAATAACAGAAATCTCTTAAAACATTTTACGGTAACATGATTTCACTGATGGCTTGGGACGAAATTGAAAATAAAATCCTTTAAAAGTAAATAATGCGTACGTTAATAAAGTAAGTTGTGTATCCTTTACAGAACGTTGCAGAACCAACCCCAGCATTTTTTGGCTGTTGATTTTTTTGGGCACATTTATGCCCAGTAATTTGCCATTGCTTTCTGGATGGTACCACTGTCGAAACCAGCACAAGGCCCGCAGCTGAGATCAAACCTGGCACCCCGGCATTACAAAGGGTGTTCATAACACCTTCTGCCATCATACAGTACAGTCACTTCTGCCATCATACAGTACAGTCACTTCTGCCATCATACAGAACAGTCACTTCGGCCATCTTACAGCACAGTCACTTCGGCCATCATACAGTACAGTCACTTCTGCCATCATACAGTACAGTCACTTCGGCCATCTTACAGCAGTCACTTCGGCCATCATACAGTACAGTCACTTCTGCCATCATACAGTACAGTCACTTCGGCCATCTTACAGCACAGTCACTTCGGCCATCATACAGTACAGTCACTTCTGCCATCATACAGTATAGTCACTTCGGCCATCTTACAGCACAGTCACTTCGGCCATCACACAGTACAGTTACTTCTGCCATCTTACAGCACAGTCACTTCGGCCATCATACACTACAGTCACTTCTGCCATCATACAGTACAGTCACTTCGGCCATCTTACAGCACAGTCACTTTGGCCATCATACAGTACAGTCACTTCTGCCATCATACGGTACAGTCACTTCTGCCATCTTACAGTACAGTCACTTCTGCCATCTTATAGTACAGTCACTTCTGCCATCATACAGTAGTCACTTCTGCCATCACACGGTACAGTCACTTCTGCCATCATACGGTACAGTCACTTCTGCCATCATACGGTACAGCCACTTCTGCCATCATAAAGTACAGTCACTTCTGCCATCATATGGTACAGTCACTTCTGCCATCATACGGTACAGTTACTTCTGCTATCTTACGGCAGTCACTTCTGCCATCATACAGTACAGTCACTTCTGCCATCATACAGTATAGTCACTTTCAGCCTTATTCAGTAGTCACTTCCAGCTTTATACAGTAGGGTGTAGAAGTACATACAGTAGGGTGTAGAAGTACATACAGTAGGGTGTAGAAGTACATACAGTAGGGTGTAGAAGTACGTACAGTAGGGTGTAGAAGTACGTACTGAAGGGTGTAGAAGTACCTACACTAGGGTGTAGAAGTACCTACACTTGGGTGTAGAAGTACACACACTAGGGTGTAAAAGTACACACACTAGGGTGTAAAAGTACACACACTTGGGTGTAGAAGTACACAGTCTAGGGTGTAGAAGCACACACTCTAGGGTGTAGAAGTACACACTCTAGGGTGTAGAAGTACACACACTAGGGTGTAGAAGTACACACACTAGGGTGTAGAAATACACACACTAGGGTTTAGAAGTACACACACTAGGGTGTAGAAGTACACACACTAGGGTGTAGAAGTACACACACTAGGGTGTAGAAGTACACACACTAGGGTGTAGAAGTACACACACTAGGGTGTAGAAGTACACACACTAGGGTGTAGAAGTCCACACACTAGGGTGTAGAAGTACACACACTAGGGTGTAGAAGTACACACACTAGGGTGTAGAAGTACACACAATAGGGTGTAGAAGTACACACTCTAGGGTGTAGAAGTACACACTCTAGGGTGTAGAAGTACACACACTAGGGTGTAGAAGTACACACACTAGGGTGTAGAAGTACACACACTAGGGTGTAGAAGTACACACACTAGGGTGTAGACGTACACACACTAGGGTGTAGAAGTACACACACTAGGGTGTAGAAGCACATACACTAGGGTGAAGAAGCACTCTGTGGACAATTTTAAAGTTGTCTGTTCTTCTTCAGCAATCTCTGGTCATGAGCCTAATCCACCGTGGGACATAATCTGGGATGTCATCTTAGGTTCTCTGTTTCCCCAAAGCTTTTGTTGTCAGATCTACTGGGTGTTGCCACATGTTGCTCCGCAGCTCTGCCAAGAGAGGACAGCCTTGCCAGACAGGTTCAAGAGTCTGTTCAGTATGAAGACACTTTCAGGAAGCTGTTGGGCTCATACCTAATTTATATGTGTTTGTTTATTCTGCAATGTTCAGTGCATCAGCGAAAAACTGTGACTTGTTTAGGTTTTTGAGGAAATCTTTTTCATGGCTGTAACCTGTCTTGGTTTTTCCCATCTGTTTTTGATTTTTCTCTTAATGAGGATGTTTGTTTGTTTGTTTGTTTGTTTGTTTGTTGATACTTAAATTTTTTTTTTTTTTTTTTAAATACAATGATGGATAACAAAAACTGACTGTTAAACAAGTAAAAGTTGAGTTGAGTCAAGAATTGACATCACAGCACTCCGAGCATTCCCATGCATGCTCTGTCCTCATCTTCAGCAGCCAGCGCAGAATTCCAATACTGATGGTACTGGTCACAATCTGGTTGTGTCCGTCTTGCCTTTCCTCTGAGTGTAGAAAAAGTTAATCAGTTTTACTGTACTACTACTACTTCTTCATGTTTATGGGCTGTAAACCGAGGTGAAAAGATCTGGTTGTTCGTCCACCTCTGGATTATTTTATTGCAGAACCTGAGTGTTGCATGCACATTCGTTTTACACGTCTGACTTATTTGTGTGCTGACTGTTGGTTCCTTACCTCTCAGACAGATGCACTCTTCACTTCGAAGGAAGCCCCTAATTAGTCAACTTTTACTACATGCTTGTTGGGAAGGCAGTGGGTCTATTCTTGTTTTCCCCACAGTGGGACCCCAAAACCCACACTGGGATCTCTTTGTATAGTCTTCATCATCATTAACCATATCTGCTGTTAAGCATTGTGTGGAGGAATAATTTGGGATCCGATGCAAGCTGCCCGGCACTGGCTATTGTCATGACATAAAGTGTCTTTAATGTTGTCAATCCATTTTTTCCCTGGTCATCCTCTTGCTCTTGTAGCCGGTTTTCATGGATGTAGTTCCTGTGAAGGTACCCAGCTCAACCTCTGACTGCTTCTCACCCAGTGGTGTGAATATTTCTTGCCTTGTTCCCCCAGGTCAAATTCCCATTATTGGAGTTGGCGGGGTCAGCTGCGGCCAAGATGCCTACGAGAAAGTTAAGGCGGGAGCCAGCCTCATACAGCTCTACACTGCCCTGGTCTACCAGGGGCCGCCTGTCATTGGCAAGATCAAGAAGGAGATGGCAGATCTTCTCAGGTAGGCACCAGACACTGGAATTGTGCATTTGAATTGAATTAGTCAATGTAGGTGGCTTCTGTGGAATCAGTCATTAAATGTTGATTCAGTGATGTTGTCACTGTTAACCTCTGCTGATTCAGCAATATTGTTACTGTTAAATTCTGTTGATTCAGTGATGTTGTTACTGGTAACTTTTGTTGATTCAGTGATGTTGTTACTGGTAACTTTTGTTGATTCAGTCATGTTGTTACTGTTAACTTTGTTGATTCAGTGAAGTTGTTACTTTTGACTTCTGTTGAGTCAGTCATGTTGTTACTTATGACTTCTGTTGATTTAGTGATGATGTTACTGTTAACTTCTGTTGATTCAGTGATGATGTTACTGTTTACTTCTATTATTAGTGTTGTTTTTAACCTCTGTTTAGTCATTGTTATTAATTTCTGTTGATTCAGCATGTCATGAACAGTAAACAGACCAGTATGAAGTACGTCTATGAAACTAGCTATGTTGTTTTCTACAAGATGATGTTGACTCTTGAAGGAACTTAGGAATTAGTTGCAGATCTTTTAAATGACATCACAACATAAATCACCACCACGGTCACTGTGTGTGGTTCTGCTAGGCAGTTTTGAAGTCAATGTTTGTATGTATGCATGTGGGACATTAATGATACAGGTATTGAGGTAGATTTGTGGGAACAAAATACTGTGAACCCTGTTGGCAGAGTGGGCAGCTCAGAAAGGCAATAGGATTAAAGGAAACAAATTATCTTGGTCTGCCTCAGCCTCCAGTGATCTTTCCAGTTACCACGATCTTTTCCAGTGCTCTGTGTCTGCTTCTCATTGTTGTATATAATGTTCTACTTTCATTAGCCATTTCTAGGCATTTAATGTTGGTTATTCTGCCAGTCCATGGTATCTGCAACCACATCTCAGTTGCCTCCAAATTCTTCTTAATTTGTGCTCCTACCACCATCAAAATCAACTCAAAATTTCTGCTACCTGGTTACCTCCATCTGAATGTGAACTGAAGGCATTCTTAACTCATAAGCTAACTGGTACTATTAGCCATCGGACGTTGGGGTTCATACTGAGGGGAGGATCTGAGCACCTATGGACATGTCCGGAGTGCAATGAGGATAACCCAACTAACTAACTAACTAACTAACTAACTCATAAGCTACAGATGATAGAACAGAATGAAGAACATTTAGTAAAATCATGTTTTTTTTTATAGAACAGAATAAAGAACTTTCAGTAAAATGTTTTTCATAGAACAGAATGAACTATCAGTAAAATCATGCTTTTCATAGAACAGAATGAAGAACTTTCAGTAAAATCGTGTTTTTTATAGAAGAGAATGAAGAACTTTGAGTAAAATCATGTTTTTCTTTCACAGACGCGATGGCTACCAGCACTTATCTGAGGCGGTCGGGGCAGACTTCAAGGAAGAGAGCAAAAGCAAGTCATGAAATCATATCTGAGGATTGAAACCGTTGTCAGCAGTGACTTGTGATGTTTCATCTGGTCTCTGAAGGATGCGGGCAAAGTTCTGGACTCATTGACCGAACAGCTGTGATGGAGCAAGCTTGTTTGCTTTGTGTAAATTTTGTGAATATTTCTATCGTGGTTTACATCATGACAGGTCATGTCATTGTTTTATTTACATGATGAAGTGTCATTGCTTTACAACATGATATGTAATCAGTTTAAACCATGAAAGTCATCACTTTATCATGTTTTCATAAATGTAAAGCTATAACTCAGCATTGAATGAGAAGGGCTGCATGAGTGACTATCATCATCATAAACCACTTCTGCCATTAAGCGTCGTGGGGAGGAATAATTTGCGATCTATCGCACGCTGGCTATTGTCATGCCGTGAAGGCGTAGAGTATCTTTAATGTTGTCGATCTATATTTTGGATCGTGACTATAAGAGATCAAATCAGGAATGAGGTCATTAGAGAAAAAGTTTGCAAACCAGTTCTAAATTACATACAGATACAGAAAACAGAATGGTTTGCCTACTTAGAGATGCCATACCATACAAGGCATACACCAACAGAGAATGATATAGAGAAGGTAGACCAAGAACAAAATAGAACATCATCATCAGAGAATCTACAACAGCACAATGTGTCTGGGGTCAAGGTGGCCAGAAGAGCTAGAAACAGAACATTATATCTCCCTCAACACTCAAAGCCATCAGGTGAAGTAGAGAACAAGAGCACAGTATTTCATAACATGAGTAGAATTGTATCTAATCTGCTTTTGTTAATGAAGGCGAGAGTTCTTAAGAGCTACCTATAACCAATCTTGATGTGTGGAAAGTATCATGGATGCTTATCAGATCAGGGAGAAATTATATACAATATATAGAATGATGAAAGCTATGTAAATCCTATCTTGTTGTATGGAAGTTAGTCATGGATAGTTAGCAGATTAGTGGAAAATTATGTGGAAGGTTTGATGTGGTTTCATAGAAGATGATAACACGCTGGACAGATCAAGATTAATGATGATGTCTTGAAAAACGAAGACTGATTCATGAAGAGAACTAATTGCCCACATTAGGAGGAGACACATCTACATATTTTAATCATTTCATGGCAAAACTGGAGTTCCTTGTGATGGTGAGAAAGTTGGAGGGGAGGGGAGGCTAAGGAGAAAAAATACTGGACAGTTTTTGACATCATGGCATGGAAGATCATCTGTGTCAAAACTGGCTGAAAGTACACGAGACAGAAGGCTGTGGATTAGATATGACTACCAACACCACGTGGAATGGATTTTAAGGAAAATGACACGGGAAAGATTTGGACATATTAAACAGATCAGGGGAAACAGAGATAAATAATACTAGAAGGAACATTCAGTAATGTAAAGCTTTTTTTTTTTTTTTTCAAACAATGAATTAACATTGATAGTTTTATCTTAATTATCTTTTTCTTCTTCAGCAATTTAAGCTCTTGAAGTTCATTGCTGCAGATATCATCTGCTTCCATTCTCTTATTGGCCAACTTCCTCTGTTGGTGATTTCCAGTTGTTTGTAGTTCTGCATGTGTATTTGTAGTTAATACAGTCCTTAGAGCTCTATACACTAATTGTTGTATCTTTCCCCTCTGATTGCCACATACATTTTTTTTACCCTCTGATTGCTATACCTTTTTCCCTTTGATTGCTTCATCTTTTCCCTTTTGATTGCGACATCTTTCCCCTCTAACTGAGCATTCCATGCCTGCTTTGACACCTTTCTTTTCACTTGTTTAATTTTTAGTTTATTCAAAACCGATAGCCATTTATTTGTATCTTATTTGAATGTAATTGTAGCAGTTTCTGTTAACTTTGATGTAAAAGATTATTCCTTTATGACAGACAATGTGACATTATATGTTAATTGTTATTGGGTGACAATTTTTGCACAGTTCAGTGCTTGAACTTTACCAGAGTTTAATTACACTGTGGCTGATTGAGAACTAAATTATTGTTCTTGGTATATAAGTCTCATTGTGGACACCTCATGGCCAGCCTCTGTGTGAAGATGGCACTATATATATATAATAAACTTTCCTGTCTATAATGTTGGAAAACAACTAAAAGTCAATGACTTATTGACACTAGGGCAAGCTGCTTGTGAATGGGGGGGAGCCTGAAGATTTAATCCTGCAGGTATGTGACCACCAAAATTAGTCATGGAAAGATGTCGCCTGAGAAGGGCTGCGGGAGTGACTAGAAAAGGCGGAATCATGAATGTAAGTTATAGAGGACAAATTGGCGCGGAGCCAATTCTAAATCATAGATATGTTCAGTAAAATCATGGGCAGAATGCCTTGTGATGCCGTACTTTACCAAAAGAGAGAAGGACATGGTAGACAAAAAACAAAATGGACAGATAACATTAGAGAGACTACAACAGCACAACATATCTGTGTTCAAGTGGCAAGAAGAAACAGAACCTTATGTCTCCCTTAATAACCAGAGTTGGTAAAGGAGAAAGTGATACCTAATTTAGTCAACCAGTCAGTTATCAAAATCGTCCTCAATGTAGATTCGAACCCAGTTCCTTATGGCATGTGTGGTCGTAAAGAGTTTTCTAGGGGACGCCAAGCAGTAGTAAGCTATGACAGTTTTTAAAAAGGAAAAACAAATCATGTCAGCGCATCCTGCACAGAGATGTGTTTATGGAATGCAGGCATTATACTAGGGGTGTGATTGGGTCAATTCTTCTTAGTGATCCAATTTACTGAAATCTGTTTTTGATGTTTCCAGGAACCTTAATAAAACACCCATTGTTAATGTATGGGGGTCACTTTTACTTTAAAAAAAAAAAACCCACTGTCATTAGAGGAAATGCGTAGCCATAGCTATTTTCATAACACAGGTTATATTTGGGGGAGGGGGGGGGGGGGAAGAGGAAGAGGGAGAGAGAACACAACTTTATACTGCAGTGCTACATGTATACACTTGATGAATCTAAATTTTTGCATTCAAATAGGTAATTCATATTAAATATCGCATTGTTCCTCCTGAAAACTTGAGCAAAATGTGCATCCTCTCCCCCCCCCCCCCCCCCTTTTTCTAAATTTTTTTTTCTTAGTATTACATGTGTGCATTGTGTTGATAGAACTCCCCCAACCCATCAACAAATTGTGTGGTGTCTGTTTTATAAGGACCTGATTTATGTTGGTCTAACTTGTGGGGTTGGTAGTGTTCAGGGTGGTACATATGAGCTGGACATTGAGGCAAGGCTGACAAGTCTCAAGGTTGGAGCACGGCATCCCAAGGCCGACTGTCCTGAAGTCAGCCAGAGAGCAAGGCTGACAAGTCTCGTTGGCCCAACATCCGATGGTGTTGGTGTTGGTGTAAGTGGTTCTGAGAATTTGCCTTGTTTCTAAAATGACAGGATGGGTTTCTGAGGTAGTGGATCAGACATGCCTTCTTGGACAAAATATTTACTGGGAGGATGTCTAAATAGAAAAAAAAAATTATAGCTTGTGATTTTGGTATCCACAAACATTAGTTGCAGAATAAAAAAAAACCTAGTGTTGATTTGGCTGTTGTGGTTTTTCTAACAAACCATAGGTTATGTTTGCCATTGCCTAAGCTATCAAACTAACACTACCAACCTTCAGATGTACCAATCTTAATACTTTCCAATTTGAACACTAGGAACCAACCACACTAATAAGTAATCTTCACTTACTGCGTGATTAAGAATTTTCATTTATATATTGTTACATTTTACAATTTTCATGCACAGAAAAGAAAATATTTCGGTCATAAGCGAGTGAGGCCAGCATGCTGTTTTCATGGATTCATGTCCTGAGGTTTGCCACTCGTCACGAATCTCACATATGCCGTGACCACTGCGTGCATCACACATCATGACAAAACCTAATCCTGAAATGTGGTTTTAAAAAAAAAAAGATATGTTCAGCAGTAAGAAAAAAATTTTTTTTTTAAAGTGTAGCCGTACTCACACTGCTTTCACAGTACAGTAATCTCTATTCCAGCTTTTGAAGACTACTGTCACTACTCTGTTCCCGTTAGGAGGAGACAAATCTACATATTTTAATCATTTCATGGCAAAACTGGAATTCATTGTGATGGTAGGAAAGTTGGAGGAGAGGCAGAGGAGAAAAAAATACTGGAAAAAATCCCCCCAAGCTCTGGGACCACCATCACAAAGTTCTCTAAGACCACTGTCACTCCCACCCCCAAGCTCTAGGACCACCATTATAAAGTTCTCTAAGACCACTGTCACTCCCACCCCCAAGCTCTAGGACCACCATCACAAAGTTCTCTAAGACCACTGTCACTCCCACCCCCAAGCTCTAGGACCACCATTATAAAGTTCTCTAAGACCACTGTCACTCCCACCTCCAAGCTCTCTAAGACTACTCTAAACAAACTTAGGTGCTGTGTAACTAGAATAGAGTTACCAACTACTGGGCACATCAAAGGCGGAAAAGAACAATTGTCATTTATGAAAATGACACTGGCATTATGAAAGACATAGCATGGCATTATTACAAATGAACATTGTCTGAAACTACAACTTGGAAACCAACATTTATATAAACTATAAAAGTTACAACACGGAATAATAAAATACACATACAGGTTATATAAATACATTAATTACATCAAATATACACACCTGGTATATACGCATAAAAAATTATATGTGGTATGGTTTCTTTGTACAGCTCATTAACACATCCCAATCCCTCAGTGGTTCACCCACATTTGCCGATCAGCAAACTGAAAGGAGAGATTTCCTGGTACCTGTACAAAGGCTGGCATACGCATAAAAGAATTATATGTGGTATGGTTTCTTTGTACAAAGGCTGGCTCATCTCTGCCCGGAGATTTTGAATGCTTGACCCCCATTCTCCAAAGAACCACAAGTTCTGGATATCCAGCACTGTTGGTATATCTATATCATCTACACTCACCAACCCATCTCGGTTTCACAGTCAACGTTTTCTATGCCACGACTATTCTCCTAATGGTGGACAGTTTAGTCTTGATTCCAGCACAGAGCACCACACACTCCTCCATATCACAGTGGACACATGATACATGTTGTTGTTGTTGAGGAAAATGCTGCAACTAAATCCTCCAGGTGTTTTCACCTCCCCTGGAAGGCTAGATGCCCGAGCCACTGGCTCTGGATCACAGGGTTACAAACTCTATATGCAGACCAAAAGGGACCAGAGGTAAAAACGTATTTCTCTAAACAAGCGACACACCACTGTTTGATTCTGTAATAAATAATAATGGCCTATCACTATCTGGAACGACTGGTAAAACCAAAATATCACGATCAAAACCCACTTTTATAATGACTTGATATACTGACCTGACATGATCACATTCTGCCCTTTATTTCTGTTTCAGCAAAGGTCATTATTGTTCATTAACCTGTTTAATCTCAACTAGGGTGTTCAACCAGATTTCTTCCTTGTCACTTATCTTATCTCCTGCATGTGAGCTTTAAAGAAAGGACTTTCAAGCCAACACTCTGCTTTTGCCCCCCCCCCCCCCCCCCCCTCCCCCCGCATCACACTTGCTGCCAATCAGGTGAATGAGGAACCAAATCTTCTAAATGGGTCTCCCTCCTCATGACAGAGTTTGGTTCCAATAACAGATCTAATGCCAACTGATCATAAGATGAATTTATATTTGTCAACACTTATTTTTATTCAAACTGTGGTTCCAGACAGACTGCCATATGTAGACTGCTCTATACAGTTTGGAAACTTGTTCACCCTAGCAATGTAATCTTTCTTTATTTACTACATTTATTTATTGTTTTCATAAGTCAAACTCTAATCTTAGCATTCACCAGCTGTAAAGTTCTGACTGGTTGTCCACTTTATGGTCTTGTTCCTGAGTTTTGCATGTACATTATAAGTATTTATCAAATCAACATTTATTATACCAGAGCTTTTCAACTCAGTTCACTCATGGACCAAAACGTTGACAAATGGGGTTTCATCACAGGCTCTAGCCCCAGCATAGAGAGATCATTCATACAATAAACTAGCAATGATCCGCAGCCCCCCCCCCCCCCCCCCCTTTTACCAGTTGAATAACTAGATAAGTCACAAAAAGCTCACCGTAGTGCCTGAAAATTGCCTAGTACACCCTAGTTACGTAGCCTTCTCTTGATTCATCCTAATCTTACTATAAAAAAGAAACAGTTTTCATAACAAAAACTGGCTACTAAACTGGTTTTAGTACATCTCATAATTCTTCTGCCTTTCTAACCCCCAATGGAGCATAGGCCTTCAACCAACTCAAGCCAAGTCTTTCTATCCTTCGCTATCGCATGCAGCTCTCCCCATTTTTTTTTTTGTAACTTCACTCTCTAGCTGCCTTCATGTGTTTTTCGGTCTTTATTTCTATGTCCCTGCAGGTTCCAGTGCAAAGACATTCTAGTTATATTGTTCTCAGGTTCTCTCATCCGCTGATTATCCTACCAATTTCACAGCACATTCACAAACATACCCGCAAGTTGTTAAATTAAAAAAAAAAAAAAACACTTAAAAACATCTGTGATAATCTAACTATGATCTCGGGTCTGATGGAAGCAATCAGTGATAGGAGGCGGCTGTGGTTGTGCAGCTTTTCTGTGGTTTCAGGGCATCAGCATTCCAGGTCCTCAGGTTGGCCAGTGTGCGGTTGATCTTGTTACACCAGACGATGCGTTCTTCTTTGGAGTCTGCCGACATCTGGTGTCTGTGTAAAAAGATTCAACATCATGGGTTAAGCCACTGTTCTCATGTCATTCCTTCAACTTGCATATAAATTCTTGATACACAAATCAAATCAGGACAGAATTCGGGTCTCTCCTCTGACTGCAACTACACTGCAGGAGTCCTTTTCAGGGCTTTCTGTGGCGTGCAATGCTAGGCCATTTTATGTGGCGCACATAACCCAGCCACAATTATAACCTACAATGTGAAGATTTATTTTTCCCTAAAAAACTGATGATGTTATACCTTATTTTAAACTTGTTTTCCCACTTGACCTTTCAGCGTTCACCCTAAAAGGGCGGTTGGCACATTATAGTGTGGTTTACAGCTAAGCTACAATATCTGCAATTAGATCTGGGAGGAAAAAATAGTAACTATGGAAATGAGGTGTCTGAGAAAGACTAGGAGTGTAGGAGATAAAATCAAGAACCTGAGAATTGGCACAGAACCAATTCTAAATTACGTATAAATACAGCAAATCACATGGTTTGCCCCTTGGAGAGAATGCTTTTTGATGCCCTACCATACAAGGCATATACCAAAAGAGGAGAGGGACATAGACCAAGAACAAGATGGAAATATAACATCAGTAAAACTCTACAGCACCGCGGTGTGTCTGTGGTCGAAGCAGCCAGAAGAGCACAAATCAGGACCTTATCTTCCGCAACACCAGAAGCGGTAAAAGAGGATATAAAGAAGAGGAGGAGGATCTGGGAGGCTCCCCAAAATAGTGCTCCCAAATCTACACAGGAAAGCTTAAATTCTGAAATAAATCAAGAGAACAAGCATCAGCCACACCTTGTCTTTAGTGTTCTGGTGACTATATCAAGAGATATCCACACTGCTAAATAATGTGTCCCTTAACTCAACATCATGTGTTTTATATGGCTTTACAACTAATATGACTCTCCACCCCCCCTTTCCATTCAGGAACATCTTTAGAATGTCTCCTTTAGTTAAAAGCTCAGCTGAGAAGCTATCCTTCTATAGGCTGGATCCTATTCCTCTTAAAAGTTACTGAAGCTCTTCCCTGACTATGTTTCACCAGTCCTTTTAGTTGATATTTTCTTGCAATGCTGTAAAGGTCTTAGAGTTTCCATGAGTGGTAAAACAGTACTAACAAAACCACACACACACAAAATGTGCCGTCTCTGCTGTGTATTAATAGGCAGCGAGGCCCCACACACTTCCATGATTCATCCCTCGAACTAATGTCTAAACAGTCAGTCGTGGGAATCAAACCCTGGTTCTCGAGGGTTGTGATGCAGCCACAATTCAGTACCACTCTAACAGGTCACAATAAAGTGTCAGGTGATCCAAAATCATTCCTTGCGGGTTCCATGCCCCATTGGGGGGGGGGGGGGGGTGGTGGGTGTGTGTGTGTGTAAACCCACTGCCCCCACCCCCTAAACAAGCAACTCATAAACGCCTACTAATTAGGGTTATTTTCTTTGAAGTCACAGTGCCTGTCTCAGAGGCAGTAACAGTTTGCATACAAACAAGTCAGATCTGCAGGAATATGACCCAATACTCAAGTTCTGAAACAAGACCAACAAAGTCTAGTAGAAGTGTACAAACAAACAGATCTTTTCTCCAGTTTATAGAAAGAAAAGATGCTCAAGATTACTAAAAGTTCACATGAAGTGCACGCTTTGCTTCCTAACCACATGAGAAATAACCACAGGTTGAAAGTTGGTGACTTCATTCCATTAGGCCACAGAGAAGCACAGGAACCAGAGTTCATGACTTTGTTGCCTATGCAACAAGATCCCTCTCTCAGCCAGCCTTTGTTAACCCCAAAGGAAAGGTAACACCAATACATTGGGAACAATGCATGCTGTAGAAGGTGTCGCATCAGAAGAGCAGTGCTCCCTGTCTGTCCACCTAGGCTGCAATGAGTTACCAGATGGTGACATGATACCAAATACATGGCTGACCTGACAGATGTTGTGGAGTTGTATGTCCGAGAGACTAAGGTGTCGTGCTCTCCCTTCAAGGGCTGCCTGACTGTGGTCAGCTCAAAAGTGTTGGGGCGGGCACAAATGTCTCTGGGGATGAGGCCAACCTTCTCTGTGATGCATCGCTTCAGGTCAATCAGTGTCATTGGATCCTAGATACGGAAACAAAACAATCTTTATATCCAATATACTTCTCAATATATATTGAAAATTTCTCAATCTTACAACTGACTTTATCTTAACACCTCAATCTTATAACTGATCTTATCTCAACTTTTTAATCTTGCAACCGACCAAATCTTTACTCAATCTTGCAAGTGACTATATTCCCAACTATTACTTGGAACTGACTATACCTCAACTCCTCAGTGTTGAAACTGACTATACCCCAACTCCTCAGTGTTGAAACAGGCTAGATTGAACTAATCAATCCTGCAAATGACCAATTCTCAATATTGCAAGTGACTAAATCTCAACCCTCCAACTGACAATCTTCATTATTCAATTTTGCAACTGATTGTATCTCATCTCCTTAACCCTGCAACTGTTCAATTCTCAACCTTGCAACTAACTACACACCTTCTAAACTTTCAAATGATCAAATTTCAACCTTCAGGTTGTTGAAAAGGCCATATCTTGACTTCTGGCCCCTATGTCAGGTATTTTTTTCCATACTGATCACATTATTACCATCACACCCAGTCAGCTAAAATCTGCTTACCTTCCTGGTTTCATCATCTGGATATTTCCACACACAGATCTTGTTGCCAGCAAGGACACACCAGCGACGATGCCAGGCACCAAACCCACTGACGTCTTCAAACATTGTCTGTAGAATAGTTACAGATATCAGTTACAGCATCCAACACTCAACATAATTACTGGATTAATGTTGAATAATGATATTAATGGCATAGTGTATGTAACACAGACCTATCTGAGACCAAAATACTGTTCAAGACAGATAAGGACCAGTTAGGCTTCTTGTTGCTGCAATGCCAGTGCTTGCATTGAATATCTTGATGCTGTTGACAATGTTTACTATGACTAGATGTATAAATGAAATAATGTAAGAAAGGAAGGAGACCAGAAGGTCAGAATGTTAGATGGGCCTGCAAGCCCAATTCATAACCCTTTGAAAATAAAGTTTGTTTATTCATTCATGTTTACCAGCATAAAATTATAACTGTTTCTCCACATCCAGACCTCAGTACAATCCCAGAACTCAAGTTCTGTGTGCACATCTGTCTGAAAAACTAACTCTTGTCACTGTTAACACAACATCCGGGAACATAAAATACTAACACTTGACACTGTTAACATACTGTCAGGAACATGAAAAACAATCGCTTGTCACTGTTAACACAACGTCTGGAACATGTTAAACTATCTCTTGTCACTGTTAACACAATATCGCTGGTAAACCCAAAGCACTCACCAAAAAGCCTCGCTCCTCCACATTTGTCTCCATCAAACACTTGAGTCGCATGAAAATCTGGCCATATAGGGGCGACAAATGAGGCAGCTGTAATACAGATACATCTTGTCAATACAATATCAAAATTAAAAAAGCTATTTATTAATCTGTTAGGTAACTACGATATCAAAATCCAAAAAGCAATTGATCAATCTATTAGACAACTATGATATCAAAATCAAACAAGCATTTTATCAATCTATTAGACAACTTCAATATCAAAATCAAATAAGCAATTGGTCAATCTATTATGTAACTATAATATCAAAATCAAATAAGTAACTGATCAATCTATCTAATGTGTTAATCACAGTTCCATTCTTTATTGCAAATGGGTCACACCCTAGTTGTTGCGTTCCCCTACCAATGAAAACCATACAGAATTTCCATCGCTGTCTCCTGTGGGGAAAAAACAATGGATACACTGCAGTTTCGGCAAAACCAATAGCATACACAGGCATTAAATACACAAGGCAACTGCCGAAAGTGCCAACGCAAACTTATGGAAGTATAAATGCAGTACACCGTCGATGGACGCAGTAGTTACAACAGATTAGTAGTAGTTATTTTCTCTACTGGAATGCCTCGCGGAATCAGGGCAGGAAGAGATCTCTCAAACGGGTCCTTCTATCTGCTTTGTATAAAGTACTTTTCAGTGACTCTGATCATCGCTGTCATTCTAGCCTGTTCGTGATATCTCTTTAATTTTTAGGAGCTCTAAAGTAAGACACTGTCAGTTAGATCAGTAGTTGAACAAATAATTAATAGCTTAGGGGGCCACCAGTTTGCTTGCAAACAGGCCACTAGCCATTTTCTGAATTTGCAGTTCACAACACAAACCATTCTACATGGAATTTAAAATGAAATTGCAGCTCACAGTGTCACACCACACACTCAGCTCAGCAGCAGGGCAGTGGAACAAATCCTTTCAGTCTATATACGGAGGAAAATGCAACAGCTAATTACTACTGTCAAAAGCTAAAACTTGCTAATCACCAAACTGAGCGGAAGTGTATCAATCTTACTGATGAGTTAAAGATTATTCTCATGGCACTGTGAATGTAATTAGATGTTAAAAAGATGCAGGGACTTGATGTGAGTTAGTTGGAGGCTATGCTCCACTAGGGAAGAGAGAGAGTAACGGACACAATAAGAAGACTGGCAAGCTAAGTGACTTACCCTGTCCAGGTGGAAAGAGTTCTTATCCAGACATTTCATAGTCAGCACCAGGGATGTGACCTGACTAAAGCTGGTGGTTCTGACGGCTGTAGGACCTCCAGGGCTCTCCACTGTTGAAACAGATCAGTGAAAGACAAACTGTCATCATCATTTTCTATTTCCACTTCTGTTGCTAAGCACTGTGGAAAGGAACAGTCTGCGATCCACTGCATGCTTGGTATGTTGTTGTTTTCGGAAAGACCTGGTTGGTCATCCATTTGTAGACTGACTGACTTCCAGGATCTGAGTTTTGTGTGTGCATCCGCTTTACAGATCTTGCTTATCTGTATCCAGACTGTTGGTTTCTTGCCCCTCAGGCAAATGCACTCCGACTTTGGAGGAAGCCCCCACTTAATTTACTCCTACAATAAGCTTGTTGGGGAGGCAGTGGGTCTATTCTTGTTTCCCCCTCAATGAGACCCTGGTGCCAAACTTTGATTGCCATTCCGTGTCGATGCAGATATTCTCTAATTCTTCAATGCGTATTCTTCTATGGTGACCTCTTACTTTCCCATCAGATCTATTCACGTGTAGCGCCTGTGTTTGCAGTTGTTCTGGCTGCATTCGAACAAGACCACCAGACTATCTGGTCTTGTTTCTCAACAAGTTTTCTGGGTGTTGTTGTTCCCAGTCAGTCTAATGTCACTTTGTCTCAGATGCTTTCCCCACATGGAAGACAAATGTACTGGCTTATCACTGTAAATCAGCTGTCAAAAAAAAAAAAAAAAAAAATCTGCTAATATATGACATTTACATCACTATTAATGGTTAAGAAGATGAGCATGGCTGAGTGGTCACACTGCTGAGCTCCTTCAGTTTGCCAATGGCTATTTCCTATCTGAGCCGTATGTGATTGTTAACGGCACAAAACAAATGATGTCAATTCTTTAACAACAACAATCAGCACCTCCACACACACAAACAACAAGATACAACACACACAAAAAAGCACTCACAAGCCATGGCGTAACCCTTTGATTTCTTGGGTGTCTTCTTTTTCTTGTCCTTGGAGCTCATCTCTCTGGACACACTCTGTAAGAAGATACCAGACGTAGGATTAACAGTCGCATTCTAGCAGTATGTGTGTGTGAGGATTATCAGCAGGATTTTAGTGACTGTGTGAGGATTACCAGCAGGATTTTAGTGACTGTGTGTGAGGATTACCGGCAGGATTTTAGTAGTGTGTATGTGTGTAAGGATTACGAGTAGCATTTTAGTGGTCTGTGTGTGTGCGTGTGTGCATGTGAGTGTGTGAAGATTACTAGTCAGATTTTAGCAGTGTATAAGGATTACTAGTAGGATTTTACTAGTGTGTGTGAGGATTACCAGTAGGATTTCAGTAGTGTTTATATGTATGGGAGATTACCAGTAGGATTCTAGGAGCGTGTTTATGTTTGGAGATTACTAATAGGATTCTAGGAGCGTGTGTATATATATGGAGATTACCAATAGGATTCTAGCAGCGTGTATATGTATGGAGATTACCAATAGGATTCTAGGAGCGTGTATATGTATGGAGATTACCAATAGGATTCTAGCAGCGTGTATATATATGGGGATTACCAATAGGATTCTAGCAGCATGTATATATATGGGGGATTACCAATAGGATTCTAGCAGCATGTATATATATGGGGGATTACCAATAGGATTCTAGCAGCGTGTATATATATGGAGATTACCAATAGGATTCTAGCAGCGTGTATATATATGGAGATTACCAATAGGATTCTAGCAGCGTGTATATATATGGAGATTACCAATAGGATTCTAGCAGCGTGTATATGCATGGAGATTACCAATAGGATTCTAGCAGCATGTATATATATGGGGGATTACCAATAAGATTCTAGCAGCATGAATATATATGGGGGATTACCAATAGGATTCTAGCAGCATGTATGTATATGGGGGATTACCAATAGGATTCTAGCAGCTTATATGTGTATGGAGATTATCAGTCAGCGTGTTTGTACGCGTGGAGTCTCTTGGGACGATTTGTTGCACCCTTCAAAGATTCAGACAGACGATAACAGATTACTGATTTAAAGAATCTATACTATGGCACACGAGGCACACCCACAGATGCTCCGTCTCCAGCAGTAAATGTCTTAAGGTGTAGATGATGACAGTTCCTGTACCACTCTGATTATTCACACGTTGTCCTCTTTCTCTCAAACGTTCCCCTCCTTGCCAGATCCACTCTATTCTGAGAGAGAACAATGAAATTCATTATCTTTTTTTTTTCTTAGCATTCACTGGCTGTAAACTCCAGCGGAAAATTACGGTTGTTCGTCCACTTCTGGATTTTGGTATAATTCACCACCCAGTGGTGCAGCACCAGCGATTCCGTCTGCCTGTTTATTTCCCAACACTCCTGCATACCTTGGAGAAAAGACAACGGATGCTAACTACCAGGGACTGAATGACAGACTTATCTCCGTGCAGCCACAGACAACTTACCATGCTATAGATGTCCATGGTGAGTTTAAAGTTGGCAGTGATCCCATTAATTTTGATCAGGTTGGGGAAGTCCAGGCTGCCCCTCATCATGGGGTCGTGAGTAGAGAGCATCTGTGTACAGATGAGCTGGGGCCCGTTGCGGATCAGCAAGATAAAGTAGTGTGTGATGTTGTCTGCAACAGAACAACAATATCCTTGTTATGCCTTGCCAGAATGGGCTGACAGATCGGCCATTAAAGATCTATCATTTGTAGATCTTTATTAAGATTTTTTTATTTCAGGTAAAACACATATTTTAATTTTTTTTTAAATATTTTAATGCATCCAACAGTAGAGAGAGTAGGAGAAGAATGAGGGAGGGATAGAGCAGGGGAATATGAGGGAAGAAATGAGTGAGGAGGATAGAGAGAGTGAAAGGAAGGACTTTAGCACAATATGATGACAAAGAGAGGGGGAGAGAGAGAGGCTGAAAGGAAGGAATTTAGAAAAACATGATGGCAATAAGAGGGTGCGAGAGAAAGTAGATGGCAGATTGTGGGAGACAGGTAGAGGAGGCAGCCCACTTTCATGTTTATGGCATTGTGGTGCTGGGGTGTCTGATGATTACCTCCCTCCCCGGACAGCAGCCAGAAGTGCGCTATGTCAGTTCTTAGGGAAATATGGATTGTGTTTCTGCCTTCCCCTTTGACACGTAGCTGATGTGGGGCCCACAGTGTGCTCATTCCCTGCCACCAGATTGCCTGCAGGTTTCGCTGAGCTCTTCTTGGCTCTAAGCATGGCCTAAGCATGAGTAGTTGGGGCAACGTCCTGAGTCCCTGTGCCTTCACGATAGTTTCCGGTATTCAGAGGGTTAGCATACTTGTTACCACTCCTAAGACTGTTCAGCGCCCCTCCGGCTCCTTCCCTCCCACAGGGGACAGTACGGTGTGGTGCACCGTTTTTTTAAATCCAACACTTCTTACTCCCTGCCTCTCGAGGCTCAGTCGAGAGAGAGAAGAGTAAATGTGGATAGAAAAAGCAGGGATGGGGTGGGGGTGGGGGTGTTTGAAAGACAAAGAGAGGAAGACAGTGATGAAAATGTTGGGGCACAGAACACAGGCAGGTGAAGATGGGCAATGAACAGAGGTGTGGAAAGAGAGGTAGAGGGAGAGGGAGAGAGAGAGAGGGGGGGGGAGAGAGAGAGAGAGAGAGAGAGAGAGAGAGAGAGAGAGAGAGAGAGAGAGAGAGAGAGAGAGAGAGAGAGAGAGAGAGAGAGAGAGAGAGAGAGAGAGAGAGAGAGAGAGAGAGAGAGGGGGGACAAGAGACACATATGGAGATCACATTACCTGCCCCAACCATGAGGTTGCAAACTTAGTAACAGCAGAGAAAGAGGCAGAGGGAGACCACCTGAGATACAACAACTAACCTTGTGAGGTTCCAATCTTGGTGACAAACTCCTTCTTCAAGGGTAGCCTGATATCACTAATGGTTAGAGAACCCTGGGGGCCGGGCCCTTCGTGTGACAACACTCCAGTGTCCTTCAGTCGCTGGATCTCCGTCATGTAGCACTGGCGTTTCTGGCCTGGACACACAAGCCACCACCCCAGAGTTACAAAACAGGATTACAATTGTCCACAGGTTTGAGTTTAAACAACAGATCAACATCATGTCACAAAGGTAGTAACCCATTAGGCTCCATTCTACTTCTAACTAAATTCTAAGTCTGAAGATTCTCAGTGCAGTGCACAAACAGCACTACCAGTGAGGATCCTGAAATACTTTGGGTAGATTTCTAATTCTAAATTAAGTCAGGGCAGCGCCGATAGGCTAAACTTTTTTATTTCTAACACCACCTATCAACTACCAATTGGTCTATAAAAACCGATACCAGCATCATATGCCAACCTGGTGGCGTGAAAAGGGTCCTTTACCCCCCTCCCCCCACAACAACAAATCAAGTTGTCCTTTTAGTACACACATGAAAAGATACCTTTCTCTCTCCATCTGTTAAGGACCACAGTAAGATATTATGTGTCACATAGGATCTTGCAGTCTATTCCTCAATTCCCTTTTTATCATTCTGATATCAAGGATGGAATCCATCCTAGCAACCCAACATTTGTTTTAAGGTTTTCCAGGGATGTCCTCCTGTCCTCAGTCAATTTGTTTCTCATTTCAGCACCTGTTAGATAGGCATTCTCTGCTTGCTGCTTCTCAGAATGTGCTAAATATAGCACCATCTTTTGTCTTATCACTGTTAATGTCAGTGGCTGTGCAGACATTCCTTTACCTTTCCTGGGCCTAACGCATTTAATGTGAAGGTAGAGGAAGGAACTAGCTAGCTAACTCTCAATCACTCACTCACCCTCCCTTTCTCTCGACCTCTCTCATACACAAGCAAAACTGAATATGGAAGCTTATAAATCCTACAGCCATACATCCCTCAGTGAAGTTTGTGGCATTGAACAACCACCATGAGCCACATCGCAGGTGACTATCTGAAATAGAAAGAAACAAGATGGCCAAAAAATACACTTACAAGCTAACAGCAAAACCCTGTTGCACTCCACTTGTTCGGCCGAGCCTGCAAAGTAAGAGTTGCCAACACAGCACTTGTTGAGGGCGTTGCTGGTCTGCATGATCACACTCTGCTCTTGCTGCACCAGCTCTTGAAGCTCCTGCAAGCAACAGACAAATTTTACATACCAGGGTGTCCCATCAATAGGAACATTAACACTTTTTGTCACAAAAATCAGCTTTATTTATATCAGAACTCGTATAAGCAGAGTTAGAGTTATGAGTGCAATTGGTGATATCTTTATTGTTCCTGTGTGTATGGAAACTTGTGGGCACCCTGTAGTATCCTGTATGGTGAAACCAGCATCACAAACAACAGATATAGATATACTTTCATGTTCTGACAAAGTTTGTCATCAAGTGCATTGCCGATTGGCGTGTGCGATCATGCCCTTCCCCAACCTGAGATCAACTGCATGTATTAGTTTGTGTGTTGACACCCCTCCATGCCATGTCAAGAATCTTCTAGCACTGTCTTCCCCTGTCTCTCTTTCCGCAAGTTCTTCCGGTGGTCACAACATGTTCCACTTTCCCTCTTCTCATAACAAGGCCAAAACATAAAGACCGTCTCTTCCGGATGTTTATAATAAGTTGTCTTCGAGCCCTCCCCTGTTTCACAACATCTGGGTTGCTCTTTTTAGCTGTCCAAGGAATTCTAAGGATTTTTCAGCAAAAGCAAATTTCCGAGGCCTCAAGAAATTGTTTGCTTGTTCATCAATTGTCCATGATTCACAGCCCTATGTTAAAACTGACTCAATACAGCATGTGGGAATTCTTTAATGAAGTTAAAAATTAGCATTACAAGTAAAAGATATACATTACAAACTGTCATGATCAGTTAAATCATAATCACAAGTATATAAATTGCATACTTTCATATATTCAGTGAGGTGATCCAGCAAGACAGACTATGGAACAACAGTGAAGATTTCCAACACACTTCTATTTGTGACCCACACTGCACAAAAATACAGACTGCTGGAGAAAAAGTCTACCCCAAGGATCACACCCGTTATCAATCAGACAATCATAAACTATATAAGCAGGGAATCAGATCATCTCAATCTACCAATACTAAATCTGAAGTCAGTGCCGTCTTCAAGATATGTGACCAAATTCTCATGGGAACAGTCAGCAGGGGAACCCTGCATCAGAGCACTGAGCATGTACGAGAATGTCCAATGTACAGAGACATCGACTGTGATAGCGTAACATTATATCTGAAGTGTGTGTTTCTTCCTACATTTGCGTTCACCAGCTGTAAGCTCCCACGGAAAGTTCTGGTTGTTTGTCCACCAGTAGACTTTAGTCTGGCTTCAGAACCTGAGTGTAGCGTGCACAAACATTTTACAGATCTGACATATTTGTATGCAGATTGTTTGTTCCTTGCTTTTCAGCCAGATGTGTACCGACTGTAAAGGAAGCCCCCAGTTAGTCGACATGCTTGTTGGAGAGGCAGTGAGTCTATTCTGGTTTTTCCCTCAGTGGAGTCCCAGAACCCACAAGGGGCAAGTGTGTGTTCAGAATGTGAGATATAAACTAATCACAAATGATTAAACACAACAATGACCCACCCTGATTCTGTCCAGCACAGACCGTTTGTCATCTCTCTGGGGCTGCTGAATGGTTGGCATGACCACATCTTCCTCATCATGGTCATATGATGCAGTGTATCGGCTCTTACGTACCACTGGCTCCATGATGTGATGCACAAGTCTGTGTTGAAACAACAACAGTAGTCAGGGGATGATAAATGTAACCCCATATTTATACAGACAACAGGACATGACAAATGTTAACCTCATATTTATACAGACAACAGGACATGACAAATGTTAACCTCATATTTATACAGACAATGGGACATGACAAATGTTAACCTCATATTTATACAGACAACAGGACATGACAAATGCAACTTCACATTTATACAGACAACAGGACATGACAAATGCAATTTCATATTTATACAGACAACAGGACATGACAAATGTTAACCTTATATTTATACAGACAACAGGACATGACAAATGCAATCTCATAGTTATGCAGACAACAGGACATGATAGATGATAACCTCATAGTTATACAGACAACAGGACATGACAAATGCAATCTCATAGTTATGCAGACAACAGAACATGACAAATGAAACCTCATAGTTATGCAGACAACATGACATGATAAATTTTAACCTCATAGTTATACAGACAATAGAACTTGAAGACAAATTACAAATGCAATCTTTATTTCATCTTTAGGCAACCAGTGTCTGACCTGAACATTAAACCAAAGAACACAAGAGACAACTAACCGCTTATGAAATGAAGTGCTTGAGAAATGCTGCGAACAAAAGAACGTATGAGAAATTAGATTAGAAGAACTACTGGTACAAGACCCATCATTAAATTTACTGATGAACAGACTTAGATGGTTGGGCCACCTGGTGAGAATGTCTCCAACTATGGAGACAGCCAGAGTGTACAACATAAAAATGAAAACACCAAGAGGCAGAGAGAGACATAGAAGACGTACTGAAGGAGTCAAGGACAGCTTAAGACTACAGTATCATAACATATCAAGCGACCGAGTGTTCCCTGGCTCAGCTCCATATCATCCCAGCAGCACAAGCGGGAGATTGACAACGGAACAAAACTTCAGTGGAAGATACAGCAGTGCAATGGCTAGTCATTTGCCTGATCGTGTAAGTTTTAGGCTTCAATCCGCATTCCCAAGACTTTCCAGTGCTGACATTCTTGGTCTATACAGTATCCCTGTCAATTTTTGAAAATGTAACCTCCTACAGAGGGATCCCGCCATGATGACTGGGCCAGCAGTGGAGCATGCTAGCCACTGTTCTACTGCGGCATCCACCATTACATGGTAAAAACACCTTTAAAAAAAAATGGTTCACAAACCCTTAGAAGTATGTCAGCAATGTATTACAATTGAAAGTTTTTGACCTGAACATTAAACCAAAGATCACAAGAGAAAACAAACAGCTTATGAAATGAGGGACTTGAGAAAGGCTGCAAACAAAAGAACGAGTGAGAAATTATATTAGACAAACTACTGGTACCATACAAGTGGAAGATGCAGCAGCGCAATGGCTAGACATTTGCCTGATCTCATAAACGTCTTAGGTTTAAAAGAAGAAAAAAGAATTGAACGTAACAAAATGTAGGCTTCTCAGCGCAGAAGCAATATATACATAATGGGAAAAACAACTACTACATGGTTCAGTGAAAAAACTAGAAACAAATTACATGATACAAATGAAAGGAGAAAAGTATAAATGACATACGCGCTCTTCCTGTAGGACTCCAAGCTGTACGGTCTGTCGCTGCCATCATCATCACTGGAGTCCCTGCTGCAACCATTGTGCCTCTGGGCCTGAAATCAGAGAAGCTTGTATAGTACCCACAACATTTAACTAGTTTTTTGTCATGTCTGTCTCCATCCCTTTGTGTGTGTGGGAACTTGTGTTATGTACTTACTTAGTCGCTCCTCTTCTACCCAGGGGTGTCGAGGTTTGCCAGACTTCTCTATGTGCAGTTTTCTTTCTGGCTTTGTTCCAGTACAGTCCTCTTGGTAGTCAGGGACTGTCGGATGTTGTCTTCCCAGCGAACCCTAGGTCGCCTTGGAGGTCTGATTTCCTGGTTCTTAGCCTCCCAAGCCTGCCACAGAGACTGATTCTCTCCCTTCTGCATACATGTCCAAACCATCAGAACTGTTCCACTCCAGTTTGTAAGGCCTGGTTTTCAAGATCTTGATTATTGTCTGACTGCAAACTTATCTTTTTTCTTTTTATCAATGGACCCCTTATATGTGTGTGTGTGCAGAATGTATAGGCATGGTTACATGAAATAAATATCATACCTAGTTTGTATCAGCGACTTACTTAGAAGTTGAGAGCATGCTTCATAATTGTGTGATACCGGGTTTGATTTGGCAAAAATACTGCTTCAGCGATGATTTAGAGAATAGTGAAGAGCTGACCCTTCAGGACATAATGGCAAGCTATTGAGTTTTGAGTGCACATCTGTTTTAAAGATCTGGTTTATTTGTATGCAGACTGTTGGTACATCACCTCTCAGACAGACACAGCATGCTTCCTAATTAGTCACATGGGGGGGGGGGGGGGGGGGTGTTGTGTTTTGCCTGTGGGTTTATCTCCTCTCCCCCCCCCCCCCCCCATGGGCCCTGGAATCCCAGTGTAATTAAAAAGCTGCAATAAGTTAAAAAAATTTATAAACCTCAATTTAAAAGAGAGAAGTGTAATGTCAAGCCAGAGCCTCCAGAACAGATACATATACTCACAGGCTTGGGTATAGCGCTAGACTTCTTTCTCATCACCACATTGTTGACGTCCATGTCTGGGTCGTAATAGTGTTCCTGCTGCGGCTTCTTTCGGAGAACCACTTTTCTGGGGTCCATGTCAGGGTCCAGATCGTCTGAGGTGTCATCGAAAGCTTCATCCAGCAGATCATCCACTGCCTGTCGGTCTTCAAGTTCATTATTGCTGTCATCAGCAACATAGCCGCCATGTTTCGAGGAAGACGCTGCACTCTCTTCGCTGTCCATGGTCATCCGATCATCATCGTAGCTATCCAAGCTGGACTGACTTGAACTCTGCAGTTTGGGCGATGGCAGGATGCTTTCTCTGCGGACTGCTTCAGACACAAAACCCTTGAGACTGATATCATCGTCGTCGATATCCATTTGCTGCCTACCAGAAACAAAAACATGTATGAAACTAAACTAAATGTGATCAAAATAGCAGAAATGGCTATTTTCAGACTCAGCTGGGATGCACAGCTGCTGAACAACAAGTGATGGTGTCTCATGCTGCATGGCATCTGCCTCGAGCGCTGGAGGACCCAGTGAAGGGTGGGATTTTTTCATGTGGACTTCTGGTAATTTTCCCTGGTCTCTGGCTAGTAAAACCAGACTCCTGTGTGTATTGTTGCACATGTTAAAAAAAAAAAAAAAAAAAAAAAAAAAAATCCTCAGGCAGTTGGAAATCAAAAAGAGTAGTCTAACGGCACTGCTTGGGTTAAAACTTTGGATTAAAAATCAAAGTGGTTCAGGATCCTCGCCGGAGCTATGGAGTTTGAGAACTGTGCTGAGATTCTTCAGACTCAGGCTTGGGTTAGAAGTAGAACGGAGCATTTATTGGTTACTACTCTTGTGCCAAGATGTTGATCCATTGTATATAGCAAACCAAACCATCATGCTGGCCACGACCTATCTACACCTTTCCATAATCATCCTAGAAATGGGTCCCCAATTGGAGGCCTGGTCATTGTGGATAGTACTGATACTTCCTTTGAGGTCAGAGTGCATCTGCCTGAGAGGCAAGGAGCTAAAAGTCTGCACAAATAAGCTAGCTCTTTAAAACAAAGTGTGTGCAAAACTCAAGTACTGGAACAAGAACAATGTCCAGAAGTGGATGAACAACCAGAACTTTTCACCAGAGTTTACAGCCAGTGAACACGAAAAAGAATCATAAAAACCTCAGCTGCATCAGCCTATTTATCTGTTTGCCAGCTGCCCAGCAGAAAGTGTCTGTAGCTCACAAAATACATGACCAGACCATCCCATTATACACTGAACAAATATTCCATGGTCATATGCCAAGACCGTGAGAGAACTTCACCATCACTTACTCCGTCCTATGACAATGTACAGATCATCACATCAAGGTATCATGCCTTTTCTCTGGACGAAGGTTCAAGTGGTCCACAGAAGGGGACAGCTAGCGACAAAATTTTCACAATCAGTGATTTAGTTTTCACTACTCAGTTTCATTTGTCAGTCAGTCAGTAGCATGTCTTTTGCAGAACCTTGCTCCCATAACAACCTTCTAGAAAACTTCTCGATCACAAGCACAAGATGTCTTACGTCCGATACACCTATCAGGAGATCATCCGCCACATCCTGCGCCCATCTTCTCTTTGGCCTTCCTCTTCCTCTCTTCCCAGGCACACAAAAGTAAAGGTCTCTTTTCCAAGCCTTTAGGCGTATAGGGCATATAGGGCTAGACCTATATTTTTGTAGACCAATCAGCACGAGTGATGTGATCAGCATCACGCCAGCCACCTTTACTTCCCGGTACTGCACCCAGAACCCACTTAAGGCTGTGAGTCAAGGTCATTTCCCAGGCATATACCCCTGCATTACTGTTCTCTCTAAACTTTTGTGACCTTAGTTTCATCAACTAACTCTAAAAAGATAAGACATTTATTTTCAACATTACAAATAGCTGGTGTCCATTTTTATATTCTCCTGTGTTCATCCAGAAGATGTAAACATGTTGTGCCCATTAACAACATGGCTGTGATATTTGTGTCTTTCAACGAACACATCTGACTTCTACAGGCATTTGTTGCCAAAGTCAGTCTTCCAGGTTAGTCTCCTAGGACACTGTTGTGAGCTCCTCTTTTGTTTCCTTGTTCACACAGTGCTCTGGTACTAGGCTCACCCAAGGGATCGTACTGTTCATGACTTCTGTATAAAGAGCCTCTCAAACATCACGGGCAGTGCCCATTATCTACATATCACTGCCCTAGTTTTCATTGTTTGAACAAAACAGGGCCCCATAAACATGAAACATTCATTCTGAACATTCCAAAACCCAACTTACTTCTCACTAGGAACAAACTCTTCCTCTCCAACATCAGAGCTACTGAGAGCATCCGACTCACTCTCCAACCTCAACTTTGGCACCTGGGGCTTTTTGAACACCTGGTCCTCATCAGACAGTTGTTGAGCTTGTCGTCGAACTGCAGACTGCGGGACTGTGCGCAGGCAGTCATCATCTGTATCGTCAAAACTGTCCTCAAACTGCACCTGTAAGAATCAAGTGGCTAGTTATAATAAACTATAACACAGGGATGGTCATCATTTTGGTAATAGTTACATGGTGGTGGTGGCAGTTACATGGTATTGGTAGTTGTTACATGGTGGTGGTGGTGGTGGTTACGTGGTAGTGGTAGTTGTTACATGTTGGTGGTGGTAGTTATGTGGTGGTGATAGTAGTTACATGGTGGTGGTGGTAGTTACGTGGTAGTGGTAGTTGTTACATGGTGGTGGTGGTAGTTACATGGTAGTGGTAGTTGTTACATGGTGGTGGTGGTAGTTACATGGTAGTGGTAGTTGTTAAATGGTGGTGGTGGTAGTGGTAGTTGTTACATGGTGGTGGTAGTTACATGGTAGTGGTAGTTGTTACATGGTGGTGGTAGTTACGTGGCAGTGATAGTAGTTAAATGGTGGTGGTGGTGGTTACATGGTAGTGATAGTTGTTAGATGGTAGTGGTTAAATGGTGGTGGTGGTAGTTACGTGGTAGTGGTAGTAGTTACATGGTGGTGGTGGTGGTAGTAGTAGTAGGTGTGTAGTGGTACTACTACATGAAAAGAACCAACAGTCAACACATCAACAGAACCAACAGCCAACACATCAACAGAACCAACAGCCAACACATCAACAAAACTAACAACCAACACATCAACAGAACCAACACATTAACAACACCAACAGCCAGCACATGATCAGAACCAACAGTCAACACATCAACAGAACCATCAGCCAACACAACAGAACCAACAGCCAACACAACAGAACCAACTGTCAACACATCAACAGAACCAACACATTAACAAAACCAACAACTAACACATCAACAGAGCCAACACATCAACAGAACCAACAGTGGGACTCACCTTTTTGTCTGTACTCTGTGGTTCAGCATCCTCCCTTTTCTTGATGAGGTTGTAGATGCTGGAGGTCTGACTGCCGCCAGCTGTGCTGGTTGCTGATTTCGCTGCAGAAGAACTAGCCTGGGGAAGAGGAGGTGGTGGTGGTACTGGGGATGCTGCTTCACTTCCACCAAATCCAATCTCAGCCAGTTTCTGGTTGAATTCTGTACAAGGAAATAACACTCAATAATCATACCTGAAAACAACTACAGCACAACAAATGTACATGTGTGATGCAGTTAGGTTCTTCTACAGCATTCTTTCCTTCAAATGGACAGTTGACATTTTGTGCTGTGGTCTACAGAGAGTCACGATACAGGAAACCAGACCATCAGGGAGACCCAGGGTTTGCTAGGAAGACAATATCCCTGACTGACAGAGGGCCAGAATGGAACAAAGCCAAAAACGAAAACTGCTGACAGAGAAGTCTGGCAAACCTCTACACACCATGGTAGAAAAGGATTAAGTAAGGTTTACAGATGAGCTGCATTATCTGCACCTTTAGCGCAACAAGTCTGACCCCAGCAAACTCGTTAGTCACATGCAGCTTGCTGGGGGAAAGGGGCAGTAAGGTTATTTTTTCTCTCCCAAAATGGGGCCCGGTACCCATAAGTGGAAACAGATTTACTTCTTTCAGTCTCAGGCATGTCCAAGGGATAAATACAGAAAGGGTGGATAATTCTGAGGTTACAACAGCAGGATATGACTCTTTTACGAAACAAATTAAAAGTGTTTACCAGATCTAGCTCTATTCCGAGATTCCTCCCTCTTGCTGCTGGCTGGAGCCGAGGCTTCCACATTAACTCTCTGAGGACTTCTACCCCGAGCTCTTTCCCCTGGGGGTTCAGAGTGACCCTGAGGACACAAATACAATCTGTTAGTCTGCTTCTGGCTAAGATTCACTTTCACTGCATACATCTGACTCCATTGTCAGAGTGAAGGGTAATTTACTACACATCATTTTTAATCATGGCCAACAAAAGAAAAACAAACATTCCATAATTCACAGAATCACACAAAGCACTCGCCTCAGTAGGTGGGTGATGGAACCTTTAGACTCCCCATTTAGAAATGGGGAATTTGCATAAGCAAACATTGACTAGGAACACAACACATGCTCTAACACTTCACAACCCCCTACCACACGATGTACCATGTTTACATTATCCTATCATGTGATTTCTCTAAAATACTTCAGTTATGTTTCTGAGCGTTTTTGTTCACAACTGTAGAAGTTCATGTAATGAACTGACGACAGCTCTCTAGTTGCAATACCCACTTGTAGACACTGACTGGTTCTATTTTTCATTTGGTCTGACATCTTTTTATGATAGATGATCTTCAACACCAGTAAAACCATGTGCAGAAAAACATTTGACCCCAAACACAGCCAGACAACCACCATGAGACAAAGTAACTTACCCCTGATTCATCAGATGATGAACTGTCATCCTTAAGAACTCCATTTTTCCACCGATTCTGAATCTCCTCCAGTTCTGCCAGACGTGCAGCCCTACTCTGTGCTGCCAGAGAACTGCACGTGGTATTGCTGTCTTGTACACGGCCAACTAACCGTTGTTGAACAGTCTTGGTTCCTGCGCTCACCTGTAGAAGCACAAACATTATACACTCTGCTAGCTTGTAGGTTCTGTATTTTTTTTTCTTTTTATTTAAATCATTTTTCTTATACTCTATATCAGTGTTTCTCAGCCTTTTGTGTGTGCCATGCCCCACCCCAGCCTTCTAAAATTCTTACCCCCCCCCCCCCCCCTGTAACTTATACATAATATAAACTTTAGACCAGTCCATTTTTTTAACTGCTCCCCTGTGGGGCATGGACCCCACGATGAGAAACACTGTTCTAGAGTTGTTAGGATTACTTTGCATTCAGGCTCGCATGCCGTGTTGTTTACAGATAGGCTGCGATATCAGCATACTTCAACCCAACACATCCAATATCAGCATACCCTGATGACAGTGTTATACTGGGCCCTAAGGAGACATGGGAGTCACAGCCCATGGCAAAGCGAGTGTGACCAGCAAGACCTGCTCGTGTTCAGCAAAGCCTTCCCCAGTTAAAACATCAGATGTAAGGACTAGTGTTACAACTGCATTTATGGAATGTACTGCCTCTCATACGCTTAGTTCTTATCCTATTTACAATCAATTTGTCATGTATCCCTATTCCCTTCCTGATTTCTGCCCTCCATGCAAGATGGTCCCTGGAATCCTGCTCCCACAAATCCAACTCAATTTCTGTATAACTCACATCCCCCTTGCAGTGTAATATTGTAATAGAGGTCAACATGACACACCTCAGACAAGACACACCTCAAACATGACACACCTCAGACAAGACACACCTCAAACATGACACACCTCAGACAATACACACCTCAGACAAGACAAACCTCAGACATGACACACCTCAGACAAGACACACCTCAGACAAGACACACCTCAGACATGACACACCTCTAACATGACACACCTCAGACAAGACACACCTTAAACATGACACACCTCAGACATGACACACCTCAGACATGACACACCTCTAACATGACACACCTCAGACATGACACACCTCTAACATGACACACCTCTAACATGACACACCTCAGACAAGACACACCTCTAACATGACACACCTCAGACAAGACACACCTCAGACATGACACACCTCAGACAAGACACACTGACTGACCTTGCTGGGGGAATGGCAAATTTTACTTGGTGATCCGCCAGCAGTCTTAACTGGTGAATCAACTTTAGCAGGTGTGGTAACTCTAGCTGGCACAGACTCGGTGGGTGACTCCTTCCTGGCCAGAACTTGTGAAGCCTTCTCTTCAATACACTCTCTGAAGCTTTTCTTTGAGGTCAGAGATTTACCCATGGCTGGAGGCGGTGGTGGGTTCTGTCAAACCAGTTTTGAAACAAACATCTTTATATGTAATATATTTATAACACATAATATGTATAGTTATATGTTTTATCTTGCCATTTTATGTTCAGCAACTGTATGAGGCATACTGTGTGGAAATGGTTCAGCTTCTCAGCATGGCGCTGGTAAACTGTCCATGTTTCACATACATAGAGAAGTACAGGAAGTACAACAGCTTTGTACACTTAGAGCTTCGTCTGCAGGCTGATGCCAGCTCTGTTCCACACTTTAGTATACAATTTATATAATATGCTCTACGTGACTACCATTGTTTTGAACACATTTTTGGCTGTGTGGGTTCAGGGCCTCACTGTTGGGAAATCAAGAACAGATCCACTAACTGCCCAACAAGCATGTCTTAAAAGTCGACTAACTGGAAGCTTTTCTTCGAAGCCAGAGTGCAACAAATCAACAGCCTGCATACAAATAAGATACATCTGTAAGACTTATGTGCACACAACAGTGAGGTTCTGGAACAGGACAGCATCTAAAAGTAGATGAACAACCAGAACTTGCTGCTGGAGTTTACAGCAGGTGAACACAAAAATGAAGATGAAGAAACATCGATGCCTGTCCACCACTGCTGAAAAACACGTGTCAGCACAGCTGTTATGCTGATAATGGTATGGTGATATGTTAATTTCTCCTACTTATGGAAACTAATGGGACACTAAGATAAAAGGTACTTTTTTCACACCTTAAGGCGTATTAAGAATATAGGGTAAGACCTAATTTTTATAGACCAATCAGCATTTGGTGGATGATGTAGTCAGCATCACGCCAGCGGCCTTTACTTCCCAGGACAGCACCTGGTACCCACTCACGGCTGGGTCAATCTGAGAGTCAATGTAATTTTTTTAGTTTTAAAAAAGTCTGGCTCTGCCAGAACACGAATCCAAGACCTTCTGATCCGCAGGCAGGCAAATAGACACCAAGGCCACGGTGACTCACACTTTAAGATAAGGAGTTAAAATAATAACAGAATGGTATGACAGAGGTCTTACCTGAGGTGGTCCACTGGTCAGCGACGCACATTTTGGAGTAAACTCCGACACTGGTCTCGCTTTGCTGACCATGGGAGACCCTTCCACTGGGTTGAGCTTCTTAATATCACTGACAAGGTTGGAGGAGGTCATATTTTCCCAGGCAGACATTCGGGCCCCCACGGTGAAGGCAGTGGGCTCCTCCTGCTGGCGGCGCAGCTGTGGCGTGTTGCTGAGCTTCTCCTGCATCTGGGACATGCGCTGGGAGACTGGCAGCTCTGTGGGGTCACAACTTTTCTGCCGAGAACTGGTTGATGACGAAGCAGTTGGGGTTGACAGTGCTGGCGTAACTGCCTGAAAAAATCATTAACATGTCACAAAAACTATTCCAGCTAAGTGGAATGCATAAAAATGACCGCATCTAATAAATAATGAAATGTTTCCACCTGGTGGTTCCAGAGCCCATTTCTGGGTCAACCCCCCTACACACACACACACACACTTTGTAAAAGTGACCAATTCAGATCCTGTAGAAATTTGATGTTTTGGGTCACAAGGTGCAGATATTGCAGCTTAGCTGCAAACCACAATATATGGCACCACCCACTTTCAAGGACAAACACAGAATAATACACAGTATTAGAATCACTACCTGTCAGCCCAACTGTCACATCAAGGTTAATGTTTAAAAAACAAAACATGACCTGAATTGTCCTACTTCTTCTTCTTCTGCGTTCATCCTAAATGTAACTGCGTTGTGTCCGTTTACAGCATGGCTGCGATATTTGCACTTTTCGGCCAACACATACGAACTCTACGGGCTGAATTTACTTACTAAGCATCCATTCCTAAATGTGTATGAGAAAATGTCTTGGGAAGAAAATGTGTCTGGCATGATATTGATCATACCCCACTGATCTGAAACACTTAACTAATTTAAATCACAAACTAAGAAACTAGACAGTATGATAACAAAGAGAAGTTGGAAACGGCTTGGCCATGTTATAAGAATGAATCCTGATATACCTACCATGTATGATTCTGTGTATGCATGGGTAACTATACGTTTGTGTGTACGTATCTGTGTGTAGGCGTGTGTCAGTGAGTGTGTCTGTGTGTATGGTGTCTGGGTGCTTATCTGTAGGTGTGCCTGTGAGCGTGTCTGTTTTTGTGTCTCTGTGTTGGCTCGTCCATATGCGTGTTTTTATGTGCATATGTATGTGTGTCTGCGTGTCAGTCTGTGTTGTGTGTCTGTGTGTGTATTTTTTTTTATGTCTATCTGTATGTGTGGCTGCGTGTGTGTCTGTGTGTATGATTGTATGTGGATATGTGTGGGTGTGGCTTGGCTGCATGTTTGTCCGTGTGTGTGTGTCTGTCTGTCTGTGTATATCTATGCCTGCGTGTGTCTGTGGCTGTGTTTCTCTGTGTGTTGTTTCGTGTGTATTTGTATGTTCATCTTTTTGATGTGTGCGTGTGTGTCTGCATGTGTGTATCCCTGCAAGTATTTGTGCGTCTGTGGGTTTGTTAGTATGTGTTTGTGCATGTCTCTGTGTGTCAGTGTGTGTGTGTGCCATTATGTGTCTGTAGGTGTGTATGGCTGCATGTGCATCTGTCTGTGTCTGTGCGTTACTTTGTGTGTATCTGTGTGAGTCTCTATCAGTGTGTCTATTATATAATGTCTGCGTGTCTCTGCTTGTGACGGGTTATGCGTCTGCGTGTATGTCTGTTTGCGTATGTGTGACTGTGCGTGTCTGTGTGTGTATATCTGTGTATGTGTGGGTGTATATCTGTGTATGTGTGGGTGTTGCGTATGTCTATGTGTGTGTCTGTTTCCATGCTTTTGTGTGTGCACGTGACTGCATGTGTGTCTGTATGTGTCTGGGTTGTATGCATGTGTATGTGTGTATGTATGTATTTTTGTATGTGTGTATGTATGTGAGTTTGTATGTATGTATGTATGTACGTACGTATGTATGTATGTATGTATGTATGTATGTATGTGTGTGTGTGTGTATGTGTGTGCATGTTCGTGTGTATGTGGATGTATGTGTGTACTGGGTGCCTTTGTGTTTGTGTGTAAGTGAGTGATTGGGCTTGTGTGTGTATGTGGGTGTGTGTGTTCGCGCGTGAGCGTGCGCACATATTTTACCACCCATGCTTTTGTTTTTGACTTCATATCCATAATATGCATATCATTACATGAATATAACATGCTTCATTGATGAAATACAACTGCTGTGTGAAAGATGGAAGTTTGGAAGGGCCGAATGTAAGACAGGCCTGCGTGCCTAATTTGTAACCCTTTGAAAATAAAGTTAGTTCGTTCTGTCCTGTGCAATCACTTCGTCGTCACAGAATCTAGTCCAGCATCTTTGGCTTCTTTCATCAGCGTTCACCTGAGGGTTTCTCTTGGTCACCCTTGTTTACTCAATCCTTCTATTTCTCATTCCAGTGCCTGTTTGCTGATTCTCTGTCTTCTCTTAGAATGTGCCAAAAATAGTGCCATCTTCTGTCTTGTAACTGTTGATACTAATGGTTGCCCAGATATCACTCCTCTGGAATTCACCCTATTTTATATTCATAATTTTTCTCAAATATATTTAACTTTCACATCACATCTTTAGTGATTCTGACACTTTTACTGGCATATGTTCGATTGAAATAACATGCTCATAATTTGTTTCAGATATTTGTTCTCAAATGAATTTAACTTTTGTACCACATCTTTGTAGGTGAATGTGGCTTAGGTGTTGCGAACACACTCCGTAATGCCGGGTTCGATTCCAGCTTCGGGCCTTGCGTTGGTTTTGACAGTGGTATCAAAAAGCTGAACGTCTTGAAAGCAATGGCAAACTACTGGAAGTAAATTTGCCTAGAAAAACCAAAACAGCCAAAAATGCTAGGGTTGGTTTTGCCATGACCTGAAAAGGATACACAACTAACTTTTTTAACTAACCATATCTTCAGTGACTCTCCCACTTTTACCAGCATATGTTCCACTGAAATAACAATAGAATTGAGAATAGCTAGCTTGGTTATACAACTATATAATTTAGTGTTACTTATGTTGTTCAAGACAAATTCGCTAAATACAAAGAAAAAACATACTTAGGAAATGAAGAACTTGTACCAAAACAAAACAAATAAAACATGCAAACAATACAGGTATTCATAGAAAATAATAAGATAACCTTTTTAGGGGTCTTTGACACAAAGGGTGAGCGTGTCTGGCTGGTCTTGGGTGTGTTCTGTACAATCTTCTTCTCAAACGATGCTAACTTGGCAGACAAAGGCTGTCTGGAAGGTTCAACTGGAGGTGGTTTGGAGGCATCAACCTTTTTGGCCCAAGAAGCCAGTCTCTGTGAAACTGGTCTGAGGGTAGGTTCATCCAAGGTCACGTTCAGCTGATCGTTTGAAGAAGCCACCTCAGGAAAGTCCCTAGAGCCCGATTCTTCTGTTCTGGCAACTGATGCTTTATGATTAGTCTTGTATTTGTCCGACCTTGTGGTTGATGAAGAAACAACTGTATCTGATGAAGCCTTCACTGGAGATGCTTCATGTTTAGGGAAGTTGAATTTGGTCAGGTCTGTAGCTGATTTCGAAGGAGACGAGGCTCCTTCTGCATAACTTGGAGAAAATGGTTTTGGCGAACGATTCCATTCCACCTTAAATTAAATAAAAGCATGCATATAAAAGAAACTAGCAAATATTTTAAACTATTAAATCTCATAACAAGTTTTGATATTTTAGGCTACCCTGCATGCAGCCAACATACAAAGTAGTTGACATGACCCAGATATTGTTCATCTGAGTAAAAACACACCAGAATGTTAACTAGGACTTTATGTCAAAGGAGACCACTTAGTAGAGTTGGCATGATCATCCTTTAGAAGACTAGCCATGAACAAGTCTACAAAGAGTCTGCCCTGAGTTAGCGTATATTAGAAGGGGACAGGCAACTGAACCAGGGAGATAAAATGCAAAGTAGGGAGATGAAATGCAAAATAAAAAGGTAGATAAAATGCAAAAGAAGTAGGGAGATGAGAGGCAAAGGAACCAGGGAGATTAAAGGCAAAAGAACGGCTGGCCAGTGAAACAAGACAATGGAAACGGGTTAGGATTTCAGATAAGTCTAGATAAACCAGAAAGAACCTCAAGAGTGTGTGTAGGAAACAAGCTGGGAGTTAGTGTAGACAAATATATGTACGTATATGATACTCTCATGCTATATTGTTGCTGATGTCCATTGTGATATCCATCTGATAGAGATGTTAGGGCAATCAAGCAACTGTTATGATGGTGTTAAACTTGAGAACGCCTAATACGTTACACGAGATACATACAGCACTGGGTTAGTATATGGCAACAATATTCTGTAGCAACATTCTTTTATCATGTCTTCTTCTAGTCAATCAGGAATCAGCATATGTGCGGAATCATATTCATTTTATATTTTTTTTCCATTCAAAGATTGTAAATTCCGGCAGAAAATTCTGGGTTTTTTCCACTTCTGGACTTTGATCCCGTTCCCAAATATTCCTATTTCAATTGATCATGTGCCATCTCCACAATGAAGGCTGGCTGCATACATTCTTTCTCTCATCCAGGTGGTATGCCCGCCGAGACAGCTGTTCATCCATTCTTGATTTAATCCTTCCAATTGTATCACTGTTTACCTATACCTCATTTGCCTACTACCTATTCCTTATTTCCTACCAGTTACTTTCTATGGGAGTGTTTTAAGTCTCTTAGTGTGGCCAAAATATCTTATATGTCTTTTCTATTCCAACACTGCTACAAACTTGGGGTGGGGGGTAGAGTGTGTGTCTCCTGGTTGGTCTTCCACATCCGTTTAGCTAATTTGTATGCAAATTGTTCTCTCGCTTCAGATAGATGCACTCCATCTTTAAAGGAAACACCTATAATTTGTCATTCACCTTATACGACATGCTTGATTCCGGGGGGGAGGGTGCACGCAATGTGTATGCAATGGCTACTCCCACACCCTCCTTCGCCCTGAAATGAGAGCCCCGGAATTCACAGGGGTAAATATATAATATAAATATATATATTATATAATATCAATTATATACACAGTATATAATTTTGAAAAAATTTGTAGATTCTGGTAGCCGTCCTATCACAGTTACTAGATAAGTGCAAGCTGGTTCAAAACCATGACCCTGGTTCCTTGATCCTCTGGAGGGTTGATCAAGCTGCACTCGGCTGCCCGGACAGGTCCTCTAGGGACATCATGGATTGAGAGATGATGAACTTACTGCACATGTAAGGCTTTAAATGTCCCATAAAATTACCTCAGACAACAAATGCTTGAAGACAGCAGATGTGTCGGCCAAAAGGGCAACATTTTGCAGATATGCTGTAAACAGGCGAAGCACATTTATATCACTCAGAAAAATTACGAAGATATGGGTGGGGGCGCTCCCAGATTGACTCTAGTCTAAAACGGATGCCAGGTAAAGTCCTAGGAAACAAACATGGGTGGTGGGTTCAATGCTGACCAACTCATCCATCGAATTCAACTATATACAAATATGTCTAGCATCACATGTCCAACTTGCCAACAGCATAAAAGGAGTTTAAGCAAGCAAAAGTAAAATTCTCTCAAAAGATGATGCTGAAACCAAGCTTTATGATCAGATCAGTGGTAACATGATGCAAACAGAACATCTCATGCTGGTCATAATATGCATTGTCACAAACCTTTGATGTTCTCAACGGTGAGTTTCTCGTCAGGCTGCCAGCGGGACTTGCAGAAATTTGTGAATGTGGGTCTTGAGTTTTCTTCGGAGAGTAAATCTCAGCTGTGGCCGGTGCCGTCTTCTTTGGAGAGTACAGTTCTGATGTGGCAGATACCATTTTCTTTGGAGAGTACAGTTCCGCTGCAGCAGGCGCTGCTTTCTTCGGGGAGTATCTTTCAGCCGTCACAGATGAAGCTGTGTTTTCTGCAGGTGGAGGAGGCGGAGCTGGACCCTTGCCTGAGGGTGTTGACTTCAGCTGGGCAGGTGCAACATCAACTTTTGCTGGAGGCTGCCACTTTGGCTTCTTTTCCTCCTCCTTCCTGATCAGATTAAGTTAGAAAGATATCAAATGAAATATACAGAGACAAACCTCCAGCATGTATACTGCAGCAACTGTGAACACAAGTATTAATATGTACCAATTTGTCACGCTTAAACATAAAATACCTTGGACAGACTATTACTTCTGCATTTGCCCTTAAAGAGCAGCTGGCACAATGTGATGTGCTTTTCAGCTAGACTGGGATATCTACACATACAAGCCCAACAAATGTGATTTCATCTAATCCAGAATTAGTCACAGTTTAGCCTCTCTCAACATTATTATTAGGGTTTCTCCAGGACCTCCTTGCTTCCTTAATCTATCTCTCATTTCAGTGCCTGCTTGGTGATTCCCTGTACCTTCCTCCTTATGATCTGCCCAATATTCAGATATCTTCTGTCTTTTAACTGTTGATACAACTGTGAGTCCAGACATTTATTTTAGTAATATAGCTGGTTGCTGCACTACTAGCTGTGTCATCTGAGACAGAAGAAAAACCAAACAAAAATCATCCCAGAGATTACACCCGGGTCAACCCCACCTCCTCGTGGTGCACGCCGGAGAACTGAAGCCGGAAGGTTTCAGGCTAACGGATCAATGGCTCGCTCGGAAAGAAACAGGCACCAGTTAGGTCAGATTTTGTTCTGCCACGCAACGGGCCTAGCAAGCCGGCATTTGTGAATTTGACTGCTACTACTTAAACGTTTAAACACTAGAACAGAAAAAAAACCACATGTGAAATACGCTGTCTCCGCAAGGTCACTAAAAACACCAGATGAGACAGGGTTTCGAATACCAGCATTAGAGAGTAAGTTGGAATAAGACCATGTCTGGATTACATTGACCGGCAAGGAATGAAATGATTCGGCCATCTAGTGAGAATGCAGCCAGAACAGACTGCATATGATACTTTTTTCAGTAGAACATCTGGGAGGAAGACGAGAGGAAGACCAAGAGAGATATAAATGAATGGTGTAGTTGAAACTTGCAAAAAGATGAACAAATCTACCACTCAAGCCATCCGAGAAACTCAAGACAAATTTAGAAAACCATGACACTGGGCTACAACCTGGTATCAGTGGAAATGACAAAAGAAGAAGATTATACAATGAATTTAACACAACAGGTTAAATCATCCATTACAAAAATTAACAATATGTTGGGTTAGATCATCTTTAGAAGAGCAAATGAACTTAGCGAACAGCATGGTGGGTTAAATCATCCTTATTCAGAATTAATCTTTTTCATGTTCCAGTGGAAAGTTCTGGTTGTTCATCCACTTCTGGACTTTAGTCTTGTACAAGAACTTAGGTTTTGGGTGCATATCCATTTTAAAGATGTCACTCATTAGTAGGTAAGCAAACAGATACACTCCGATTTAGAAGGAACCCCTAATTATTTATACGACATGCTGTGTGTGTGCGTGTCCTCTATTTTTTTTTTTATATTTAAAACAATTGGGCCCCCGAACCCAAAGGGGTAGAGAACAAATGACACTCACTGAATAGCATGATGGGTTAAACCATCCTTGCACAGAAAAATTCACTCACAGAATAACACAATAGGTTACACCATCTTTGGAAAGAACAAATTTACTCGCTGAATAGCATGATAGGTTAAACCATCCTTGGATAGAACAAAGTCACTCGCCGAATAAAATGCTAGGTTTAATCATCTTTTTTTTTTTTTTTATAAAACAAATGAACTCACGGAATAACATGGTGGGTTAAATCATCTTCCCAGTTGTTGATCTGACTAGCCAGGGCTGCAAACCTGCCCTTCCTGGAGGATGACACACCAGCGGGAGCCACCCCATCTCTAGCAGGAGACTTTGACAATGAAGTAGGAGCTCTCCTCTCCAGTGGTGGTGACGAGATGCTTTTCCTGGGCTTGGGGGTTGGGCTCCCTTCCATATTTTCTGTGTGTAATCAATAGAATTACTGTTCACCAGTTCATCTAAATTGTTCATTTTGTACATCATATTATAATACTCTGCTACAGAGTATGTCAGATTATTTGGCTTCTTGTAAAAAAAAAAAAAAGCCAACAGCCAGTTGATCGCTGATGCTCTGACAAGTTGTTTTTAACAAGGTTGTGCTGATGCTAATTCCCTACTTCTGGACCGGGGGTGCAAAGGTTCCATTGTTTAGCTACATTGCTTGGTGCAACACTGAGCTGAAAAAATTTCTTGGAGATTTTTTTCTGTGTATTTCTGTGGGTGCAATACCAGCTTTCATGGCTGACCATTTGCACCAGTAGTGACTGCAATTCTGGTGTGGGACCATTAGTGTTGTCATGCATTTTTACTTTGCGTGTGCAACCTTCAAGATTCTGCTAGGACTGACAAGTTTTCGCCCCTAGTTTTTAGATATTTAGCTATTTCTACTGGCACAGAAATGGAGTTACTAGAGCGACCCGTCTGCAGATCGTGGAACCTCAACTAATGAGAGTATGTCATGCAGTAGTTTCAGTGGCCAAGCCGTTTGCCTCCTGCTCAGAAGCTTACAGGTTTGTTTCACGAACTGCTCCCTTCTGTTCATGGGTGCAATTCTTTTTCAGATCCATGGGGACTGTCAGACGAGCTGTGGAGTTCATGCTTTGTGCGACACTCTGCAAGTGTATAGCTGTTCTGTGGTAAGATAGGGAGCCACATGGGATATATGTTGTCCAAAGATGGAGAAGCATTATTCTAGTCACCCTGATAGTGTTTTATGAGAGAAGGATCACTTAACATATGGAGAAAGGACATACATGAAACATTCCATATGTCACCCAATGACATACCCTCATTTTCCCTGGTTAGAGAATTAGGTAGATCCCGAATCCGAGACTGAACCCCACGTATGGCTGGTGTATCTTGTTTCTTCTCCTGCTCGCCTTCTCTCACACACTGACGTTTCGGAGAATCTGGTGGTAAGTTCACACATAATTGTAGACATGTAAACTGTTAGACAAGGTAGCAGGCAGTGCAAAAACAGACGCTACTTTAAGTGCGCTGTTACTTAAAAGGGGAACTACAGAGAAGTTACAAATGTGGGGAAGACTACTACTAACTGGCATTCACTGGCTGAAAACTCCAGCCCAAAGTCCTGGTTGTTCATCCGCTTCTGGACTTTGGTCTTGTTCCAGGACTTTAGCTTAATTCTTTCAGTCCCAAGGGGTGTAGAGGCCCAAAGGGAAGTAAGAAGTACAATCCGCCAACCGTGCTTTCACTGGAGTTCCAGGTAGAAACTTATAAATGCATGATGTGTTTCTTTGGACTCAAAGAATTCTCTGCACATCCGTTCAATAGATCTGGCCATAGGTTTCTTGCCTCTCAGGCTGATTCACTCTGACTTTGGGGGGTGGAAAGGATCCTATCTGGGTTGGTCACTCTCAGTTGCGAACCTGTCTCTAGGAAGACAACAGTAGCAGATGAATCTTGACCAGTTCAAGCCCTGGTCCCTGTGCACCAGCACATGTGATTTAGCACTTCTGCATCCCAAGTGTTCATCTTGCCCGAGAAATGTTTGTCTTCTTTGTTCACCAGCTGTAAGCTCCAACAGACAGTCCTGGTTATTTGTCCATCTGGACTTTGGCGTTGTGCCAGGGCCTGAGTTTTGTGTCCATTTGTACATCCATTTTACTAGCTTATTCATGTGCAGTTGGTTGTTCCCTGCCGCTCTGGCAGATGCACTCCGACTTCAAAGCAAGTCCCCACTTAGTCAACTCTTGCCACATGCTTGTTGGGGAGGTACTGGTTTAGAAGGATTTTTTTACTACAGACAATTGCTATGACTAAATAACCTTAGTGATCTTAGTGATTTGCCTTTAAAAGAGGTAGTTAACACAATGTGTGGTTTAAAGTGCGGATGAGATATCAGCTATTCGGCACAAAAATTATATATATATATTTTTTTTTTTAAATCTAATTAGTCGTCTATTCTGGCATGCATGCTGGAGCATGGAGTTCTTTTCCCCTTCCAAAATGGGGTTGCACACAGGAAACCTTAGTAATCAAAAGCTAAAGGAGAAATATTACATCCTTCTCTAAGTTTTGTTTATTAAAAGCTTACTGTGTCAACCTTGTTCTGATTCTTTGCTAAAGAACTTGCCCTGGAGGTCTGGTTCCCTGGTTCTTAGCGTCCAGTGCCTGCCATAATGGCCGATTTTCTCCCATTCTGCACACATGTCCAGACCATCGTAACTGTGACTGACCCAGTCAGGTTTGTAAGGCCTGGGTATCAAAATCTTGATGTATTGTCTGATTGCGAACTTTGTCCTTCCTGTCACTTGGACCATCTTTCTCAGATATCTCATTCTGAGATCTGAAGCTGGCTTCCGTGAGCTGTTGTCATTGCCCACGACTCACACCCATAGGTCAGGACTGGCACACAAGTGTTTATTTTTAATATTGTAATCTTACTTTGAAATAAATGTTAATATGATGCAATCATTTGTTGAGATATAAAATATCAGACTTTTCCTAACGATTGTTTAAAACAAAAAAAATTCAAACAAACAAAACATACAACTTCAAACAAAACTAACCCAAAAAATAAAAATCTCACAGTTCAAAAGGCGTGTATTTTGAAAGTTAGAAGGTTGATATATGTATGTTATCAAGTCCCAAGTATGAATGAGTGAGTATACATGGGAACAATGCTCCCTCTAAGCTGCATTAGGACATTTCTATCCCTGGGAGCACATATTTGTGGCTCAGAACATAGTTACAGAATGAGAATTACCAAACTGAAATGTAGGCCCACCTGAAACTGAATGACTGTTTCTCAGTCTCCCAGCTTAGAGAGAACCTTGCTAGAGAAGCAATGTCAGAATGCACCCATAATGCTGTTAGTTCAGTATATATGGTTATTTACTGAAGCGCTCACCTGCTAATCCTTATATTCAGTTTTTAATCAGTAAGTTTTCTTTTATTACAACTGACCTTGGCTCTAAGGTCGACCCAGTCTAAAACGAGTACCAGATAATGTCCTGGGAAGTAAAGGCAGCTGGTGTGATTATGACCACAACTGTCCTTCGCAAGCAGAATGGTCTATAAAAACCGGAGACTAGCATCATGTTTCTGCTGTGCCGCTGGCATCAAAAATGGTCCTGTGTGCATAGTGTAGTAGTATTTACTGAAGGCTTATTTGTTTACTGGATGTGGGCAAGCGGGACATGAATGGTACATGTATTGCTGGATTCAAGTGAACAAGACGCCATGGACTGTGTTGCGTGGAGCGGGACAATCAGGAAGGGAATGAGAAGGAAGAAATGTCTGCATAAATGATGAGAGCTGAGCATCTGAGAAGAAACAGACTAAATACAATTGATGGTAACAACGGTCCTGATATTTAATGTATAACCGTGGAAGACTTAATGTGGGCGGCTCTTGTCACACTTGCCATCGCTATGGGCTGCCCTTTATAAGCCCAATATAACACTATCGCCTGGAAAGACAGAAAGGGGCCAACAATTTGTTTATTGTTCAGTATTTAGCAGGGTTAGCTATTTTGGTCTCACTGGAAGTATTAGGAAAATTAAGGCTGGTATGTTGTATTTAAAAAAAAAAAAAGATTTTCTGTACCTCACCTCAGCTAACAACAAAGTATAGTTCCACTGCACAACCCAATAAGCATGTTATAGAAGTCAACTAATTGGGAGCATTCTTCAACGTCAGAGTACATCGGCCTTAGAGGCAAGCAACCAAGAGTCTGCATTCAAATAAACCAGATGTGCAGGTTCTAGAAAAGAAAGCGGACAAACACCAAGAAGGTACCAGCAGGCTCTGCGCCCCAAGGATAAATGACTACAGACCTAAACTGAACTGGCTTGGGATCTCAGATAGTGGTCCACAGACTTGCAATGACCAGAAACCATAAGGTGGAAAGGTCTCAACCCAACCCACAAATTTTTGATAAATAATGTCCATCAAAAGTTTGCACTACTACTGGTCCTAATGTTCCCTGATTAAGGTTTACTAGATGACAATTCTGTTTAAAGACCACAAATTAGGAACCATACTGAATGAAAATTAGGATCAAAGGTCCACCACATCTGTCATTCACTCAATATAAAAATCAAGGCCATGATAGACAACCTTGTACCATGCGTGTCTCAAAAATAAAGCCCAGTTCTGCCACAGTGGATGACTATTCCATTTATCTCATTAAAAACAGAGCTTTGGGGCAACTGAATTCTTTAGAAATATACTGAGTACATAGATATAGCATAATGCAATAAAAGCACAATTCCAGAAAACAAAGGCTTTCTCACTGACAAAAACAATGCTTTAGTTATGCCAATTATATACAACAGAGGTCCCTACATTGTTGACAATTAGCCTAGCCTATTAGCTTATAGAGAATGACATGAACCCTCAGGTGTTTATGATGTTCATAGAATTTTCTAAAAGATCTGATTTCACAACTACTATACTACTGTGATTTGTCTGGGTATTTTTGAACACATGTAGAAAATACCTGGTATCAAAGCAAGTGACAATATTTGTCCCTGACTTATTTAACTACTGCAATACATAATGAATAAATTAATTTGTGTTAATCCTTTCGACTTTAAAAACAATTGACAACATAAAAAAACTTTTAAAGCAGGTGCTAGGCTCTGTATCTAGACCAGTGATCCCCAACCTTTGGGGGGTCGTTAAGCAATTTAGAAAATAGGTGCATCTGTACTTTTAATTAATTCGTTTTACTAACTTTCTTAAAATTAAAAATAAAATGTTTTAAACTATAGAACAAAAATCCAAGGATGTTTTTGTTTTCATGAGTCTGTACATCTACCGTCGAAAAAATGCTCATGATAAAATGTGTATTTAATTATAGATTCAGAACACATTCCTCCCTTTCTTTAAGCAGATTTTATTATGTTTGGGTGGAGGGAGCTTTGTGTCTTGCCATACACTTGGGGGAGACCACCTGAAAAGGGCTGAGGCTACTGATTTAAACCATTAAAAATTACAATCTGTACTAGTGATTGATATCTCCAGAATTTAGCTAACTGATAAATTCTGTTTGTTGTTTTATGGGTTTCATATATAAAAAGTTGGGGACCTCTGATGTACAAGTCAACTTGAGACAACAATGTAATATATACCATATGTCGAGCAGCCGTCTGGAAATGAACAGGGAAAATCAACTACATAACTGAACAACTTTATGAACATGATACAATAACAATTGTTAATGAAAACTAAATTTGTGTCAAGGTGATTTACAAGCTAAGAGAAACTGATTGATGCGAGTGTGAGAGCGAGTGTGAGAGCGAGTGCGAGAGAGAGAGAGAGAGAGAGAGAGAGAGAGAGAGAGAGAGAGAGAGAGAGAGAGAGAGAGAGAGAGAGAGAGAGAGAGGAGGGAGGGAGAGGAGGAGAGGGAGGAGAGAGAGAGGGGGGAGAGAGAGACAGAGAGAATGTGGATAGATAGAGCAAGGGTGGGAGGGGAGACGGAAGAAAAAAAGAGAGGAAGACAGAGTGATGTAAATGCTGGAGCACAGAACACAGGCAGGTGAAGATGGGCACTAAACAGAGGTGGAGATAAAGTTGGGAGAAAGAGAAACAAACAGGTGGAGACAGAAATAGAGTTGGAGCCGGACAAAGAAAGAGATGGAAGCAGAGATCAACAGTCTGCATTGAAAAAAGCTAGATGTACACACAAAACTCAAGTTCTGGAACAAGATTAAAGTTTAGACGTGGACAAACAACCAGAACTTTACGCCAGAGTTTACAGATGGTGAATGCTAAGAAGAAATTTATATCAACTACAGGTCATCCTCAATACACACTGAATCATTCAGCCCATAAGTGTAAGGATCCCCTCCTCAGTATATTCAACAGCGTGTAGCTGCTGACAATACCAATTCTGTGTTGGTTTATAAGTATTCTTTGGTTTCCTGCATAGTACTCTTTTCTAGCATCACCCATTTTCATTTGCTGTTCTTTCAGCCTGATCATGGATGCAGGTTTATATCAGATGTCTATACTGGCCTAGGAATTTGTACACAAAACTTTATTCACTTGATATTTTAACAGTATTATTGCACAACTATGTGCAGTTGTAATATTTGAACCTTTGTTAACATTTCTCTCTACAGCCATTGTTTTGTGTGTGTGTGTGTGTGTGAGACAAGGTTAGTCCCGAGTGTACACAAAACTAAATTTACAAGCACAAATAATGCTAGACCACCTACCATCTTTGTTGATCTGCTTTTCAGTAAGGACATTTTCTGGCTCTTGTTCATGTACTGGAGTGCGACGTTTCCGTGGAGCAGCCTCCGGCATGCCAGCAATTCTCTGGTTTAATATCTCACGTCTTTGCCTGGTTTTCTCAATCAGTTTCTGTAGAACACATTCAAGCAAATAGGCTTATTCATAAGGTTTAACAAAAACTACTTGTGACAGGCTTCTGTGTTCACTGGCTGTGAATGGCAGAAAATACAGGCTGGTTGTCTGACTCTGAACTTTGGTCTTGTTACATGAGCAAACCCAGTAACAACTCCCAAGCCAACAAAGTAAGAACCCCCAAGCCAACTCTAGCTACTTCAGTCAAATTTTTAAAATTCCCCCTACACCGATAAAACCAGCACAGTTAGATAGCTGTAAACAATCTCTTTCCAATGATACCTCATTTAGGCTTGTATGTCATTTCTGAGCTGAGATATATAGGTTTTTGTGGAGATGAGATGTAGAAAGCAGCTGCTAAAACTTGCGTCTTAGAAACAAGGTTTTCTCTGCGCATGCGCACTTCTGTTTTGGCTTTGTTGACATTGGACTGTCACTGGACAAGATGGCAGACAATAAGACACAGGCACATACCGATTGCCTAAAAAATGTTACTGTAAATTTAAAAAGCCACCGTACAGAAAGAAATTTGTAAATGTGAATGTAAAATTGGACGGAGAATTCAATTATAACTAGCATTACCAGTACGAGTAATTTTTAAAGCCTAAAGCCAACCCTGAATCCTTATCGCTATTTTCAATCAAACTGATGTAACAGAAAAACAGAGGACGTCCGGCTGTCGTAGACATGCGCTGTTAATTGGGTTCCCCCACGCTGTTTTCAGCTATTTATAGCTGGTCCAAATTCCCACCAATGGCAAAATTTCATGAGAGATTTGGACCCATACGGAAACCAGCCGAGATTTCCCGAACAAGTTCTGAACGGTTTCCGGGTAACGGAAATTGCCGAAAAGACCGCAAATTGTCGAAACTGTAGTCCCTACCAACTCAGTAAGAACCCCCAAGCCAACCCAGTAAGAACCCACAAGCCAACTCAGTAAGAACCCTCAAGCCAACCCAGTAAGAACCCACAAGCCAACTCAGTAAGAACCCCCAAGCCAACCCAGTAAGAACCCCCAAGCCAACAAAGTAAGAACCCACAAGCCAACCCAGTAAGAACCCCCAAGCCAACCCAGTAAGAACCCACAAGCCAACAAAGTAAGAACCCACAAGCCAACCCAGTAAGAACCCACAAGCCAACTCAGTAAGAACCCACAAGCAAGCCCATTAAGAACTATAAGTAAACCCGATAAGCCAACTAACAAGCCATCTCCCAGTGTCTATTATGGAATCAAGGCCGAACGGTTGCGATATCCATAGTACCGAGCCAAAGTGTTTAGAACTCATGGTTTCTGGATACTTTTAAAAAAATACAAGAAGTACAAAAATCCATAAGACAACCTGTGAAAAACCCATAAGCAAACACTAAGAACCACACACAGATAAACCCAACTCATTAGAAACCCATAAGCCAACACCTATGCATGTGTTTCAATATAAAAGTAATTGTATTCTTCTTTGTTCAGCTCCAGTGGAAAGTCCTGGTTATTCATCCATCTGGAAATTTGCTTTGTGCCAAGTCCTAAGTTTTGCGTGTACATCCGTTTCACTGGCTTATTTGTGCATTTAGTTGTTAATTGCTGCTCAGGCTGATGCACTCTGACTTCGAAGGAAGCCCACAAATAGTTGACTCCTACAACACGCTTGTTGGAGAGGCAGTAGGTCAATTATTGTTTTTCCGACAATAGCGCCCCCGGAATTAACAAGGAGAATAAAAGTATTAAATAATAAGCAACTAAAGTCAATTTATTATGGCCATTAGTGTAAAATAAGAAAAATACAAAGGTCATTACCCCGTTATTATTTTTATTTTTATTTTTATGAAATAATGACTGGGTAGATTGTAATGGATAATTATTACATTACATTATTTTCTGTAAAAGTTTAAGGTGCAAACTGGCAAATGACTTTTCTGTTTTCCTCTTTGTTCTTACTAACAGACATTGCTTGCTAACAATTGATGTTATAAATACTAAGCTATAAAGTCTGAAGTGCTACATGGACTTAAGTGAAGTAGAAAGTACCTCATCAGTAACCTGGTTGCCCATTGGCTGATGGTAGACAATTTCATCGCCAGTCGGAACAGTATTACGGTCTGTCTCCTGTAACTGCATGAACACTAAAAGAGTTCTTTTGCTAAGCCACTTTATATAGTGCACAACTAGTCACAATTATAAACAACCCCCCTCCCCTTTTTTTTAGAATGCTGGTTGAACAAGGCTACATATTTTTTCAGTAAAGCAATGGAACAGAACGTAGAAAGCACCCTGGATTTGTTTCAGACAATATAGTCATGCAGGATCATATTAATTGCTAAAATTCTACTGAAATTTTAATACCTTAATTATTCTTTAAAAGAAATCCATTTACCAGACAGGTTTTGATTGAATTCGTTCTGAAACTAGTCATTTAAGTCATAACTTTGATAATGGATGCATCTAAATAAGTTCAGTAAATTAACAGTAATCCTACTAGATAGGTAGAATAATCAAATTAATTAATGTTACAATTAATAATACAATCTGGATTAGGTAAGGGGTGGGGGGGGGGGGTGTGTCAAGTGTCAAATAGATAACATTAAAATTAGGATTTAAGAAAGTAAGAAAGCATATCCTGTGAACAAACCATTTAACTTATTTAAGGCATATTGGGTAAATTGGTACTAAATAAGTTTTAAAACTTTAGACAAAGAAAGTTTAGAAAGGGTGTGTCATTTCATTAATCACAGCAATAAAGAGCGCAATGTTGTAGACTAATTAATTAAATGGCAGGAAATGTTTACTATCTGCATATATAATCATCAAAACATATAATTATTTTGAAGTATGATACAGAAAGTACCCTTAAATATTTAAATCAACCGGATAATCTCAAGATGGATGTAACTCTTCCTTATGTATTTTTTTACGCGACGAATCTTAAGTCAAGGGACGGTCACTTGAAATTTTAATTTGAATCGACTTTTTAAATTAATTAAATAAATAAACTTTATCTCCAACGCGATCACATGGTTATTTACACACAAATTTAATGCGGGAAGTATGAAATGAAAGAAACTGTACCTGTTAAAGTTGAAAGTTTACAGACTATGAAAGTAGTTTAAGTTAAGTGTAATAAAAAACATTGGTCAATTTGCCAAATTATTTGGTCTCAAGACCCCCGAAAATAAAATAAAGCCCGAAAACCACATAACTTTCTCGTAAACAATGAAATTACACGAAATTGCCATCCATACCTGCGTCTCCGGATCCATGTTTACAGAAGGTGTGCAGCCACAAACTCCGAGAATTGTTCAATAACCGAGACAAAAAAACATCCAACTACCTGTGAACAAAAATGGCAGTCGCCGTGTCCGCTCCGCACTTTCAAAATTGGCGGTTGAGATGACGCAGGTTCTCGCGAGACTTGCTCGTGATGTGTTTCAAACTTGAAAACTTGAAACCTAAAACATGCTCTCCCACCAACTCATTAATTTCGGATTCTTGGCCGATGAATCATTCTGAGCTTTCTTTTTCTTCTTTAATAATGTTTTAAGTAAAGCGTTTTTCAGATGTTAATTTCAACCCTCAGGGTTATAATGTTTATACATAGCTTCTTAAATTTTTTTATTTATTTATTTTTTTTTTTTTTTTGCTTTCTTTCTTCTTAATATTAAACAAAATTTCCATTCAACCCTATTGGATTAGTTTAGGTATATTTAAACTTTTCTTCGTCGTCGAAACTCCCGTTTATTCTTTTTTTTTCATAAACATTCCGAAAGCATCCAGGTAGTATTTCATGTAGCCGTTACGGTGCCTCAGTATATTTTCTTTGCAGGTTAGAGACACTAGAGACACCCCAGTGGTGTGTATGCGATACATCCTTGGTTTGCCGACTGTTGCAGGTAGGCACAAGCTGCTGCAGGCGAAGTCATATCTCAGGGTAGCTGCAGACACAGACAACCTTTCCATGAAGCTCCAGGTGCAGTTAACGGTCAGCGGCTAATAAGAGGGAATGCATTGATGGCTCAGACAGAAGGCACAATCAGACAGGTTTGCATCCTTGAGAACATAAGGCGAGTGGGTCAAAGTGCCACCTGAAAAATCAGACTTATGTAGGGTCATAATCACACTGAGCCGCGAATGCAGAGACTGGCCAGCAGGTGCCACAGAGTTGGAAATTTAGGAAATTAATTCAAGATAATGCTCGCTCAGAAGATTTGATCATTTACACAGACGGTTCAGTGTCAAGAGGCAAAAGAAGTGCTTGGGGTTTCTTAGCAAAAGTTACCGGTCAACGTGTGGTGCAGGAGAGCCTAGCATATGATACCACTATATCCAGCTTAAGATGGAGGTGGAGGCGGTTACTGCAGCTTTTCGCTGGCTAGAGAACACCACACACACACACACACACACACACACACACACACACACATAGTGATTGTAACTGACTCTGAAAGCATGCTGAGGAGGATCATGACAGGCATGCTTCGTGCAGAGTGGCAAGCCTCGCTGCGGAGGACACGGGTGAGAAGTATTGTCTGGATTTTTTTCACCAGGGCACGCCAGTGTGTTGCGAAATGGACAGACTGGCTGGCTCTGCACAGCTTGGTGGAATGCTGATGCATGATAAGGCAGACATGGATAGTGCCTTGTGGGAGAGCGTTTTTGCTGTTCGGAGGAGCATATGGATCACCACAGTCTGGTGAGACTGATGCAGAGGGGAGTGACGACAAGTTCTGGCAGATGCTCGAGGCTCAGAGGAAAGGCAAGACGCACGTTTAATCAGAAGGCTACAGGCACCATTAGTATCGGAACTCTTCTCTGGCTGATGAAGATGGGGACAAAGCGCTTATTGGAATACCCCGAGTGCTGTGATGGCGGTTCTTGAATCAAGTCAATCAAATCTTCTTCTAACTCAAGTCTGAGTCCGAAGAAGCTCAGCTCAGTGGGTCAGTATTGATAGCAATTATATAAGATAAACAAAGCATGTAAATGTCTGCCCACAAGTCCGCGGGGGGGGGGGGGGGGGGGGGGGGGGGGGGGAAACGCCTCGCAACCCAACACCCTGCTTATAATTTTATCGAGGAGGGAAGCTCGCGGTGCCTAGGCTTTGTTCATGTGCGCAATAATAATAATTATTAAAAAATTATGTATGGCCAATAAAAAATGCCATATTTGAAATAATCAGATAGGTATATATAATTACTTACCACGAGAACGTTTACATAAAGTTAACATGGGGGGGGGCTGGCATTCAAACCCCCCTCCTCCAACCCGCCTTACAGATTTTCTCTTTAAAAATTAAGGGGGAGGTGCATCCAAACCCCCCCCCCCCCACTGGCCCCTAATAATTGTGTAAGAAAAAGAGACCCGCTGTAACCATGAATAAATATTTTAATTTAAAATTCATTTCATTTTTTTTTTCACTTTCTTAAACTCTTTGTCCCAAGGAAACGCATCATATGTTCATAGGTACCTACCTAGAAGCATATTTAACGCATGATGCGTCAATTTTAGTCTTTCTTAACTACTCCTTGAGCCTGTGATGCTAAACCCCCTGGAACTCCAAAGAGTTGAAAGCAATTACTTATTTATTCGTATTTTGTTTACCTTAATTTTGTAAAAATAAAAAAAAAAAATCAGTATATTATTAATTCGTCTTGCCATTGAACACATCATCATCATCATCAGGTGCCTTGCCGACTGGCGTGGGCGATCATGCCTCTCCATAATCTGCGATCTCCTGCAGCATGTATCAGTTCGTGTGCCGACACACCTCCATGCCATGCAACAAGACTGTCAAGCATCTTCTCTCGTTGTCTACCTCTATCTCTCCTTCCACATATCTTTCCAGTGGTCACAACATGTTCCATTTTCTCTCTTCTCATAACATGGCCGAAAAATGATGACTGTCTCCTTATGATGTCTGTGAGAAGTTGTCTTTGGGCTCCCGCCTCTTTCAAAACCTCTTGGTTGCTCTTTTTGGCTGTCCAAGGTATTCTAAATTGAACACATAGATAGTCTTAATAATAGAATAATAATAATATGCTGCATGGCACACATATATAATGATATACTTGAAAAGATATGAAATGTAAGAACAAATCGGGAAAAGGATTCAAAGAAAACTTCAAAAAAAAACTACATGAGGCACAAAGGAGTTTCAGACAGGGTAAAGAAACCAGGAATCAACACGTTGTTATTGATTATAGCAAGGCCTTTGATTGTGTCCAACATCAGAAATTGTGAAGTATAATGATGAGTACCAGCACATCAAATTTTCGTGCTGACACTGTGGTTGCTATGACTGGCCCACTACTGGACAGAGGTATTGTTATCACTGTCATGCGCTGCACTTACCGTACCGAGGAGCACGTCAAAGGGCATGACTCCGTGTCCCTGTCTAGACTGATGGACATGCGGGTGCAGCCTGGAGCTGTAAGAAATGAATATTTCACTAAGGGGACAAAACATTTTATTAACCAACACAGAACAGGCGTCATCAGTCGTTTTACACTTGTGGAGCTTTTGAGGAGGAGATCGGAGCACCTATGGATTTGTCCGGAGTGCTGTGATGATAATCCTTTCTAATCACTAATTGAGACTTTTAAATAGAAGTCAAAAGGAGGGTGACAATAACAATTCAAAGATTAAACAGCATTAAAAGTCTATGTTTAAGCACCTGCAAGGCGAAAAAATAATCAGAGTTTTAGGAGCATGCATCTTTCGTGTAGCGTAGCAACATACGGATGTGAGTCGTGGACTGTCTCGCAGTCTTTACGGGAGAGATTTTGAGCTGAAATGCTGTTAAAAGATTTTCAGAATATTATGGACAAAGATGACAAGAAACACTTGACATTCTAAATATCAAGCAACATTGGCTAATAAACGGCATCTTGTCTCGGAAGCTGAAATATTTTAGTCATATCAAGCACCATGGTGGGTTGGAAAAAAATAATAGCAGAAGGCATGGTACCAGGAAGGGATGCAGGGGGACGAATATATGACGAAGATGGGCACAGGATATAATTAACTCCGAGGATATAAACGTGCAGGAGGCTGGAAAGCTGGCGAGAGACCGAGTTTCTCTTAGGCAGACTGTCTCAGTCGAGGTTTCACCATCACCGCAATCGGGTTTCCCCATACTCGCTCAGTTCCCGTGACAGTGCGAATCAAATGGAAATGAAATGATGACGAATACCCACATAATCTTTGGGTTCGTGTCTATACGGATGTGAGTCAGCACAAAACGCAAGCAGAAATGGAGGAGCAGGGGTGTATATTGGGCATTCAAATAATATCAGATATACAGCCAAAATATATAAAACGTTGATAAGACCAGTTGTGTTATATGGCTCTGAAACTTGGAGCACAACTAAAAGAGATGAAGCCTTATTACAGGTTTTGAAAAACAGAGACTTACGACGAATCCGTGGACCCATCAAAGATGCTAACAGCAGTGAATGGAGAGTGAGAATAACAATGAAATTCATAATCTGTTTAAATCACCACTGATCACAGGCATCATGAGAGCTAATAGACTGAAATGGTTGGGGCATATTGAAAGAATGTCAGATGACAGACAAGTAAAAACTGTAAACACTTTGAAGATGAATGGTCGTAGACCACGAGGGAGACCAAGAAAACGATGGAGAGATAATATCCAGACAGACCTGCAAACACTTGGTGTTACCAACTGGAAAGAGAAGGCCAGTCAGAGAGATGAACGGAGGCGGGTGATATCTGCAGCAATGAACATCAAGGAGCACATTGAAATTCGCTCGGAACCCTGAATAAGAAAAAGAAGAAGATACAGCCAAAATACCTACCGGAAAGCACTGTCACAGCCATGATGCAGAAGTTCAAGCCGCTAAAATAGCAACAGTGAAACTGTTAAATATATGTAATATTTTACAACCCGTAGTATTTCTGACAGACGCAGAGCGGTGTTTCAGGCACTCCAATCTGGAAAACTACCTGGTATACGAACACTACTCTCCAAACTAGGCAGCCGGTGTAAGGTAACTATCCAATGGATACCATCCCACTCTGGAGTGCCTGGAAATGAAAGAGCTGATAAACTAGCTAAGGAAGGTGCAAATGAAGAACAACCTGACTTACCAGTCTCTTATCAACAGAAGAAGAGAATAATAAAATCAATTAGAAAGCCATCAAAACTGGCACAATACGATTACCATTTTATGGACAGACCAAAGTACGTTATTATTCTACGCCTTAGAACAGGACACAGTCGACTTCGCAGCCACATGTACACACAATTAAAAATCGGCGATTCAGACATGTGCACATGTGGATTGGCACCTGAGACCACAGATAATGTCATCCAAGACTGTCCCATAGACAACATTTCAAGGCAAAACTTTTGGCCAAGAGAAACATCGGTGCAAGTCAAACTTTACGAGTCGCTGAGTGAATTACAAAAGACAGTGAAGTTCATACTAGAGACAACATTGCAGATATAGATAATCTATTTCAAGCGAACGAAAGAAGAAGAAGAAATGAAATGTCCCTCACTGTCGCATTTGAAAAACTGGTGAACAAACAATTAGTCCCGGAACGACCCAGAAATATGTGCATGCAATAAATGCTTATTTCAGTTGCTAGAGGTGCCAAAGCCAACAATCGCCACCAGAAGTTCAGTTTGTCGTTGGATGAAGTAGTCGGGCACGATAATTTAATTCTAAACACACGAAGAATGATTACATAAGGTATTTCACCAACTCACACGTAAACCGACTTCCGGCCATACCGAATACCACAACACAACCAACGCACAAATAAAAGGCATTCCACATGAATGCAGCTCAGAGGGCTGCAACCAAACACTCAACTTAGTAGCTCAGGCAGCGAAATTATGCAGACTATGATGAAAGCGACGTTCTGCAAAGGACATACTACTTGATGATGATGATGATGAATCTTCCCTTGCTTTTCACATTCACATGACCGAACACCTAAACTTTCAGCAATATTTTACAATGCCAGGGTGATTACCCTGCTCTGTGATACTATTGCTATTATTAAGTGCCTTGCCAGCTGGTGTAGGCGCTCCATGCATCTCCACAGATCTCGGTCTTTGGTGTTTTGGATCAATTCCACTCATGATATTTCCTTATACCACTGTCTTAAGCCATCCACCATCATTTATCTTGGTCTTATTGCTAACAGCATTGAATTACCTATTTCAGTACCAACCAACTCACCATACGTTCCTTGATCGTTCCAAATGTGATAGGCAGGAAAACGACAAAAACGTATTTTCAGCAGCTTAACGATTTTGATATAATCTGGTTTAAAAATGACAAAGAAGTCACAGGAACAGCTATTAGCTTTAAATCGTAAAGCGAAGAAACCTGGCCAACCATCAGTTTATAAAAGACCTTGTTTAGTAATTTAAGATTATATTTGACTTTTGTCGCTTGGCTTATCTAGACTTTAGACAAAATATTTTCTGTCAGGGTGAGATACATTTGATCTTACCCCCGCCTAAACGAAATTTTCTCTTTCTCTTTTTCTTGTTACTGGGGCAGCTTAAGGTTGGGTTTTGGCTCCCATTCGCCACGTCACATTGTTAGAGCTCATGTAGGTTCGGAGTCGCGGAGATTTCAATAAGTAGATTTCCATGTAATCCTTTATAGATATATATTCTCTGTCCTCCATTACAAGATATCCCCTCTGCTTTGCTTTTAGTACACAAAGATGCTGTGATATTTTTGTTATTTTCTATCACAGACGCTTCGTTGAATAAGACTTTGTGTTCTGAATTATTAGTTTAACTACTGTTGTTCCCCGTGTGGGTTACGGTGTCTTATTGTGAAGAAAACAAGAACACACCCTCTACCTCCCCAACAAGCGTGTCGTAAGAAGAAAAAGAAGAGTCAACTAATCGAGAACTGCCTTCAAAGTCGGAGTGCATTTGTTTGAGAGGCAAGCAACCAATAGTCTGTATTCAAATAAGCAAGATCTGTAAAACTGATGCACATGCAACACTCAGGTTCTGGAAGGACTGCATTCCTTAATTGAATAAACAACCAGAACTACATCACCCGTCAGGTGCCAATTGGTTTATAAAATATAGCCCTAGCCCTATTTGCCCAATACGGCTGAAAGCGCGGTAAAGGGTCCTTTACTTTTTTATATATGTGGCTAGGGGCAGCTAAGGTTTTCTAATCCTTCCCCCTCGCCACCACAATAAACATTTTTGGGTGGTTTGGGGAAGGGGTCCCCTCAAGGTGTCGTGTGTCGGACTTATTGCATTGTCACTTCTGATGGCTGCCTTATGCATTTAATGCGTGTTTGCTGTTGGCTTTGCTGAGCCTGCGTCAGATGTTTCGGCAAGAGTGGATATTCTGTGCTGGTTTTATTGGAACAGGGACGGAGTAGTCATGCAACGACCTATTTGCGTGCATTATTAAAATGTTATCCCAAAAAAGGGAAATCCAAAGGTCACATGACAGTCTGATATTTCAGGGAGTGGTAGATAGGCTGCATTCTCTCGTGGGACGCAGGTGGGTTGGAGTTATGGCCAGTTCTAGATGTTTTGGGGTTGTCAAAAGCATCAGAAAGCAGGGAAACCCAGTTATACCACCCTCTTAAATGATATACTGTCCCGTTACGTCATCTGGGATAGGATATTAATAAAGCACCCACTAAAAGATTCCTATATTCCATTCGTCAACCATGGTAGCATAGTGACTGGGCACTCCCAGGTTTCATTGAAGACCATAGGTTCAAATCCACACTCAGCGGATTAGAAAAAAACCAATGGGTATGAGATAATGTCTTGCAAAGAGCAAACATGGGGACCCCTTGAATGTTTGCTTGTTTCGGTAACGATGCGTTCCTTTTTTTAAACAGTATATATAGTGTAATGACAGTTGTGTCTGATATATATTTGTTTTCCCACGACGTGGTTCCAAAATTTTCCCTTTTAGTATGTAAGTTACAGTCCACTAGGACGTCACATAAGCCAGAGACACCTGGTGACACAAAGTACCACTATGCGGGTGAGGATCACCCGTGGAGAGGTCCCGGAAATCCCGTTTAGTCATATTTCAGGTCCGACTATAGTTAATGCCCCTTGCAAAAGCCAGGGTTTGGCTTCAAAATAACTAGAAATTGCATCACACATGGAAAGGACGAGATTACTCCCTTTTAGTCTCCCTTGGCACCTCTTCACCTCCAACATTCTTGTCGTCACCATGTATATACCTTATTTACATAAATAAAGACAGTGGAACACTGACTGGCTGACTTTCTACCCCACCAGGATATCACACAAGCGATAAACACCCGATGAGACAACGTGCCACCATGTGGATGAGGATCACAGTGGAGAGGTCACAGAAACCACGTTTAGCCATTGGGCTTCAAATAACGAAAAATTGTATCCTAAAAAGGACGGGGAAATTTATGTGGAAACCTTTAGGCCGTAGACATTTTAAATGTTGATAATAAACAAAAGTTTTCCCTTCTGTCAATGATCTGTTTGTTTATTTATTATTACGTATATACCTCAGTCAACTAAGACGCTTCAGATGCGGACTTATCATAATAAAGAGAAATTTGGGCTGCCCGTTAAAATGTATGAACAATGGTAAACTCTTGAACGGAAGAATAATTTATATTTTTAAAAAATTTAACAAGACATAATTGTCTTGAAATACCAGGATTTTAAATGAAGCAATCTTAATTTAATGTTAAATTTATATTTGTAATAATAAATAATGTGGGAAATTCTTAAATTAAAATAAAAGTGGACATTGTTTCGTTCCGTTACAGATTGCAAAGTCAGTAACAATGGCGTCGCATGAACGGAGGCGATCTGACAGCAATGCTACGGGATGGCCCAATTACAAAATGGCGAGACCTACAAGTCATATATCACCCCTGACTTTAGAGAGAACGATCAACTTGTGAGTTTTTTTTAAATTTTAATGCAAACGTTAAAATGTTTTAACAAGATTTAATATGTTTCTGAAAATCATCGGTCTGCCGGGTCAGAGACACCAACAATCCAACATGAGAGTTTTTTCCCTTTCCCCCTCATTTTCAATTGTCTCAACTGACATTTTTATTTTGTTTGAAGATTATTAAGATATTTGGGTGCATTTTCTCAGATTTTTCAATTTATCACAAAATATGTTAAATTTAACGAATTAAATAAAAAATCACTAAGTATCACGGTTACTTTAATAAATTATTAAATCGTATCAATCATAACGTCAGCAGTTCAAATAAATATTGTAAACACAAATATATAATTTAATTTTTTTTTTTAGTTTATGTGAAGTTAATTATGAATTGCAGTTTGCTTAGCAGACTTAGCTCAGACTGAAGTTGCATAAAAATAACTGAAAACACATGATAAATTTAGTAGAGAAATTATAAACAAACGAAACCTCTCTCTTGGACACATGTAGTGAGTACGGTGATAGTGGATAGTCTGACTTGCATACTAAACAGGACTGCCACTTTGAAGCAAGAATATGATAAAATGTGCTCTCAACTGAAACAGCTGGTAATGATTTTAAATTTTAGTTAATATTTTCACTGCTTAGGTAATATTTGGGTTACATACAGTGCAGTCTTTTCTTTTGGGGGTTCACATTTTTAAGGAATCATTTTTTCAGCGCCACTGTAATAATAGTCACGGTTTTTTCTAAGTACTGGCATCTTTCGTGGACACTTTGTGGTGAGTACTGGTGCTTATTTTCTCAGAAAAAAAAAGCTTAGCGTAGGTCAAACCTTGTTAACATAATGAAACTTATGATGAAGGCTCATTTGACACGACCAATATTTTGGTCCCAGCAGGTATGTATTATATATAATTCATTAATTGCCAGTTAATACAGATTTTTTAAACAAAAAATCTTGATTTTTCTGTGCCTCTGAATTTATTTTAACGAGGCTTTATTGTAGTATCATACTTGTATTTTTAGTGTATACTCTTTTAGAATATAGAGTCATTTAAATATATCTGCAGGGCTCATTGGAGCACAAAAGCTATTGTACTAGTAGCGGTAGCATGTTTTCCTGGCTGTCGTGTGTTTGAGTCAACATTCATCCTCTTAGCATGTGATTTATGTTTGTTTATTATTTTTAAATTGAAACTTTCAGGGATACAGAAATTTAGAGAAGATTGATTGGGTGGGAAAAGTGGGGGGGGGGGGGGGGGCTAAAAGGAAAATGGGGGATGAGCTGAATGCGGGACAAAAGATATGATGACTGTTGACCTACTTGCTTGAGGTCATACGTTCAATTGGCTTCGGGTCAATATTACCAGTAACTATACTGCTTGACTTACAGCTGAGTTCTGTTCCGACTAACAGATCCTGAGTCGAATTTATATTTTTCAACACTAATTTACATTCAGATAGGTTATAAAAATAGTATTTAAAACACAAAATGCAATCTATGTATGTATAATAAGTATACATAATGCGAAAAATACATATGTAGTCTATGGCATCAGACTATAGTGATCTTTATTTACTATTTTTATTGTTTGTGGCCATAAGTGCAGTTATCGTAAGTCTAATAGGTTGTAAGTTGAGAAGGTGTATTTGATATTTCTGGTGGCCTCTTTTGAACTTCTATTGGATATTTCAGGTGGCTTCTCTTGAACTTCTATTGGATATTTCAGGTGCCCTCTCATTAACTTATATTGGATATTTCAGGTACCCTCTCAGCAACTATACCTTTGGTACCAAGGAGCCCCTTTATGAGAAAGACAGCTCTGTCCCGGCCAGGTTTCAGCGCATGCGGGAGGAATTTGAAAAGATTGGCATGAGGCGATCAGTGGAAGGGGTTCTCATTGTCTATGAGCATGGGTTGCCTCATGTCTTGCTTCTGCAACTGGGCACCACATTTTTCAAACTGTAAGCTTCACATTCTTGTTGTTTCTGGTTACCTGTATTTATTTGGACAAGTATATTACCTCATTTGGAGTCGCCGTGGCAGAGCGGCTAGACGCGCGCCGCGGATCGGAAGGTCGGGGGTTCGCTCCCTGGCGGAGCGGGACTTTTCTTAAAAAATGACCTTGGCCAGCTTTGAGTGGGTACCGGGTGAAGTCCCGAAAAGTAGAGGCGGTCGGTGTGATGCTGACCACATCACCCATCTTGTGCCGTTGGTCTATAAAAAGTTAGGTCTAGCCCTATAAGCCTAAAGGCGTGGAAAAGGGTCCATTACTATTTTTTTAAATATTACCTCATTTCATATTATGGGCAAAGGAAAATTGAATGAATACTAGACTTGAGGAGTACCCTGATACCTGATAACATCAGATAAAAAGAAGTATTAAAGAAGTTAAATGTAGAATAGCTCAAGCAAAAGCAGCATTTTACAGTGTAGAATATTTTTGCAATCTTTCTTTGTCAGTTGAGATGAGAAAGAGAATTCTTAAAAGCTTTATATTATAAATCTTATCTTGATATGTGGAAGTGATTAATGGACAGTTAGTAAATTAGTGAAAAATTATTTGGAAGCTGAGGAGATGTGATTTTATATAAAAAGAGTAATGAGGATGTATAGAAAGAAGCTAACTCACAGATATAACTGATTGCCCACATCAGAAAGAGACAGTGTGCATTCTATGATCATGTGATGAGAAGAAGAAAACTGGAGTACATCGTGACAGCAGGAAAGCTGGAGGGGAGAAGAGGCAGAGGGAGACCGAGAGAAAAGATGCTGGACAGTTTGACATCATGGCATAGAGGATCATCGTTAGTGCCAGAGTTGATTAAAAGCACATGAGACAGAAGGTTGTGGATAAACTTTAAGAAAAATAAGAAGAGTAAAGAAATGAGAGAAAAGCCATGACAGTTACAAAGACAGAGAAGATAGCCCTGTATTGGACACATTCTGAGGAGAGACAGAGAATCTCCTAACAGGCACTGAAATAAGAAATAGCGGATTTGATGAAACAAGGATGTCCCAGAGAAACCCTAAGACAAATGTGATGAGAAAAGCCAGAGGTGCTGGACTGAATTCTTCTTCTTCTTCTTTGCTTTCACCAGCTTAAACTCTCGTGGAAAGTTCTGGTTGGTCTTCTACTTCTGGACTGCAGTTCTATTTCAGAACCTGAGTGTTGTATGTGCATCTGTTTGCATTTATGTGCAGACTGTTGGTTCCTTGCCTCTCAGGCAGATGCATTCTGACTTCGAAAGAAACCCCTAATTAGCGATTCTTATGACAAGCTCTTGGGTAGGCAGTGGGTCTATTCTGGTTTTACTTATAATTGGGCCCCGGAACCCACACCGGGGGTGGGGTGGGGGGTAGGCCTGTATTTTATCTGCGATATTGAAGCAATTTCACAGGAAATAACGGAATTAAGAAATAGACAGTAAGCCCTATAATGCATATAATGGCACAAGGCAGGATAGTGTATGAATGAAAATATTACCTAATTCAGTCCTGAGAAGAGAAGCAGCTGGCCGACCGGTTAGAACTTAGGCTCTCATGCGGGGATACTTGGGTTGACATCCTCAGTAAGGTCATGGGTTTTTCTGTCTTTTTATTCGCATTCTTCAGCTGTAAACTCCGGTGGAAAGTTCTGTTAGTTCATCCACTTCTGGACTTTAATCTTATTCCAGAACTTTACCTGCAAATCTGTTTTACAGATATGGCTCATTTGTATGCAGACTGTTGATTCCTCGCCTCTCAGACAGGTGCACTCTGAATTTGAAAGAAACACACCTAATTAAGTTGACTTTTATGAGATACTTAGAGAGACAGTGGGTCCATACTCTCCACAATAGGATGCCAGAACCCACACCGGCACACCAGAATTTATGTCTCTTATTCTTGTTAATTCACACGTACATTAATTTCTCTACCCAGGCCTGGCGGGGAGCTGAATGCAGGAGAGGATCAAGTGGAAGGACTCAAGCGACTTCTGACTGAGGTACACATTTCATTGATGGTTTTTGACCTCATTATTGAGGTTCAAGATTAGTGTTTAGAATGAATAGAAATAATACTGTGTAATAGCTGCAAAGACAGGGTCTATTGCTTAGGCATTGTAAATACGCTTCGTTATTCCAGGATGCTGATTTAGATCCCAGCTGCATAAGATTTGGTAGCAGACTGCTTTGTTTTGGTTTCAACAGTGGTATCGAGAGTGGACTGCTTAAAAGTATTGACAAACTGCTGAATGTAAAATTGTCTAATGAAATCACAAACAGCCACAAAATGCTGGGGTTGGTTCTGAAACATCATTTAAATAAACCGCAACTAACTTTTTTTGATAACTGCAGAGGTCTTGCTTACTAAATATCATGGACACTTGATGTAGATTTAGTTGCCAGAAGAGGCAGCGTGCTTTTCTGACCAGCTTGGCTGTGAAACCTTGTACCAACAGACTATTTTGTTCTGTCAAATCTGTTGAGTGGAGAGGAGACATGAAGAATCATTAACCCTCTCGCCCCGGGGACCATTCTTTCAATTCTTCTCCCCCCCCCCCCCCAAAAAAAAAATATTCCTTAAAAAGACACTTTACACACGTCGCACAAAAAACATATCAGTTCCATTTATAGACCAAACCAGTGTTTCACTGCAATTACAATAATGGAAGTTATCTTCTTTTTCTTCTGCATTAGACATCAGTCATGATAAACATTTAGTCCCCTCTGGGTCACGAATAGGGTTGTGCATCTTAGGTCGCTGCCGGTCCCCCACAGCTTCTCTTGCAGTGTAGCTCCGTTGGACCAGATCCGCAATCTTTGCTGTGAGTAGTTGGGACAGTCCTGCAGTATGTGCTCAGGAGTTAAACCAGCTGTCTGTGTACAAATAAGCCAGATCTGTAAATGGAACTGCACACAAAACTCTGGAACAAGACTAAAGTCCAGAATTTGACGGACACTAAGACTTTATTCCAGAGTTTATTTACACACACAAAAACCTCCCAAAAAATTTAAATATGAAAAAAAAAGAAAAGAAACTGAGGTTCTGACAAAGCTGAGAATGAAATGAGAGTTGCTGGAATAAAAAAGGCATTTCACATATCCTGGCCACAGTAAAAGACATAAAACACTCTTATAAAACTAAATTAGAGGGAAAAGTAGAAGGCAAGTCAGCAGGAGATACACAATGATTCAGCTGGAAGGAAAACATCAAGAGATTGACAAACAGCAGTCTCAGGGGACATACAACCTGAATGGGAGAAAGAATGTGTTCTAGATCAGTGCAGCTAACCTTTATAGTGGAGATGGTACCTGATTTATTGAAATTAGAATATTTGCAAAGTTATTTATTTTGTATAATTTGAATATTTCACCCACAGACATTGGGCAGACAGGATGGGGCACCTATGGACTGGGTCATTGAAGACACAATAGGCAACTGGTGGAGGCCCAACTTTGAACCTTCACAAGTGAGGATTGTGTGTGTTTTAGATTCTCATATTAAGTTCTCCTTGATGCTTCCTTGTTAAATCTTGTGCTTAGTATCCATTAGTATCTATCTTATCGTTTCATTTCTCTTGTGTGTCATCTGGAAAGTTATTGCTCAACGTGTCGTACAATCACCAGTCGTCAAGCAGGTTTGAATTGTGGCACATGTGGGATGCAGAATCACCTCTTAGCGGTCATATCAGAAACAGGTTTCTTTGCGGGGCTTATCCAGTTTAGAAACATTTTAGTGCCCATGCATCTTCAATGTCTTATATCCATCCTCACGGAGGTCGCTCTCTGCCTTGCTTTCTACAAACTAACCCTTTATCTTCGTCTTTTCCAAGCCACCATGATGTTTGATGTGGCCAAAGTATTTCAACTTTCGGGACACGATGCTGTTTATGAGTCAGTTCTTCTTGGTGTTAAACTCGTGTAGAATGTGCAGAAGAGAGAGAGCCAGAACAAGAAAGATTATGATGGATAGACTGCAAAATTGGTACAGATGGATTTTATGGGCGGAACTGATCAAGGGGACAAAGGACCGAGATCTGGAGATGTCTGAACACCTATTTCAGTCGGCAGGGCACATGATGATTATGATGACACAAACTGGAAGCCTCAGAAACATTTTTCTGAGAGGCGAGCAACCAGAAGTCACACAGTAAACTTTATCTGGACATGCATGCATCACCATGGTCCTCAACCTAGATCAAAGTCCAGACATTTCACCAGCCAGGACTTTCGACCATAGTTGGCAGCTGGTGAATGTAGAAGAAGAAGAAGGGGTCCCAATTGTATCATGTGGTAAGATTTAATTTTATGGTGGCGGATAGTGGAACGGCCTCTAGATATAGAGGTTAGCCGTGAATATATTGAATAAGCAGCAGTGGACCAAGACAGGTGGTGGTCATTGAGAGGGGATGAGCTGGCTGCTGGGGCAGCTAGCTCTATAAAATACTTTGAAACTAGGTGAGGTGGCCATCGGCTGCTAAGAGGCACAATTATAACCCCCCCCCCTTCGTTGCAGGGTAATCCTTTTTAGGCAAAGGCTGTTGGCGTTAAACCATAAAGAAACCAGCGAAAGGCAGCCCCTATATTTTCCCTAGTAGTCGTGTCTTTAAAACAGTTGATTTCAAATGACGACATTAATGCAGCAGTGGATTGCAGATTGTGGAGAGGGGTAATCGCCCACGCCAGTCAGCAGGGCACTTGATGGTGTTCAAGGAATCAAAATATTGATCGCTATTTTCATACTGCGGAGCTTGTTAGGTTTCAGACTCCATACCTCCAAGACCAGAGCCTCATCTGTCATCTCTAAATTTATGGGAGGCTTCTTGGATGGCTGGGAGTGTCTTTCGAGAGGGCCGACCGGTCTACACGTGGTTGCCTTGGAGGGGTGACAAATGGAACACCCCACAAAAAAGGCTATGTGGTTTTCCACGAAGCTGAGAGGTCATAGCTCTCCATTTCTTCCCGTAGTCTTATCGTATAGAATAAAACGAAAATTCCAAGCTTTGTCCTTTTTTAGCCGCCTGATGGCCTGTTGCCTGTTCAATGGTGGTTTTAGAAGTCCATTTCTTCTCTGTTTTTTTTTCCCTTTTAGTGTCCATAGGAGAGCTTGATTGGGGAGTCTGGTCTTATCCATTCTGAGTTCATGGCCGATGTAGTTCCAGCTGTGCTTTCTTATACAGTTAGATTCATTATCTTGTAAAAAAGCAAAAAAACAAAAAACAAATGTAAGTTTCCGGACTTGATACATTATGCTTTATGTTACAGTACCCGTACATCCCAGCTCATATAACCAAGCCTAAGGAGCACAAGAGGCTCTGTCTGGTGCAGCTTCCGGAGAAAGGTGAGTGCCGGAACCCTTAAACCCAGTCGATCAGGAAAGCTAGTTTTTAATTTTATCTGTAAAAAATTATTAGAGGCCTATATAAAATGGTTGTTAATTCAAGGATTTTATAAAGGGATTTCCAGGCTCATATAATTTTCTTTAAAGGTTTCCATTTAGTTGTAAATAATTTTTTACTTTTATTTAACTCTTTGCTGACAAGTATTATGAAAAGCAATGGCTCGATATGGAGTAAACAAACATCTCATTGAAGCTTGCAGCAGATCAAATAAGGATTGTAGAAGCTTATCTAGAATAATTAATAGAGCGTTTAAACCATTCATAGTAACATCTGGTGTAAGACAGGGATGTGCCTTATTACCACTCCTGTTTATCACCTATATCGACAGTATATGCAAGGATGGCCAAGTCCGGGAACAAAAAGTTAGATCAGCGAACTACTCTTTGCTGATGACCAGGCCTTGATAACAGATATGGCCATAAAATTGGAACAGCATCTACCGTATGTGAATTTAAAAAAAATGTAAAAATTATATGAGAATCAACACTGTAAGGACAGAAGTAATGAACTAAATATAGCAGAGTGCTAAGGTATTATTGTTCTTCTTTATTTCGCTTGAAATAAATATTCTATTTTCGCTTGAAATAAATTATCTGTGTCCATTATCTATTTGCACACAACAATACGGTACTTTTACTTGCTACGTTATACTGTTGTGTTATATTTATATATACTCATGTTATATATACTCATGTTCTGTATATGTTTCCCGTTACACTCATGTTATAGTTATATATACTCATGTTCTGTATATGTTTGCTTTTACACTCATGTTATACTTATGTATACTCATGTTCTGTATATGTTTGCTTTTACACTCATGTTATACTTATGTATACTCATGTTCTGTATATGTTTGCCGTTACACTCATGTTATACTTATATAAACTCATTTTCTGTATATGTTTGCCGTTACACTCATGTTATACTTATATATATATACTCATGTTCTGTATATGTTTGCCGTTACACTCATGTTATACTCATCTCTCTGCCAGCCCTATTTGCAGTTCCTCGTAACTACAAGCTGGTGGCAGCTCCACTGTTTGAGCTGTATGACAACGCTGCTGGTTATGGTCCTATCATTTCCAGTCTTCCCCAAGCTTTAGCCAGGTCAGTGCTTGTACCATTTCCTTGTAGTTCATGATTATATTACTAGGAGCATGCCACCGCCCTAGTAGATCCTGTCGACTAGGGAAGAGGCCTGAATGCACTACAGACTGGTCCTCATATGAGTACCTGGGCACAATTTGGTTTCCTGGGCCCCATTGTGTAATGGGAAACAAAGAATAGATGCACTGCCCCTACCAAGCATGTAGTAAAAGTCTACTTATTAGGGATGTTTCCTTCAAAGTTGCAGTGCATCAGCCTGAGAGGTGAGGAACCAACAGTCTGCATACAAGTAAGCCAGATCTGTACAGCGGATGTGCACACAAGGCTAGAAAAGACTAGAGTGAAGAAGTGGATAAGCAAGCAGAACTTTCCGCCGGAGTTTACTGCTGGTGAACGCAGAGAAGAAGAACAAGACAGCAGACTGGCAGTGGTTGGAGGAGTAAGAGGTATAGACAGGGTAGGCGTACTGAATGTGCTGCATTCCAGAGATATTGAGATAGAGTTGTCAGTGAACCGCCTGTTAATAATTGGTGTTAAATGAGGACAGACATCTAGAGACTGGTTGCTGGGCAGAGAAAAAAGATTTGCCTTATCTTGCTGGGTTCGTTGAGCTTGGAGACACCGAGATGGCATTTGTCATGAAGCACGAATGGTTCAGATCAATGTGCTAGGTTGTCAGTACAGACAAAAAGTAACTTTGTGGTTCATACAGAAAACATGTATATTTGTGTGGGACAATGTGAGGATTGTTCTTTTACACTTAGAAATGGCATTTCTTGCCTTGCACATTAGAGCCAGAAGATGAAGTTCGAGTCTTAAGTGAATGAGGAGTCGATTCATATAATAGTTATCTAAGTTTGATAGTGATCTAAACCCTTTCCCACTGAGTTGCAGGTAATCTGGTGAAACCATCTGTTACAAATCCCTTCAAAGATTTTACACCGGCATTTCTGCTTTAACCAGTCCCCTGACAAGCATAGTTAATATATTGGTATTGTTTGTGCCTGCGCGTTGTTTAGGATGACCAGAAATGATAATATTTACTAAAATTTAGTTGCGGAAGAAGGAGGTCGTCAGTTGGGGGGAAAATGATTTTCCTAGTCATTTAGCCTTTAGTGTGTCGCATAGCGATGGAGTCATGGTGTGAGTTACAGTATATTTTTTTTTAGGCACAACTGGAGAGGCATCACCCTGCTTTCGATACCAGGGAAACTATTTTGTAGTATGCTACTAGAAAGATTGAAAAAATCCATAGATGAAAGATTAAGGGAAGAACAAGCCGGTTTTAGATCCAAGCGGTCATGCATAGACCACATCTTTACTCTTAGAATAATTGTTGAAGATTCTACAGAATTCCAGTCGAAATTATTGATCAACTTTGTCGACTTTCAAAAAGCCTTCGACAGTATCCATCGTCCAACACTCTGGAAATTGCTTAACATCTATGGTTTCCCCATCAAATATATCAACATCATAAAATCTTTTTATAATGAAACACGATGCTGTGTAAGAACTGATTCCGGCAATTCTGACTGGTTCCCGGTGGAAACAGGAGTGAAGCAAGGCTGTGTCCTATCGCCGATGCTTTTTAGTATAGCAATCAACTGGGTCATGCGCAAGTGCATAAATAACGCAAATTTAGGCATTACATGGGTTGACAAAATTCTGGAAGACCTAGACTTCGCCGATGACATAGCACTCCTGAGTTCAGAACACACAGACGCCCAAGAAAAAATCAATCGACTCCAGAATTTCTCAGAACAAATTGGACTCCAAATTAACACCGCAAAAACAAAAATTCTAGACCTTACCAACAGTTCAGTTGATATCACGCTGAACAACAACAGCCTTGAAAAAGTCAACAGTTTCACTTATCTAGGGAGCAAGATGTCATCTACAGGAGATACCGCCCAGAAATATCATTTAGAATAGCACTGGCATCTAGTGCCTTCAATAAACTGTCTAACATCTGGAAATCAAAGACACTTAGCAAACACACAAAACTCAAGGTCTTCAATTCTTGTGTGATTCCAGTACTAACCTATGGATGCGAGAGCTGGAAATCAACGAAAACTCTAGACACAAAATTAGACAGTTTTGAAAATAAATGCCTTAGAAGAATACTAAATTTCAAATGGTCAGATTTCCGAACCAATACACAAATAAGGCAAGAATCCAGGCAAGAGTATGTGTCAAATTTTATACAAAAACGCAGCTGGAACTATGTCGGCCACGCCCTTAGAATGGATAAATCAAGACTTCCTTACCAAGCCCTCATTTGGACACCACAGGGGAAAAGATCTCGTGGAAGACCAAGGGAAACCCTACGTAGAACTATCATAAGGGAAGGCTCGCTCATGGGCCACTCAAACATCCAAGACCTACAACGGATTGCAACGGACCGCCGTGCATGGAGAGTCACGACCTCTGCCCTATGTGCCGCACTCGACACAAGAGGAAAGACTAACTAACAAGGGAATATTTTCTATTAAATTCTTCACTTTGTTCATGTTTATTGATCACTCCCACGTATTTATTTCATTAAAAAATGTACACAAATAATTTGTAAACACATTAGAGACCTGTATAAAATGGGACACAGGCGCTACACATGTTGCACTTAGAATCAACATCACAGAACTCGGGACACCCCCATAAGCGCTCCGTCCCCATCTTTAGCAGCAAGCGAAGAGTTTCAATGCTGATGGCACCAGTAACTGTATGATTGTATATCCGTCTTGCCTTTCCCCTGAGTGTTGAGCGGGTGCTACACATGAAAATATCTAATGTAAGAGGTCGCCCTCGGAGAATATGGATTGATGACATTAAAGACCTACATCAGCACATAATGACAATAGCCATTACTACCCACCAAGCAATGGATCACACGTTGCTCCTTCACATGAGCTAAACACCAAAAATCTAGTCTGATGATGATAAAGTGCCCTCCCCCCTTTCCCCCCAACCAAGAATTCCCAGGTTCATATCACTTTTCTTCAAGGGTTTCCTTAAAGCTGCACATAGTTTTATGCTTTTTTTTTCAGTCTGTACATGGTCTCATTATTGAGGCATTATTTTTAAAACACCAAGAAGTAAGATGAACTATGTTTGTTATTTAAAAAAAAACCAAAAATAGTAGATATTTACAAGTGAGAATGGCAAATTGATTGTACAGTGTTTTACTTACTCTGTTTGGCTTGTTTTCTCTTGGTGAAAACAAAACAGCGCTTTTTTTCAGCTTCTGTATTTTTTAACTTTTAATTTGATTTTAGATTCAACTTTGTTTACAAGTAAGGAGGATCCAAAGTCTCAGGCGCTTTTGGTAAGTCATTTTGTATTTTATTGACCTAGAATAAATATTCTTCTCCTTGCTTTCCAGACAACTTATTGATCTCACTTAATACTAGCGACTTCAAACTGTTCTGTGATCATATGTTGAGTAGCATTGATTTGTCATAGAGTGAAACATTCTAATACTGGCACCATATAGTACATATTTTGATGTTATATAGAGTGAAACATTCTAATCCTGGCACTTACAGTACATATTTAATGTCACATAGAGAGGAAACATTCTAATCCTGGCACTTACAGTACATATTTAATGTTACATAGAGGGGAAACATTCTAATCCTGGCACTATGTGGAACACTTTCCTGATGGATCATAGGATTTGAACAGAAAGCTAAAATAAAAATGTAGGGCCAAACAAGAGCTCTTTATGCAAGAAGCCACTTAAGTAACAAACCAACAAAACTGATGTCATCAGGCACCACACGCTGTGGAATTTACTGAGAAGGAAATCCAAGCACTTATGGACTGAGTGGCTTGATTTGCAATTCGATTGATCTTGTCATGTAATTATATCTTCTTTTTCGAGTTCAATGGCTGTAAACTGTGGTGTCCTTTCCCCCATTGAATACACTCTGGCAATCCTCACTGTCAGTGCTACCCAGATTGAACGACTCGAAAATGTGCAAAATGAAGCCATGCGCATTATTTTGGGATGTACAAGAGACACATCCTGTGGAGCAATGAGGTATCTACTTGACTTTCCAACAATGAACCAAAGGATCAGGATGTGGAGGGCTCGGGCATACCTCAAAATATGTGCTGAAAAGAAACACCCACTGCATCAAGCGCTTTTTAGTGAAAAGGGCGACAGACTGAAGAGGGGGAAATCGTGGCTAGGTCGGGCAGAAGATGTTATTAGGCAAATATGCAGCCTAACCGACATCATACCTGGGGCAGAATGGATACCTGTGCCTCAGGCGTTTATTTGTACATTTTCCTGTATTGTCACACTCAACAGGCGATGTAGAGAAGAGAATCCTGTTGCTGTTAATGCAGAGGTCAAGGCTCTCATCGGTGAAAATTCAGACGAAGCAGATGCACTAATCTATACAGACGGATCCGTTATACGCCAAAGAAGAAGCGCATGGGCATTTACAGCACGCTCAGTGGGCAGAACAGTCAAAGAAGCCAACGGCGCCTTCTTAATGACAACCAGCAGCATGACGATGGAGGTGATGGCAGTGACGCAAGCGTTTGCCTGGCTTGAAACACAAAAATACACCCGCATATGTATACTCAGTGATTCAATGAGTATGATCCTGAGGGTTCAGGCAGGTTCAGTGCGAAGACAATGGCTTGAATCAATTCAGAAGTCCACTGTGCGTGGAGTCACCTTTATTTTTGTTCCGGGACACGCAGGCGTCGATGGAAATGAAAGAGCTGACAGGTTGGCTGGATCCGCTATAACTACCGACGGTCGGCCTATGGATCATGCTGATATTATCAATGCCCTCAGAGAAATGGGAAGGATAGAGGACTTTGGTGGCAGTGAATCCACTTCACTCGCCGGAATGGCAGACTTGGGAATTAAGATCGGCACAGCAAAAAACGAGACGCACACCGGACACGTCAGAAGACTTGTTAATCAACATAGAGCTGGTACTATTAGCCATCGGACGTTGGGGTTCATACTGAGGGGAGGATCTGAGCACCTATGGACATGTCCGGAGTGCAATGATGATAACCCAACTAACTAACTAACTAACAAACTGTGGTGTACAGTTCTGTTTGTTCGTCCCCTTCTGGACTTAAGTTCTGTTCCAGAACTTGAATCTTATGTGCATGCCCATTTTACATATCTGCTTTTTTGTATGCAGACCGTTGGTTCTTCACCTCTCGGGCAGATGCGCTCTGCCGACTGCGGAGAAAAAAATCACGAATTAGTCACTTTTCACGACACCTCTGATAGGGAAGCAGTAGGTCTATTTCCCCCTGCCCTAATTGGGGCCTCGCAACCGACATGGGGAGCCTAATTAATTAATACATTAAAAAAGGATTTCACTTTCTCCCTAGTCTTTTAGGAAGCTGTGGCGGCCTATTAGCTAGATGCTCACCTGTCGGCCTGAAGATCTTAGGTTCAAATCTGCATGAAGTCAAGATAAAAAAATAAAAATTTACCTTGGTCTGGGCCAACCCAGCCAAAAATGGTTACTGAGAAGGAAAGCTGAATGGCATGGTATTGACCACGTCACCCACTGAGAGCTGATTGGTCTACAGAATACCAATCTGGCATCAAATGCCTCGTATGCCAGTAGTGTGAAATGGGTCATTTACTGACTGACTGACTTCGTCGGCATCTGTGGCTTACACCTTGTGAATGTAATTTGTAATTCTGTGGGCGTGGGTTCGCTCCCAGCTGCAGGTGATTTGATTGCAGACTGTCCGTTTTTTATTTTTTTTAAAAATCTTCACGTTCAACCAGCATCCTCAAAGGGGAAACTTTAGGTTATAATAGTGACTAGGTTTGTTTGCGCCACATAGTATGGCTTAGCATTGCTCGCCACCAAGTAGCCCTGAAGGGACTCTTGCAGTGTTGATGCGATCAAGAGTGACTGACCCAAATACTGTCACGCCTGATGAGGAAGTCGTCCACCGGCCAGCCAATGGGCGACGCGGTCGCCATTAACTGGCAGCAGTCCACCCAGCATTGATTAGGACAGTGCAATTGAGATTCAAGTGTTTAGAACTACTGAACGTAAATTTGTCTAGAAAAAACCCAACAGCCATAAAAAGACGGTGTTGATTCTGCTCTCTGACTGAGTCATCTCTAGTTATTCATGTTTCAGGTGTCAAGTGAGAGTGCCTAGACAGCAAGAAAGTGACATTTGAATGGAGCTGGACACCATGCAGAGCCTGCCATCTGTATATAGATGACTATCACCATCGTGTATGATTTTATCTGTGGGATAAATCTGCCCCCACCTCTTTGAAAATATGGCAGCCAACATAAGTGTCAAACAGTTATTCATTTGTTATCATTTTGATCGTGTTTTTTTTAACCACTTATTTTGTTGCTTGTTGGAGTTTTAAATGTTTAGAAACAAAATTTCCAAAAAGTTTTAAAAAAAAAAGTTTTCAAATTGGAATTTTGGTGGGGTAATGCTAGCTTAGTTGCTCCTGTTTATCATTGGACAATATTTTGTAAAACTACAATTGGGTGCATTTTTAGTTTGTAGAATATATCAATTCTAGAAAAATGTAAATGCTGCAAAAACCGATATGCCTTTTTTTGCTTGCATAAATGGTAGGGTATGTTAATTAAAGAAATATATGTTTTTCGTCTTTGCGTTTTTATCTCTGTTACTTGTTGTCCGTATCGACATCCTGGCTCATCGGTCCGACATGTTCATGCTTGGCCCTCAGGTGCAGCATCTGTCTGTCCATGCTTACTGCACCCCATAGGAGTTGGTTGATAGATCTTCTTTGTTTGACCCTGCAACTGGTTTATTCATGCTTGTCCTCTTTTGATGCCTTTTTTTTAAAACTTAGATTTATGAATGCAGTTTTATATCTGTGTAGATGACTGGGTTAAAAGGCAGATGCAGAAGGAGATTCAAAGCCAAAGTGAATGGGTGTTGCTTAGTGCAGCAAAGCCTGGTATATGATACCAGAACATCTAATTTAAGAATAGAGGTAGAGGCAGTCACTGCAGCCTTTGGCTGTCATGAAACGAGTTGCATAAATTTCATAGTTGTAACGGACTCATAGAGCATATAGAGATAGGTGTGCTCTGTGCCAAGTGGCAAACATCACTTCCCAGGTCCCACTTAGTTAGCATCCCTTGGGTATTTTCTTCAGGTTGTACCAGTGTGTTGGGAAGAGAATAGGCAGATAACCTTGCTGGATCTCCACCTTTTCATGTTGAACTGATGCACAACAAGCCTAGATGTTGTAATGTGTCCTTTAGGAGCGAGTGAACAGTGTAGAGGAACAAATAGATAATCACTGTCTGAGGAGAATGGTGTTGTGGGGAGTGACAGAGGAACTGGCTGAAGCTCAACACTCAAGGGTAATGGGAGATGGATATACTGTCTTGACAGTTCTGATGTGATTGGAGTTGGGACTCTGAACTTGTTGCTGAAGTTAGGGACAGAGTGTTATTAGGAATCTCCCGTGTTGTGATGTCAATTCTTAATTATACATTCAATGCTGTTTTATATTTCTGATGTACTGGGCAGATAGCTTTGCCTTTAATTTCAACCGTGGTATGATCCTCCAACCACACAGAAAGCATCAGACTTATAAAACAACAAACAGGCATCAAAGGATAGGTTTGATTGACGAGGTTCTGTAAAGGATACACAACTTATGAGGTTCTTAGAATGATACACAGCTAACTTTATGGTGTTTTTTTTTTAAAAAAGATACACTTCATTTTTTTCCCCTCCAAAACCCTGCCTTGAATTTTACCAGCTTTGTTTTACATTTTTGTGTTAGTTTTTCCTTTACGACTGCTGTTTAGGTATGCAGTTTTTACTCAAAATGGGGCCCTGTTACCCACCTGTGGACATATGGTTCTAACACCCAGAATCCATATACTGTTGTGAGGCAATGGTTCTAAATACATAAGTATTGTAGACAGGCAACATACATTAGTATATTGTAGACAGGCAACATACATTAGTATATTGTAGACAGGCAACATACATTAGTATATTGTAGACAGGCAACTGTTCTATATACATTAGTATATTGTAGACAGGCAACTGTTCTATATACATTAGTATATTGTAGACAGGCAACTGTTCTATATACATTAGTATATTGTAGACAGGCAACTGTTCTATATACATTAGTATATTGTAGACAGGCAACTAACTGTTCTATATACATTAGTGTATTGTAGAGATACTACTGTTCGACATATATTAGTATATTGTAGAGATACTACTGTTCAACATATATTAGTATTGGCTAATGTTCTGTATACATTAGTATAT